CTCAGTGACCCGCATCTAGTCCTCTGTGCAGGTTTTGCTCCTGACTCAGTGCTTGCCATTCCTTCGCCAACAATCCTTCCTCGGCTTCATTTGTCTGCCTTTGTTAATGAGCTTTTTCCATCATCTCTTCCGAGACTATAGTTTGTATCTTTGGTCTCCATACCAGTATCTGATCCAGGAAATCTATTAGTGGGGCACCCCTTGGAAAATGCCTGTGATATTTGCCTAGAACAGGGCTCAAGCCAAGTCCTGCCTGGGCTTTATCAGGCTCTACCAGCCCAATTAATTACTGCCGTCGTTATCTGAATATAGCTGATTGATGTAAAGATAACAGTGAAGTTCCGCACGTGTTGTGCTCTCTTTTCCCCACTTTGTTTCATAATCATCACGAGGCTCCAGGTGCCTTTCTAGTATTTTGAAGAACCCTTCCCACCACACTGGGGCAAGGCCCCCAGAGGTGTTCTCCTGGCTTCTATATTTTCCCTCCTTAGCCTTTATGGTAACTAAAATTAAATGATGATCTGTGTAATTATCTGCTTCATGTCTATAGACCCACCAGGCTGTTGTTGGATAATAAACTTACTTCTTATGAAGGGACATCCTTCCTAGAAAGAAATAACAAAACATAAAAGCATATGACATTCGTGCATTGAATTATCATGAAGTTGAGGTTCTCCTCTGGCTTCGTTTGGGTGGCAATAGAACAGAACAGCCCAGGCTAGGTGGTTTACACACAGCAGGAGTTCACATCTCACGGCTGGGAGGCCAAGGTCAGGGTGCCAGGTTTGGGTTCCAGAGAAGACCAGCTTCTAGGGTGCGGACCTCCACCTTCTCCCTGTATGTTCCCAGGGCAGAAGAGGGGAAGCCTTTCTGGCCCCTTCTGGCCCCCGTTCCCGAGGGCTCTACCCTCATGACCTAATCACCCCAGAGGCCCCACCTCCACACACCACCACACTGGGGTTAGATTACAACCTGTGCATTTGGCAAGGGGCGTGGGACGCAATATCACTCAGTCTGTGACATCCTCCATAATGTCTTTCTAAAGTGGTTGAGTAATAGCACAGAATTTTGATTTAGGGCGCGGGCTGGGGAACCAGACTCCCCATTTGAGTCCAAGTCTTACCATCGCGTGCCAACGTGGGTTGAGTGTGTAACATAACTTTTTGTCGTTGTTCAGTTACAGTTGTCCCAAGTTCCTCCTACTGCTGCCGTCCCCTGCCCCGTCCAACCCCCACTCCCGAAGACAGTCCCCGCCCCGCTGTCCTTGACCATGGGTCCTTTGTCCGTGCTGTGAGGCCTCTCTTTCCTCATCCACAATATAGGGATGATAATATTACCCCCCACCTCGCAGGGTCCACATAGGACTAAAATGAGCTGCTACATGTGAAGCACTTAGCAGGGCGCCTGGCACAGAAAAGTCACTCATAAGTGGTAGTTGTGGTTGTGTTTTCACTGTTGTTGTTGTATCGGGGGTGGCACTCTGTGAAAATTACAGTGTTCCCCAGAAAACATCGTGAGCTCAAGGCGCTGCCATCCCAACGCATTTCCTTTGCGCACAGTTGGGGGAGGGGAGTGTAGGGAGGGGAGAGGACAAGGCCCACACACCTTTGCTTTGCCCAAGGTCTACACTCCCGGGAAGACTGTCTTCCCAGGTACAGAAAACAGAGGTTCACCCCTGCCTTCCCTTTCCATTCTCAGTGAGTGAGGTCTTACACTGGGGCACCGGCTCCAGGTTGGTGGACACCCACGTTCCACACAGGAAAGTTAGGGGGCAGGGTAAAAGTACTTCTGGGGCAAAGCTACCAGGTAGCTGAGGCTGGTAATTGGCACCCTCTTTCAAGCTTAAGCTCTCTCCTTTTTCTTTCAGAGATTTTATGTACTTATTTTTCAGAGAGGGAAAGGGAGGGAGAAAGAGAGAGAGAGAAGCATGGATGTGTGAGAGATACATCAATTGGTTGCCTCTTGTACGCCCCCAACTGGTGGACCTGGTTTACAACCCAGGCATGTTGCCCTGACCGGGAATCAAACCGGTGACCTTTCGGTTTTCAGGCCAGTGCTCAATCCACTGAGCCATACCAGCCAGGGCTCAAGCTTAAGCTCTTTACTCCTTTGACTCTCCCCGCCCAGCAGCCAGTCCTGGATGTCCTCTCAGAGGTGCTTTTGGGTGTCATGGTGAGACCCTCGCACTTTCTCTTTCGTCTTGCCCAACTAGGTGAGGACTCAGAGTCATCTCAGAATCCTCTGCTCCCCCGGACCACCATACGACCCTGCCAGTGCCCACCCTGCTCCGCTTCCCTGGCCCTAGAAACCTGATCCCCCACCCGGCACCCGCCAACACTAACATTTTCAATATCTCACCAGGGCCAGGCTCTCTGTACCACACAAGTACTTCCTGAGAAACTAATTCAGACTTGTGGAGGAAATAAAGCATGATGGTTAAGTTCAGAGGCTTTGAATCAGAACGACCTGAGTTGAAGTTTTCATCTGGACACAAATAGTGTCTGGGCAACTCGTCAGTATCTTCCAGCCTCGTTCTTTTCCTTTGTAAAACAGAGACATCATTTCTACTTCAGAGAGCAACTGGAATAATGAACTGAGATATTTGCACAGCAGTTAGCATAAGTTTGTAGGTTTGCAATAAGCAATGAATAAGTGGAAGTGATCATCGATGTTCTGTGCTAATGGGAGGAGTTCAGACAAAATATTCCCTCCCCTCCCCTCCTCTCCCTTTCCCTAATTCTGTATTCTCTGTCTGGTAAAATAACTGTCACAGAACAGTGCCCTCAGTGTTAATGCCCAGAATCCCAAAGTAGTGATTCTATTGATAAAATTTCAGCCTGGGAAGCATTTTGGTGAACTAGCAAGAGCAAAGATAGAGTGACAAGAGGTCTCAATTCCAGTTTCTGCTCAGATGCTAATGAGTCAGTTATTGTCCCTGGAGGGCCACCAATTTCTTCTTCTGTAAAAAGAAAAGTTGGGATAAGACAGGCTTTGAAGTTCTTTCTAGTTCTGATTTGCTTTGAATCTATATGAAGGGTTGTTCTCTTAATGACTTCTCTTACTGATACTTAAGAACCTTAACTGATACGCGTTTTTTCTTCTGGGTTTGTGTGTGTGTGTGTGTGTGTGTGTGTGTGTGTGTGTGTGTAGCCTTCTACTGCCTATTTTCTACCTGCAGAAGTGGTAGTTGAAAGTAGACTATGGGGATGGTCATTCTAGGTTTGGATTTCAACACCAGCACTTGACTTTGGGCCAGTTATTCAACTTCTCTGGGCCTCAGTTACCTCATCTGTCCAAGGGTATAAACAAAGGAGAGATGTGAAGATGAAAAGAGACAAAAGACTTGGAAATACATAACCCCAAAAGCTACAGTTTAATGGCCTGAAAGGCACTAAGCAGTTTGATCTCTTAGTGAACTTATTTCAGGATATGTTTCTTTGTGGGTTATGGGTACCCCATGACCATCTTCCTGGTGTCCTCACTGATTAATGAGTTGAATTAAATCACATATGTTTCATTCTGGTTTTTGTATGAAAATTGAATATATAATTCTTTGAAAATTATCCTTTGACAGGTCCCAATGGGCTGCTTTAAGACACATTCCTTAATAGACTGACACTGGCAAAACTTGCTTTGCTAGAAATGCTGATTAAGTTATTAAAAAAAAACCACACTGGCTTTCCATTTTTATAGATTCTGCTCCCTGCCTCCCTATCTCCGTTAGCTAGAGCCAGGTCCTAGGGGGCAAAAGGTGGGGAGTCTCTACCCACTAGAAAAAGAAATAAGCTGCCGGATGAATCTAGCAGAAAGAGATACTTTCACTGTGGCCTTTACATTTATGACTAGCAAGATAATGAAGAAAGGTAATTCTGAAAGCTTTATGTCAGTTTTAATGGTCCCTGAAGCACTGAGACAGATCATAGTCCACGGATGGCGTCCACAGGATTTGTTCTCCTCCCCTGATAGCCATCCACAGGATCATTCTGAATGTGTAACTGCTGTCACTGAAGCACGGAGAAAAGGCCCTGTAAGCCAGGAGGGTGAGGGCGACGTCCCTGCAAGGATCGCTATTGTCATCACTATGACAATAATCGTTGTTATAATTTTCATTCTGCTTTTCCATAGAGTGTCTACTTCGTGAAGCTTAAGGCTATGGGATTTGGGCCACGTAAAATCACACTAGCATAAAATCATGCTTCGTAATCTTGCAAAAGTTATTTTCTAAAACTGCAAATAGAACCTATGCAAAAAGAAAAAAAATTATCACTGCAAGTCACTTGACTAGTACAATTATTTATGGGAGGTTAATAGCTTTTCAGAAGCTTTCAGATACAGTGTCAAATTGACAGTCAATTTCTCAACCATCTCTCTCTCTCTGGATTGGATTGTTGGACCACGCCCAACTTCTGTCCCCAAGGACATGCCTTATCATGTCCAGGGATAAAATATCAATTAATTGCCAATTAGCTTTCAGTTTTGTCCGGTAGTTTCTCTTTATTTTCTGCAATTAAACCACAAGGTCAGGAGCCATGCTTTTTAGTTCATTTATGCATGCCCTGATCTCCTAACAGCACGCTCTGCATAGACATCTAACAGATGTACATCTTCCAGAGTAAAACTATGCGAAAAGATCCCTGGTGAATGAAACAGGATGGGGGCTCATGGTGATTCTCCCAATGGAATGAAGACACCTCCAACAGGGGCCTTCGAGGTACGAAGAAAACAGCTATGGACAAAGAAAATGGATGCAGGAGGGGAAACAGGCGGAAACGAGAAAGACAAGCAAAAGAAACAAAGCCAGAGACTGAATGGACTAAAGAGAGAGAAAAAAAATCAAAAGCAAACCAATAAAAGATGTGGACAAAAACAAAGTGAAAGTCGTGTGCAAATGCTGGCGTCGGCTGAAAGACTTGTGGAGAGGCGAAGACTACAACCCCCAGAATCCTTTGCGGATCCTCCATCCCCGGTTGTCAGTCTCCTGGGCAACGCAGGTAAACAAGATGGCGACCTCCGGGAGTGATCCCCAGTGGCCGAAGTTTAGCTCTCTCCAGAGAACCTCGAGCAGTTCACGAAGTGGAGCCCAGTATCTACTGTCGCGCTTAGAAAGACAACCCTGGTCTTCATTTCCCATGGGGCAGAGACCGAAAATTACTTACAGAGACTCCTCCTCCTACCTGCTCCAGGAGCTCATTCACCGGTGTCAGGAGTCAGAGACAGACCTAGAGGGATACGAGGACAACAAGGAAGACGAGCTCGAGGAAGGGGGCGACGTGGAATCCGAGGAGTCCTCAGAGTCCGAGATGCTGAATTTGGAGGTGTGCTTCCCCCACCCCGACCCTTTACCCCCTGGCTCTTTTCCCCTCCCCAGCCGTGGGGCCCTGCTACTTCAGCCGCAGCCTCCCAATGCACCCTCATTAGCCCGTGACTTAGCCCATTCCTTGGGCTTTCGCCTCCACCGGTGCCTCATCCCGACCGCCTCAAGGCTCCCCCTGGTTTTCTTCCCATTTCTGTTACCCCTTTTCCTCACCCCTTGTTGAAATATTTCTAGGTGTCTCCTTTATTTTTCAGTAGCACATTTGGTTTCTTCAGAGTCCCATTATGCAGCAGTCAAATTGTGGGAAAAATCAGTCTATCGAGTCTATCGATATGGCACTTACGGCTTCAACTGTCAGAATTATACCTTGACCATATTGTGAACAGGTACAGCTCGTCTTTGACATCCCCTTCATCCTCTTCGCTGCAGGGAAACATTTTACTGTTTTCAAATCATTTGAGAAGGGTTTCTTCAAACACTGACTTAGGAGTTTAATATATTACATGTGCCAAGGGTATATGATACATTATCAGGACACACACACACACACACACACACAGCTCACTGTGGGAGTATTTTAGGGTGCACAGAATGTTCCCAATGCTCCCATTCACGTTGCCCAGGGTGGTGGCCCTGTCTTCTGCGTTAATGCAATACCTCTCCTAACCACAACCCAAACCCACTTCTTTCTTACACATATCATCACACTTCTTCCTCCTTAGCCCATTACCTGTCTTCTGCCCCTTTCTAATTCTCATCACATCACTTCCTTCTCTTGCCTCCTAATACATCATTTGTTTTTTTTCAAAAACAAATTGATTTGCTTCTTTTCAATAAATGGTGAGGTTTTTTCCTCTTCTGCTGCCGGGAAACTCAAAAGCACTATTTTTTCTATATTTCAATAGTTTTTCTTTAGATAGGTTCTTCCCTCCCCTTTCCTCTTCCTTGGAATATAAATTGCCTGAAATTCTTTTCAGAAGTAGATAGGATGCAGAGAAATAGAATGTTTCCAAGGTCCCCATTCTGTGATACTCTCGTGGCGTTCTTTGCAACGTTGCACCTTTCCCCAGCCACCTTTCTTCCTTCAAGCCAAGCATATTTCTCTTTGTAAGGCCATTCTCTTTCACAAGCTCTTTTTCTTATGAGGCTACTTCTTGTTATTCTCCTCTCAGTAACTTGCATTATCTTCTGTTACCCAGATTATACCATGAACCACTTACACTTTACCCTCCTTCTGCAATGTCCTTTCGTTCACTTTCCACATTTGGCCCATTTTTTCCACCTCCAATTTGTCTCCCTTCTTCTTCTGCCTCCTTTGACAAGGGCTAGTTATGCATTAGTTTTGCTTAAAGTGGATTATAGGAAATTATTCTTATTTTTTCATCTTGTGACTTATTTCACAACCCTTAACGGTAACTGTTGCAAAACCGTAGCAGTGTATTTACAGTTTCAAGATGTTTGTATGGTTTCCACCAGCATCCACCCCAGAGGAATTCACAAAGGAATCACCAGTTCACTTTATCATTCTCATTAACACATGCTCTTACGTTCTGGGGTTCATTAGTATCATTGTTAATCTGTCTTCAGTATGCCATTAACAAACAAACCGTAGAGGGTGATAGCTTGAACTGGTTTTTCCTTTTTGGCTTATAGGATGTATGTGGGAAGAGTTTGTTAGTTCTCCTACCTACATTCTAAGTATTAATATTTATTTTGTGTTTGCACATTCTAACTTAGCTTTCTATAGCATCTCATAAGTTTTAAAATACTGAATAAACTATAAAGTTGAAAAGGAAACATTTGGACTTTTGTATTCAGTGATTCATTTGCCATGTGTTTGCCTAATTAAGATTTATAATGCCACAATGGTCATAGTGATTACCAAGTGCTTGTCATGCAATTACACTCAAACCTCTAAAAGACCTTATGAACTTAAGGGAGGTAGTGCAGACCAGAGAGCCAAAGTACTGCCATAGGTTCATGCAAAGCCTTTCATTAGCCGTGAGATTTCAAGCACATTTCTTTACCTGTCTACGTCTCCTCTGCTATGTGTGAATCATCATAATACCTATCACATAGGAGAGTTGTGAATATTAATGAGATTTTATATGTAAAATACTTACTATAATATATTATCTATATTGTTTTTTAAAGATTTTATTCATCTATTTTTAGAGAGAGGGAAAGGGAAAGAGAGAGGGAGAGAAACATCAGTGTCTAGTTGCCTCTCATGCGCCCCCTACTGGGAACTTGACCCATAACCCAGGCATGTACCTGACTGGGAATCGAATTAAGGACCCTTTGGTTCACAACCTGTGCTCAAACCACTGAGCTACACCAGCCAGGGCTATACTGTTTACCAATATAAATAAGAACTTTCATGGTTTCATCTGCTAACTCCAGCCCATCAAGCGATTTCATTAATTTAGCCGGCAGTGAACAAACGTTCCTCAAATGATTGCTATGTAGGAAGCTCTCTGATGTCTGAGGCACAGAAGCGTCTGGGCCCATTATATGTGTCTGATGCATGAAAACTACTCTTTGCCAGTAACTAATGTGGGTAACACCTACTCATTAGATAGGAATAAACATCAAATATAATAAGAAACTGTGTTGAAGATCTTAGTAGAGTGTCTGGTGTAGAGTAGGCTCTCAAAGAATTACAGACGTTCAGTACTGCATCATAGCAACAGCAGTGATAGGTAGGAAATGGTAAGAACGTGACTGAGGCCATATGTGGTGGCCCCTCCCAAGGCGAGGTACGAATGTGAATAAATCGTAGCTGCTCCTTATATGAAGTATTACACACATGGCCATGTACAGGTGCAGCGACCCTGGAAGCTGTAAGGAAAGTTGGCCCCTTGTCTGGGGGGTGCGTGTGTGTGAGCAGACTGATGGCAGAAAAGGCACTGAGGGGGGCCAGGCTGTGGAGGGCTCGGTGCCGTTGTGCGGACTCTGGGCTTGGGCCTCTGGTGGCCGAGTGGGGTGTTAGACCAGAAGCCGGGAGGCCAGTGGGAAAACTCGAGGAATAGCCACGGAGCAGAGGCTGAGTCCGGATTAAGGCAGTGGAAGTGGAAACGGAAAGGCAGCTACAGATGAAAACAAGTGAAATGTTTGAGGTGGGACAGTGACTAATTGAATAGTACAGGTCTGGGCTGACTGCCAGGTCCACGGCGCGGCCTGGAGGGGACACCGTGGCTGCTAACCACAGTGAGAAATCCGGGGGACGGTCTCAGAGTTAGAAGACCTGGGAATCATCAGCATTGGCGGCTGCGCGGTCAGCCAGGAAGAGAAGAGGAGAGCAGGCCAACGCTGGACCCCGGGGCACAGGTCTTGAAGTAGCCGGCCGACGAGGAGGGCCCAGGGAAGGAAGCACAGGAAGAGCCGTACGGTAGGGACGCCAGGGCAAGGAGGAGCCTGGCTTGTGGGAATGGCTTCGCTGCCGGTTTGTGAAAAGGGAAGAGGCCTAAAACGTGCTTCTTAGCTCTGCCTACCCGAGGGTCGTTGGGGACCTAGGCCCACGTGATTTTGTGATGTGGCGAAGGCAGAAGCCTAACTGTAGTGAGTCGAAGAGAGAATTGGAGGTAAAGAAAGGAAACCCAAAGATAAAAAAAGCAACTCTGGAGGAGCTTGGGTGTTCATGGACACGATAGTTATCGATGATGGAACACACAGGGCTGAAGGGAGGGGCCCCTCAGGACGGAAGAGTCTCACAGCTTGTTTAGCTGGACAGCGACTGGTTGAAATCACAGGCCAAAGAGGGTAAAACTGACGGTCCGTGAGCGAGGACCGAAGAAGCGGAGGAAGTGGGGCCCTGAGTGCAGAGAAGGAGCCGGCTCTGAGACCCAAGTGGGAAGCCTCGGGGCAGGTGCAGAGCGCTGCGGGGGTGAGTGTCTGACCGTTTCCGCTTTGCTTCCGAAGTAGAAAAGCAGAGCATGTGCTGAGAGTGAGGACAGAGGGGTGGGGACACATATTTGAAGAGAGCAATGGAGAGCTGACCGGGCAAGGTGAGGAGTCAAAAGGCCACTGATGAATAACGGGAGACTAAGAGCACCGAGGCCCAGCTGCCAGCTGACTTTGGAGTAGCAGCAGATCACGGGGTCAGGGGCCTTTCGCGGCCCACGCGGCCGCTCAGCAGGAGAGTGGGTGCATTCATGCATCCACCTGTGCGTACTAGGCACTGAATCCCACCTCCCCTCTATGCGTCAGCGAGTTTGAACTCTTTGTGACATCCCCCCAGGGGCCACGCTCACCTTCACCTTTGAGATTCTGTATGTGTTTCTCCTGTTGCCTGCATTAGCCTTCGTGGCTCTCTTCTCTGCCCTTTCGGCCCCTTTTCCAGAATAACTTGCAACTTCGGATCTCAACTGAATTGCTCTCTCTCCCCAAGGAAGCCTTGGCTATGCTCCTGCACCTCCGTAGAATGGACAAAAAGGATGCCCTATTCCTAGTCAAAGCACCCTGCTTAGCTCTATTGTAATATTTATCAAACTCGTCCTGAAATTGCTTGTGGCCTTGGCTGGCATGTGAGAAACATGACTCAGTTCCTGCACAGTGCTTGCTTGTGAACTTGATTCAGGTGTGTGTGCCTGTGGCAGTTGCAGTCAGGGGACAAGGAATCAGAGACTTGGGAGTAGAGACACTGAAATTGCTCGTGGGATGCTCAGCAGGGGAAGAAGTACAATCAGGAGGGGACCAGTGGGCTCTGAGGAAGGGGAGGATGGACAGACTGGAGGTGCTGTCGTGGTCCAGGAACAAGTTCCATAGGTAGCGGAGAGGATGAGACATAGGCCCTTGTGGGATGAGAGAGGAATGGAGTGCGGGGTTCGCGAGTGCCAGGGCGGGGCAGCTCAGCGTGATCGCCAGGTTGGTCCAGGGCCCGGCTGTGGGAGTGAGTGGCGCAAGTTGGGTGGAGATCAATTTTAAGGTGTCTGAGGTTAAGAAAATACAGAATCACGTGTAAGTGTGTGTGCTCGAGTAGTAGGGATAGTGAATGGCCATCCCCGGGGACCCTGAAGCCAACCAGTGTAGAGACAGGGCATAAATGGGCTGAAAATCACCAAAGAGCCAATGGGAAAGGCGAGGCTCTGACGAATGGCAGGAACCTCAAAGGAAGGGGGCGGGGCTGCATGGGCATCTCACCTTGGGGCTCTGGGAGAATGTGCGCAGTGTGGCCGGTCTTTGTATCAATGGCCGTGCTGAGGAGCAGTCAGCCACCTGATGTTAGGAAGGGGACCAGGACCTCTCTTCTCCAGGAAATGGAAGGGCCGGGTCAGGCAAACTTCAGAAGTGCGTCAGTGGGACGTTTTGGATGGAAGGTAACATCCTGGCTCTATCTGTTTTCAGGCCTTTTGTAAGAAATTGGAACTTTATTTACAAAAGTAAATCTCTCTCCCCCATGCTCTGAATAGGTTGATTGGTATGGATGAATGAAACATTAAGATGTGGAATTTCAATTAGTAAACAACTGTCATTTATTGGGAGCATTTACCATTTTCTAGCCATGGTGTTAAGAGTTCCACATAGGAGAATTTTTTTCACTCTCCCCAAAACATTAAGAGAAGGAAATAATATTTGTTATTTACACAGGGTCTGGCAGAAGTAAGGCCTGGGTGAGTGTGGTTGGCAGGGTAATATATGGGTGTAATAATTTACAGTTTTCATTCGAACATTGCACCTAAAATGCCATATGGTATGCCTGAATGTGATATTGTCATGTTACACAGTTGCATGCTTATGATTTTGTAATACAAGGTTTTGGAATAAAGAAGGGGTGTTATTTGTGCTGGACCCCGTGGGTGAAGACTGTGAGGCTCAGAAAGGACTTACCTGCCCAGAGTCCTGTGTCCACAGGGGCAGATCCAGGGGTCAGAGCCGCCCGCCCAGGCCCGCAGCCTGTGTGACCCGCCCCTGCGTCCCGGTCCCGTGCAGATCTGGGGGGAGAGAGACTCCTTACGACAGCACAAGCCTACGTGTTGTTCTTACGTCCTTAGCACTGGCAGCTGGAGCGGCAGCGTTGTTTCCTGAATTAATAGAGAACCTGGAAGAGATATTTGCCATCATGGTCCGCATGCTGGTCTTGCTTAGACTGGCGTGACTGAGGGGATTTCTGCGTTTTGTGTCCTGGAGCCCATGTTCCTGTCACCATGCTGGTCATCACGGAGTTGCAGGTGGCACAAACCTAGTGCTGACCCACCCGTTACCTCTCATTTCTGTCATTTCTGAGGAAAGAACATTGTCAGGCCACCCCTGGTCCCTAAATGTCTGCAGACCAAGGGCCAGCCTCTTTATGGAAATGCGTATTATCTTTATAATAATTCTTGTAACTTGTATGAAGCCAGCGACATTGGCCACTAGGAAGCTAACTGAGGACCTGTTTTCTTCTGCAAGAATACCCGAGTCAGAGAAGTAACGGCCTTGATTTGATGTAACCAGCCTGCAAGGCGTGGGCAAGCAGTCAAGGGCAGTGGTTAGAATTGCCCTGGGGCCGGGCAGGCTTGGGCTCCTAGGTTGGCTCTGTCACTTACTAGCTCTGTGGTTTCGGGCAAATCGACCTCAGTGAGCCTTCCTCACCTGCACAGTGGAGCCAAGTGGGCCCGCCCAAGGGTGGTCAGGAGGGCTCCGCAAGCTGACCCACTGAGAGCTCTTGGCACAGTGTGGGAAAGGAGACACACCCCATTTGCCATTGCCAAGATCGATGCACCTGCTGCTCTGTTCATTCCACTTGGAACACCTGCCAGTCACCACCTGCATGTTAGTGGCAGTAAAGACACTGATTTGATAGTTACTGATTCCGTCCTACATCATCTGTATGTGTTCATTCTGGAGGGCTCAGCGCATGGATATGCAATGTCCTAAGTAAGTGCCGGATCTGCCGAGATGCCTTGATGCTTTCGTAACGAAGTCCTCTTTGTCCGCCTTTCCTGGTTTCTTTTGCAGCAGGAATTTGATGGGGTGCTGAGAGAGGAGATGGTGGCCGAGGCGCTGTCCCGGTTGGGGCGCTCAGGTTCCGGGACCGAGCAGGTCTACCTGGATCTAACGTTATCGGTGAGTATGACAAGATCGCCGCTGTCTGGCTATGCCTTGACATTGGATGGACCACGTCCCTCTTTTTCGGGGGCACATCGCTCTTGTGTGCCCCTGATCTCAGAGTCTTGCACTGGATGGAGACTCGTGATAAGAATTATTTCTGTAAATATTAGACATCAAAGAGCCCTGGCTAGTCCAATAATCAGGGCCTCAAATTCCTTTGTTTCCATTCCCTTCACAGTCGATTTCTTTCATCTTAAGTAGTCTATTTTATAGCAAGCAATGCCTTCTTTCCCGAAGGTTGAATTTGATTCTGTAAAACGAATCAAAAACTCCTTACGAATTTTCTCTCTGATCAGTACCAGGACTAAAATTTGTATCTGAATCCACAGGAACAAAGGGCTTGGTATTGACTTTTTCCCCCTAAGTAAGTCGAGAAATAAGTAGCTTCGAGCTATCTCTCACCTTCTTAAAGATGCCAATTATTGATGAAAAAACGTATTGTTATTCATCAATTTGCAGGAATTCAATACTAGTCATAGCGTAGCACAGAATCTTGGCTCCAATTTTATCATAAAAGCAGAATCCTCAGACTTACCCCAGCATCTTTCCCATTTTCCTTTTCTATAGCCCTAGTGAAATAACTCTTTTTGCTTTCTTCTGTTGCACAGCATTAAGTATTCGTGGAGTTTACAGAGTCAATGCAGATAGGCCAAAAAAAAAAAAAAAAGCACACAGAAATTTCTGCTATAACACCAGTATGGCTCAAGTGTGTAAAATTCATAGTCAGGCTGTTCTGTCTTGCATTTGAACTAGCAAATGATCCAAAAAATGTTAAGCTTTTTTCACCCACGCTGGTTTCACGGCCTGTCCCTTGAGATCGGCATATTAAGGCTCTAATCTTTTGCTGTTTTCACTCTATAACGTTTTATGGACAACTCCGCCAGTCAGGCAATAGCGTACAGAGGGCACCCCGTGCATTGCACCGTGCTGGGCTTTGGAATGGAAGGTAACTCCAGCAGCCAATACATCCCACACAAGAGGCTTTCGATAAATATTCTACTTGTGTATGCAGTGCTATGCCTTAAATTGATCTACCAAAAAAAGCAATTCTTTAAATCTTATTTCAGCTACATGGACTGGAGCTTAACTTACTTTGCCACTGACCTTCTTACATTTGAGATATTACACATTGAATTACTTGGCTTTCATAACCTGTTACTGAATACACTTTTGGAGGGTGGCCTGGTTTAGTGGTTCCCCCACCCCCTTACGTCTTAGTTACGTTACATGTTATTTTTTTACTTTCTTTTATTACTTGTGTGTGTAGCTTCTCTCCAACTGGAATCATAATTTTCTCAAGGGTGCAATATGGCTCTATTCCATTGCTATATTCTTCATCATGCCAAGCACAATGCCTTGTATGTAGTAGGTTTTCAGTGACTTTTTATTTATGACGGTGCTAGTGGCCTTTTTGCGATGCTGTTATTGTTACATTTGAGAACTTGCCTATAATGACACTTCAGTGGTGGGCTTTTCCTGCCTTTGATATCGCAACATAAAGCAGTGCTGTGAGTCTCTGCTCCTAGGGACCAAATGCCCCTCCAGCCCCTGTGGAAATTCACTTGAAGCAACACGCCATGGAAAGAATGTTCAAAAAGATCAGGAGACTTGGATCTGCTTCTCTATCGCTAACCTGCTCTGAGATTCTAGGCTATTCACACGCCTCTCTGGACCTCATATTCCTGGTCCCTAAATTGGGAGTCATCTGTGGGGGGTCGGGCAGCTCTCAGGTTGTTTGATTGGATAAGATTATTGTGGGACAGATTTAAAAATGGTCCCCGTGAAAATGTGGGTGGTGTTAATGATCTCCTGATTCGGTGTGAACTCCCTTTAACATGTCATTTGCATTCTGAGATTTTGCTTTTTCTTCAACCAAATCAAGGCTTTGGCTTTATTGCTATTGCATGTTTTTTAATAAAAAAAAAAACCACTCTCTACTCTAAAGGGCTTCATGACATTGCTTTAATTTGCCTTTCCATGTTGTATTTGTTCTCACTAACAACACTAATTTTCCAAGCTATTATTTTCTTCAGAGAAATGCATTTTTAATGAGGTACAGAGTCTGTTTTGAGGTCCTAGTAGGAGTAGGCTTCCACTTTTGCCCCCTCACTTCTACTCCATTTTATGAAGGAAATTTTGGATTTCTCTGGTCTCGTGCTATTTCTAGATGCTGTGAGAGCTGCGTGCTAACCTGCTTACAACACTGTTAAAGTCTTTCACCTTTTATTTTTGCAGGGCCTGGACTTAAGCGACATCAGCATCCTCTGTGGATACGTCCACCTGCAGAAGTTGGATCTCTCGGTAAATAAAATTGCAGGTGTGTAATCGTCACTCTAGTCAATTGATAGATCACAGAATCATTTAACATTTTACGCTTTGCAGTGTGTAATGTGGTTGAACTTGATACAGACGCTGCTGTGGCTCAGTTTACATATCACATCAATGCTTTCCGTATAAACAAGGCTCCCATGGCTGATGACAGTGGAAAGAGTCGGGTCACCACGCATGCAGCCCCTCGAGACGGTTGAGTGTACCAGCTGGGACGCTCGCTTTTCCCTTTTAGGAGATGGACCACTGCTTCTCTCCTGCTTCCTGAATATTTGGTGATTCCCCTTTCTTTCCCTCTCTGAGGTTATTCAGCATAGCTGAATTCATTTTTATTTTTTTCCTCTAATGGATTTTTCATTTATTTTGCCTTGGCTTCAGCGTTTGTTGGATTTTATGTTGTGAACCGTTTCTGATTTCTGCAGAAAGCGTTAGTTTCCATGTGGCTCCGTGGGTGGGAGAAGGCTCCAGGACGGCCCAAAGGATGCCTACAGCTTTCAGGGAGAGGCTCAGGCAGGAGCCAGATTCCAGGGAAATGCAGAGGGGCCCCTCAGCAGCCTCAGGGCTGCAAAGGCTCCTGGTCATGCTTGAGGGGCGCCTTTGGGAGAGACACTCACCCAGCCTGCGGGCCAGCCAGCTGCAGAGCTGAGCCAGGTGTTGCCCATCTTCTTGATTTGCTTTACCTGCTCCTCCGGGACGTGGTTCTGCAGGAAGTCTCAGAGCTGAGGTTCTGTGCGGGCAGAGCCCAGGGCCCGTAGGTCCGGAAGGGGCGGGTCCGCGTTCTTCTCCAGGACCAGGGCGGCTTCCATGGTGTCCTGAGTTTTACCCCACTCACCTTGGGATGGCTTCAGCACATTCCGGGAGAGAATGCAGCTACCGTGCTGGTTTCGCATCTTTAAGAGACACTCAGCACCCTGGCGCTTCTCCCCCACGGCCCACAGAGCTCCAAGGTCCCGGTGAAAATAGAAGCGCAGAGAGAGGTAGGTGTGGGTGGCCCGCAGATGCAGGCTGGCCGGGCGGTTGGCGGCAGCCTCCACCTGGGTGGAGCACATGGTTATTCAGCAACAAGGAGTTACAGTCAAAACACAGTATTAGCTGGGCTTGGAGGCCGAGGATGGCTGAGGTGGTTCCGAAGGTGGTGCCTGGAAGAGGTCGGAGGGTGGTCTCACCTGGAAAGGGGAGCGTCCCTGGGTCTGTTCCCTCCAAACACTATTGAAGCAAGAGACAGATGGGGGGGGGGGTGCGCTGCCCTGGGGAACTGCCACATTTGCATCAGCGTTTTAATCCTGGCCAGGCACCTCTGTCCTCATTCTGAGCACTAGGATTCACAATTAATTTTTTCCTCTATTTTTTGCTGTCTCTCTATATTTAGTTGATTGTTTAAACTCTCAACTTGGACATTTGGAGTTCTAGATAATCTATTTGTTGTGACACCTCGTTCACATTTGATAAAATCAGTTACATTTTCTTGAAAGCTTAATCCTTGTTTCTAATTTTCTGATCTTATTTGAAGTTAAAGTGTACAATTTCTTTTCTTGGACTTCTAAGAAAGGAAGCAAATCTTTATTTCTGCCCTGCTTCCTTCACAGATAGTCTTTCTACTCTCTTTAGTTTGTCTTTTTTTTTTTTACAACAATTAAATTTTACTGATATGGTCTTCTCTGGCTCATTTTAATTTTTTTTACATCATGTGACTGCAATGATTAAAATCCACTTTCATTCCAATGACTAAGAAATATTCTAGCATCATTTTTCTTACAATTTTACTGTTTTTATTTTTTATCCTCACTGGAGGACATTTTTTTCACTGCTTTTTAGAGACGGAGAAGGGGAAAGGGGAAGGGAGAAAGAGCAATATCAGTGAGAGAGAGAGAGAGAGACACGGGTCTTTTACCTCCCGTCTGCACCTGGACCGGGGATCAAACTGCAACCTTTCAGCTGTGGAACGTTGCTCCAACCAGCTGAGACACACCAGCCAGGCCAAAACTTTACTGTTTTGAAAGACTTTTACCCCCTGGTTTTATAAAACATTATTATGCACAACTACAAGCCTGGGAACAAGTAGGGAGACTGGTGTCATGAAGAGTCAGGTTCAACAGCTATCAGCCCATGGCCTGTCCTGCTTCATCTGTGGTGCCCTGTCCCCTCTCCAGGATTATTTAAAGCCTCACAAAGGCTTTTCAGTGTGACTGGCAGGAGCTCTCCCCATACCCCACCCCTCCAAGGTTGGTTTTATGGATTGGCTGTGGAATTCCCGAGCGTGGAGGGGCCTTCAATGATGCTAGCGCTAGGGAAGGGGACAGAGATGTGCCACTTAAGAGTTTGCAGTTGCAAGTGGAGCTTTCCTCTGCAGAGCAGGCTTCAGTCTTTTGGGGCTTGTTTTGTTAACTCATCGAGTATTTGAGAATCTCCTCTCTGTGAGGCACAGCAGATTTTTCTCTTTGTGCTGCTGATGAGCTCACGGAGACCAGTCTCATCTTGCATCAGGATCACCTGGCGTGTGAGGGTGGGGCTGTTAAAACACAGGTGGCTATGCCCCAACCCCAGAGTTTCAGAGGCGGCAGATCAGGGGTGGGAGTCCAGAATTTGCACTTCTAGTTAGTTCCCACAGGAAGCTGATGCTGCTGGTCCAGGACCACACTTTGAGAACCCTGCATGTAGACGCGAGGTGCTCCTGCCATCTGGTGGACAAGGCGGTCACTACACCGAGTAGGGAATTCAGGGGCCTGAAAGTTAGAAGCCTTGCAAACCCAGACCGTGAATTTTTGTCAGTGACCTAAAAGCATTGGCCATCTGCACAGTTTGGAATGTGTTTGTCCTCTCTTCATCTCCACCCAAGTGGTAGCTGCTGCCGCCGCCACCGCCGCATGAAGACAAACCTCTATGGTACAGCCCTCACCTGCCCCCAGAAGTGTCAGCTCCAAGGGAGTAGCGGGGCTGGTGGAAATGAATAGCGTTGGGACCACTACTGACAGACACAGAGCTGAGCTCAGAATGGACAAATAGGCAAAACGTGTAACACAATGACAGTTTCTCCTTAGGTTTCTGCTCACAGGCAGCCCATCGGTTCCCAGCAAGAGCTTCCTGTCTCCATGGCCTACTCCTCCTAGAACAGCTGCATTTAAAAAGACAGGCTGAAGAAGGGTATTGTTTACAATTGGCGGGGACCTTCTGGCTTCAGCAACTGTAACCGTGGGTTCTGTGACCTAGAATGAGAGGCGAGGAAGACATTATTACCAGTTTCAGGTGGAGAAACAAGTCGCCAGTGGAGACAGGACATACATCCTCATCATGTGATTCTTCCTGAACCATTTTCAGATTCCTCCCCATCCTGAAGCACATCTGCTGTAAACTAGCAGAGAAAGGCAACGCAGTACTTCATTTTTTGTGTTTCCCATGTAATTTCATTAGGAGAGAATATTAGCACAGCAGTCCTTGGGAAAAAGGTGAAACCCACACACACATCTGACCCACTCCAAAGTCAAAGTAAAATAATTGCAATGATTTAAATTGCTTCAAAGAATTAATGAGATTTAGGATTAAGTCCAACTAAAACAGGATTGAATCTATAGCCAAGAAAGTTCTCTAATTGTGGCATTTTCAGTCTTTCTGAAAAGACCTAATTCAGTTATTTAGGGGCTAATTTTCTCTTTTTTTAACATATATTTTATTGATTATGCTATTCTATTGGTCCCATTTTTTTCTCCCCTTTATCCCCCTCCACTCTGCAGCCTCTCTCCTTCCAGCATTACCCGCCCTTGTCCCCACCTTAGTTCATGTCCATGGGTTGTACATATAAATTCTTTGGCTTCTCCACTTCCTACACTGTTCTTAACCTCCCCCTGTGTATGTTGCGCCTACTAATTTTGCTTCTTATTCCCAGTACCTTTTCCCCCATTCTCCCCCCAACCCCTCCCCACTGATAACCCTCCATGTGATCTCCATTTCCGTGATTCTCTTCTTGTTCTAGTTGTTTGCTTAGTTTGTTATTGGTTGGTTTTTTTAAGGTGTGGTTGTTGATAATTGTGAGTTTGTTGTCATTTTATTGTTCATAGTTTTGATCTTTTCCTTAGATAAATCCCTTTAACATTTCATATAATAAGGGCTTGGTGATGATGAACTCCTTGAACTTGACCTTATCGGAAGCACTTTATCTGCCCTTCCATTCTAAATGAAAGCTTTGCTGGATAGAGTCATCTTGGATGTAGGTCCTTGCCTTTCATGACTTGGAATACTTCTTTCCAGCCCTTTCTTGCCTGTAAAGTTTCTTCTGAGAAATCTGCTGATAGTCTTATGAGAACTCCTTTGTAGGTAACTGTCTCCTTTTCTCCTGCTGCTTTCAAGTTTCTCTCCTTATCTTTAATCTGAGGTAACTTAATGATGATGTGCCTTGGCATGTTTCTCCTGAGATCCAGCTTCTTTAGGACTCTCAGAGCTTCCTGGACTTGCATGTTTAGTTCCTTTGCCAGATTAGGGAAGTGCTCCTTTATTACTTTTTTCAAATAAGTTTTCAATTTCTTGCTTTTTTCTCCTTCTGGCATAGGTGCTAATTTTCAAGAGGATTGATTACCTACGGTCCTGCTTTCTTGTGCTTTCCTTCAGGGCTGGCAAGTTTTACGGCATTGACCTGTTAGGAGTGAGGTGGGGCCACGAGGAGGCCTGTTATTTGTTATATGGCTCATCTGGAAAAAGGGGGAGGGGAGGCCCGGGGAAGAAGGTTCAGTTACTGGCTAATGGAGAGTTTGCTGCACACGTGGGTACATGTTCCACATACCCCACTCATTTCACTCACCTGGAATAAATAAGATGCGTGTGCATGTAGCATCATTTAAAAAATGTTCTCATGTATCATATGCTGTTTTTAATGACTTAGTCTAATTTTAATTTTATTGGCTTACCTTATTGTGTATTTATTTTTCTCCCCAGATCTGTCCTGTGTGAGTTGTATGCCTTATCTTCTAGAACTTAATGCTTCTCAGAATAAACTGACTGCATTCTTCAATTTCAAGCCACCCAAAAACCTCAAGGTAGACCTTATCAGTACACCAATTATGCATGTTAACGGGTTTGCAAAGTATGTTCATAAGCAAAATGGCACGACAATGAGAAATTCAAAGAGAATAAGAGCTAGGGGTAAATAGTGTACCTGAAATGCAGTAAAAGGGAGGAGGACTTCTGCATCATTTATTTCGGAAAAGGGAGGTCTGTCCATGGGTAATCGTTTCAGGTAGCTTTGCTAAAACTAGTGTTCAGAGGACTAGCTTTCTTCTGTTCTCTCTCCTTGATTCAAATGCCAGGTACCATTTGTATGTTTTTACCATAGCAGAATCATTTTATACGTGGAACATCTGTAACAGTTTTCCCGGGGCTCAGATTTTGCCTCCTTTTGGATCCAGGCTTTAGTTTTCTCGGGATGCCGTGATTTTCAGGTCTGCACTCTCACGCCTGCGCAGTTGCTTCGCCTTTCCGGGGCAGAGTTGAACTCTCCCGATCGGTGGTGGGCGGAGCAGCGTGCTGGGCTGCAGGCTGCTGAGTCGGGCTCCGCAGTTTGCACGCAGGTCACCTGGGGCTCTCCTGGAAATGAGATCCTGACCAGGAGGTCTGGGGTGGGGCCCCAGAGGGCGATTTTTAACAGCCTTCCAGGTGATGCTGTTGCCACAGGTCCGGAGGCCGCACGTAGGCAGAGAGGGTGTGGAGTAGCGGTTTCCAGACTTTTCTGCACACTACAGTCGCCCGGGGAGTTTTCACACCACCGATGCCTGGACCCCGCGGCCAGAGAGGGCAGCACTTTGGGGGCTCAAATGCACTAATGGATCTGGGACCCAGTGCCACGGAGCGTGGGATTAGTGTGCCTCTACTGGATTCAAATATTTAATTTCGAAGTGTTTTTTAGGAATGGGCATCAACTATTGCCTTTTATTAGCTGCTGGTTTTGTTTTAGTTACAAACCAAATTAACTTAGATCCAAAGTACTCTGCCGGCGTTTGCACACATGTGGAATCTGACCTCCCCACTACCGGTGAGATGGCCCTTTTGTTTTCCTTTCTTTGTTCACATGACTCCATCTTTATCAGCAGTGGGTTTTTCCCCCTTTGCAAATGCCCTGATTGCCAGGGTGGCGTTCCTCCGTCAGGATAAGCTGCCTGAGGAGCCTGTTTGTGCGCAGTGTGGGGCCCAGGCGATGGGTTACCGGGAATTGTATTGGCAGAGCTGCTCCAGTCCCCTCCTTGGCTTTCCCGCTCTGCCCTGGGCCCCGGGAAATGGTCAGGCAACAGCGTGACCTCTGCTCTGGAAGAACTTCCTTGGAGCTTCTCCCCTTCACACCCTTCCCCCACCCTCACCTCACCCTGTCTCAGACGCTCCCCAAATGTACCGAAATATCAGATAACCCAGCTTCGTTTGTTTGTTTAGAGACATTTTAGGTTCACAGCAAAATTGAGAGGAAGGTGTAAAGACTCCCCCCGAGTCGTCCTGCCCCCACAGGGGTGGTCCTTTTGTTACAGTGGATGAACCTAAGTGACACGTCATTGTCTCCCCAAGTCCACAGTTTATATTAGGGTTCTCTTTTGGTACATCCGTGCAGGGGGGTTGGACAGATGTGTAATGACAGGCAGCCGTCACTGTGGCAGATGCCCCACCCTTAGTCCCCCTGGAGGATGGCAGCAAATGTCCCGGGAACTGGGGAGCAGCGTCAGACCACGGGTGACAGGCTCTCGGAGCTCCGTGGGCAGCCGGGAGGGGAATGATGGAGGCTCTGGTGGTCTCAGTGCGTCATCTCATGTAATCCGCCAACAAAGATGCGAGGTGGCTGGAAGGGTCCCCTTTTGCAGACGAGGACACCGAAGTACAGGAAGGTTAGGCATCTAACAACCTCTACTGGGAGGCAGCAGGGCTGGCATTGAACTTGATACCTGCGACCCAAAGCCCATAGTGTCCCAGTAAAGCGGGCTGCATGCAGTGTCCCGCCCTCTTGGGAAGCTCTGCTCCCTTTTCTCTCATTACCCATGAGCCTGTGCCACCCACCGGAGACAGCACACATTTCCTAACGAGCAGGCACTTGCCTGTCACCTCCGTGTTGCCTAGAATGTTTTTGCTGCACGGGTGATTTGTGGGTACTTCCCACAAGCTCTGTGAGTCGATGGGACTCCCCCGGGGGTCAGAGCCATCCCTGCCCTTTGCAGGTCTCCCAGGTGCACCTCGGGCTCACTGCCGGCACGCAGCCCTCACGGGCGTGGGCGGACAGACGCCGCGAGGAGACACGTGCCACGGCACTAGACATGCAAGGTGCTGCTGGAAAAGTGCCCGTTTTCAGTAAGCTCAGATAATCCTAAACCCCTAGTTTGTCACTATCCTGTAGAGGAAAAAGGGAGCATGAAGTTCCGCCAATATCGTGCCAGACTGACGTCTCGGTTCAGCGTGATGATTTTGCGCAGCCGCAGTCTGTGCATGCGGGGGGTTTGTGTTCTGATTTGTTTACTTTGTGTAGTCGGCACGTTTCTGGTCTTCACGTGCTTCCCACCTGCTGGTGCCGTGGACTGTGGATCTAGACCCCGTGCTGTAGGGCCATCGGCTTGGCCAGGCTTCTCCTGCCGCTTGGGTTGTTGTCCATTGTTCTTTTTTTAAAAGAATTCAGTATTTCAAGTTTTAAGTATTTAAAGTATTTAGTGTTTACTGCATTGACAAAATAATTGTAGCTCATTTTTGAGGGTGGAATCACTGTTTTAAAGGGTATAAGAAGAATGGTGGCTTATATAACTGCTTCCTAGTTTTCCAGAAAATGCAAATTAATCAATGCAGTGTTTCAAAAAAGTTAGGATTGTTTTTTTCTTTAAATCACTTTTGTGTATGTTTTGCCAGTGGGTGAATAATTAAAGTTCCTTAATGTGGTATTTCTCTAATCTCATATTTTCGAGTAGGTGCAACTGATGTTGCTGAAAAACACTTTACCGGAAATAGTCCATTTTGAGGAAGGGTGTGAAGTTGAAGAGCTATGACCTGAGGGATGAATTAGGAAGATTTTTCTGGCTTAGGAGGGTGACAGGAAGAATGGATTGAGATAAGAATAGAAAAGGCAAACTCGATGTGCATGTAAACTAAGTGAACACAGTTTGCTGGGTGTTAGAGAATCTGGGAGACAGTGGGAAGGAGAAACAGAGGTCAGTCCGAAGGAAGAGGGGAAAAGTTTACAGCAAATGGTGAGACGGAGAGAGGAGCTGAGCGCTGGGGTCTGGGCATCTGCTCTGGCCACAGGGAGACGTAAAAGGTTAGAGGTTAAGGGTTAGGCCGGATTTCTGTGGCCCCTGGTAGACAATGATGAAGCCAAGGAGACTATTTTAGCTTTTGTGTGTTTTCAATAAAGAATTCTAACTCTACACCCAGAAACACATTCCGATATGCATTTAACTATTGTGGTTAAGATGACTGAAAAACAAAGTGTGACACACTGCTTCTTTTTCCTCGCAGAAGGCTGATTTTTCCTGCAACCAAATTTCTGAAATGGGCAATTTGTCGGCATACGAGGCTCTCACCACACTAATTTTGGACAGTATCCTTTGCTAAGTAAAGAGGAAAATTTGGTTAATAGATCCATTAGTAAGTGTGTGTATACCAGATGGTATGGAATACGACCAGATAAGCAATTTACTAGAGATGTGTGACTCATTAAAATAATTAAGAATTAATAATCCCCAAATGAAGAAAGATGTTTTATTTACGAAGGAATAAGACTTCGAAAAAGCTTATCAAGAGCATTTTATTCCTGAAAGGCTAAGCGAGACAGTCATTCTAATAAATGTAGGCTTATTTTTAGTTCTAGAACCAAATATATTCTGTTCGAACTGACTCCTTTTCAAATTTACTTAAACATGTACCTTATATCAATTCAATGTCTGAAAATCCAGACACGGCCATTAGGAAAATCAGTAATTATTTATTTTACAAAAGCATTCATACTAAACTCCCTTTAAATAGCACGCTTCTCCATTGTATTTAAAATGCGCTGTCATTAAAAAAAACCTGACTTTTGATTTGCAGCCATGTTCAGGGACAGATCCAGAGTCAGCTCCCACGCAAGCAGCCCCTACTCTCAAGTGAGCGTGCTCCAGCTTCTAGGGCCGAAGGGGTTCACTGGGGGATCTGCGCGTTTAATGAGCTCCAGTCTCTTCTGTTACACCAGAGAGCGAAGTCCTCTGGGTGATGGAGGACGGCGCGCGCCCTTTCTCGGGGAGTTTCTCTCTGCCCCACCCCCCAGGGTGTTCAGGGCGGGGTGGAAAACCAACGGACTGGCCCTGGCGCCTGTTCAGGGGCTGTTGCTGTGGCGCATGTGCGTTACGCTTGAAATGAGGCTGGCATGTAGGGGGGAAAACTCGTTCTTCACTTGTGACAAAACGCTTGGAACAGCACCATGCCCTTTAGAACTTTGGTGTGAAAATGAACGATTAGTGGACAAAAGTTAAGAAATCTAAAAACGCCAAGGGCAGGGGGGAACATTATAGATTAAAAGGATCTCTTTATATTGCTTATAGGTATGAAATTGGTTCAACCACTTTTTTTTTTGCCAAGACAACTTATCTTTTTTTATTTATATATTTTAATTTTTATTGTATTTTTCTGTTACCATTTAACCCCCTTACACTCCCCTCCCCCCTGCAATCACCACACTGTTGTCCATGAGTCCTTTTTCCTTTTTGCTCCACTCCTCCACCCCCAACCTCCTCACACCCCCCAGAAGCTGCCATCCTGCCCTCTATGAGTCTGTCCCTGGTTCGGCCACTTTGGAAAACAACTTTCCACTGTCTTGTGCAGTTGGGCATCCAAGTTCCCTATGACCTGGAGTATTCCTTCCTGTATTTGGACGGGTTAGCATGTGTGAACCAGGAGGCATGTGTGAGAAACACTAATGCTCATGGCAGCTTCACTTGTCATAGCAGACAACTGAAACGGGCCCAGTGCCCGTGGATGTACGAACGCGTAAATTGTGCTGGACTTACACAACAGCGTACCCACCACAGTGGGAAGGTGAAATGCGTTCCCATGCAGCAGTGAGGAGAGACCTTAACAGGCTAAACAGGACTTGGGTATAAAACCAGTGGGAAAGGGGGGAGGAAAGACAAACAGCGTAGTGGCTTATCTCTGAGAGGGGGACACAAGTCACTGCTGTCGTTCTACTTCCTGGGCTGGGGGTGGGGTGACCTGATGGTGGTGGTTTGGGGAGTGTTCATTATATGTTTAAAAGTAGATAAAAAACAGGCCATATATGGGCCAGTGGCGTACCTACGTCAGCGAACACATTTAAAAGTCTGAGAATGAGCAATTAATTTTTTTGAAAACAAGTATTTACCAAGCGTCACAGGTCAGCTGCGTCAGAATGCCCTGGAGGGTTCGTCGGAACACCTGTTGCTGCCCCACTGGGTGGGTCTGGGGCAGCGCCTGAGGTGGTTCGAGTTTCTAACGGGGTCCAGGTTACGCTGATATCGCTGGTCTGAGGACCACACTTTGAGACCCTCGGCTGGAAACCAGCCGGTCCTCTCTGTGACACCTGGAAAGGCCTGCTTTCCTGCTCCGATGGCCTCAGCCAGTTGACTGCTACCTTCCCTATACTTTTTATATTTGTTCACGCTTTTCTTAGGAGCATAGATGACATTTTTACTTGAGGGAGAAAGGGTGTGCCTTTCTTTAAAATAAAGTTAAATAAGAGTAATCGTCAAAGTAAATAAACAACACAGAACAACCATTTAAAAGCAAATCAGTTATTAAAGCTGGCAATACTGATAATGTGGTTGTAGTAGGTCATATTACTACATCAGAATGAATTAACTCTAAGATAGGAACTTTGTCATTTATTTTAGTCCGTTTTGTCCTTTCACGTGTGGATAGCTGATGATTAGTTAGTCATCGTCCCAAACTGCGAGATGATGAGCTTTGCCAAATGTGTGTAAGTTTACTTATTCCTGAGAAAGGATGCAGTTTATTCTTTACCTGTAAATTCCGACTGGCTGTCTCTTTCATGATTATAGAATTACGAAATTTAACAATGATTCATAGAATTTTTAAATCCAGACAGGATTTTGGAGATGATCCAGTCCTAGCTGCTATGTTTATGGAGGAGGAGCCCCAGACGCACGGAGACTTAGCAAACTGTCCAAGATTATTCGGAAAATGGCCCAACCGAGACCAGTCTCTTGAATTCCATTGTTTTCCCCACGGTTGCAATTCAGTGAGCAATCGCTACTTTTACCCCTTCGCCATTTAAAGTGTATGCCCGTTTCATTTCTTAGAGAGTTTCATTCCTATGGGGAAGAACATTTTTCACTGGCAAGGTGATATAGATCTTTCAGGATTGGTTTTGATGAAAGCCATCATGGCTGGTCTCCCCACTAAGAGAATCATGATAGATTTCTGGGACTTGCAGTAGCTGCTTTCTGCACACCCAAACCATATTTTTCGATCGGAGACAAATGAGGAAGAGCGAATACCGAGCTAGTGAATAATTCATGTCAAGCGCTGTGAACGGCTAACAGCACTACCAAAGTGTAAAAAACACATCGCCAGGCTTTTCCCTGGCTGTGAAGTCCTGCTTGTGCGCTCCTGGCGAGGATCTAAAATTGTGTGGAAGAGATTTAGCCACAGAACAAAAAGTTTCAGGGCTGGAATGCAATATGATAATACTGGGTTCTTTGGGTCTCTTCCTCCTGATAGGGTCCTTTTAAAATTAAAATATATCTAAGAGTATTAACCCAGTAAGCTAATTCACTGGAGGAGTTTAGTGACTTATCAGATTATATTTCTTCTTATCCAAAAGTCCCAAGACCTAAGAAAGAACATGAAAGCATAATGTCAGGGGGAAGGGCAGGCAATATTTTACAAAGGGTCTTAAAATAAGAAAATGGGCATTTGGGGAGGTGAGGGCATTCCTGAAGGCAAGCTGTGCCCTCAGCTGTGTGCGGGCCACCTCCTGCATGTTGACCATTGCCACGGAGGAGGGGACTTGCGGGAGCCGCTAGGGAGGAAGCTGCTGTGCCACTGTAATAAAAAAAAAAAGAAAGAAAGAAAAATTTACTTCTTCCTCAAGAACCTCATTCATTTATAGTGCCCGAAACACCTGGAAACCTATAAGGGAATGAATAGTTGGGAAACGACAGTTTTTCTGAAATGAACTTATTTCTCCGTAGAAATGCTCAGTCAATCCCTACGCCTCGTGCTGAGAGCGCCCGTGACAGTAGCTGCCCAAGCCCGTGTTATGATTGAAGCAGCGCGTGCGTCCTTATTTCTCCTCCTCTGGCCCCCGTAACGTTCATGCGGTGACACAAGTCTCGCTGTTCTGGTTGAAGCCAGGCAGCCCCATGTACCAAGGGGACCGCGTTTACCCTCTGATGCTTGGAAAATGGGTGTGTGCGCAGTCAACCAGCCGTCCTTTTCAATTCCCATTCCCTCTCCATGGTGCCAGGGCTCCTGTGTTCTAGCTTTCTGGTCCTTGCCTGCTCCGCACAGGACTGCTTCCCGGCTCAGCCACCCACACGCATGCACACGTGACACTATGTACTGTGTGGTAATTCACCGGATCTTCGATTCATTTGGAGCGCAGCCACCAGGATGAGAGGGCTCCTGGAACAGGACCTAATGACTGTTGCTAAACCCAGACAGATGGCCGTCTGAAGCGTGTCTTGCCAAAGACGGCCTCCTCGGAGGATATTTTATTTCACCTATGGCCGTGTGAGAGTTTAATCTCCTGTTTTCCACCTTCTGCCTCCTTCGTTACAGTCCATAGCTGCAAAGACCTGGTCTCTGTTTCAGTAACAGAACGATGATTTCAATCACCAGAGAAAACAGAAGCAGAAAGGAGTACAGTGTCGGTGAGCACGGACGTGTGTTTGCAGATCCGTTCTGGCCGGGAGCTTTCTGACTGTAGATTTGAAAATGCATATGGACGGCAAGCAAAACTGTTTCTGCCTGATAAAACTGAATCCGAATGGAGCCAATGAGGAAAATCGAGAAATTTCTGGTTCATCTGGCCACATTTTTTCATCATTGCTTCTAGTTTCCTAACTCGCCTCTTTCTGCAGCCTAGTTCTTTTCAGAGTCGATCCTGGCCTTGAACCTTCCCTTTAGTGCTGTTGGCGGAGTGGGAGAGGCTGCGATCCCTTGGCCCCACGTGCTTCTGAGTCAGTAAGGAAACAGTGCCCTGTATTGTAGGCGTCTTGTGGGTTGTGCAGCTCATTCACTCCCATTTTCTAGTTTTTTTTGCACAATCTAACTTTTGGCCTTTGTGGCACCCTGGTGTCTGAGCAGAGAGACATTAACTCACATAACTTATAAATAGAATTAGGATAACTACAAATAATTATGAGGCAAAATATGTGTTTTTTGTGATGCTTTCAATCCCTTTCTTCCTCTTTGAGAAACTGATTCCATGCTGGTTGATTCCACGCTTCATGGAAGCAGATAGGTGGGGGGTTAGCAATTGAACAGACAAGGTTTTAAGGAAGAAGTGGCTTGTCTAGAGTGGAAACCAAGAAGTGGGGCAGGGTGGCTGTGACCTACTCCCGCCAGGTCACCTCCGAAGTGACTTATCTTAAGGAATCCTCACCCAGTAGTATTGTGTCTGTTCTTTCAAACCCTTCAGATGTTCATACCTTTTATGTTTGCTAAGCTGATGGTGAAAAATGGCACCTTGTCTTAATTTGTAAAGTGTCTTTTCACCTATTAGCCACTTAGATTTGCTCTTCTGGGAACCTCCTAGAAATATCCTGAACACATTCTTTCTATGTTTTCAACAGGGTTGTGTTGGGTGGGGTTTTTTTTTTAAGATTTTATTTATTTAATTTTTGAGAGAGGGGAAGGGAGAGAGAGAGAGAGGGAGAGAAACATGAATGTGTAGTTGCCTCTCACGCGCCCCCTACTGGGAACCTGGCCCACATCCCAGGTATGTGCCCTGACTGAGAATCGAACTAGCGACTCTTTGGTTCACAGACCGGCATTCAATCCACTGAGCCACACCAGCCAGGGCTCCACAGGGTGGTTTTGTCTTTTTTCCCCCATGGCTCTTCTCTATCCTTTGTCTACTATACATGCTGTGAATATGTTCTTCCAATCTGTCCTTTGTACTTATACTTATGTAATTAAAAAGTAATAAAAAAGGAAATGAGGTTATCTGTCAAAAATAAATACTGAAGATGTTGGTCGGAAAAATGGAAAAGCCAATGTGGAATTTGAAACTGAGGCTGAGGAACGGGCAGGGGCTGGAGAGGAGGAGGCGGCAGGAACGAGGTTTTCCGCTCGCTCCGGAGCCGTTGAAAATACTCACCCGGCAACACCGGAGGATTCTCGTCGGATTATAAGGGGGATGGAGTTGAATAAATAGGTTTTGCTCAAAGTGAGGAGCCTTAAGTTCTCGAGTGAGAAATTTGGAATTTGTCCTATGAGAATTGTTTACTTGAAGCTTAATATGTAATCAATATTTTGGAAAAAATGAACCTGACTACAGCGTGTAAGGTGACTTGGAGACAGGATGTTACAGGTGCCCATCGGTGCTAAAGCTTAATTAAGTTGGCAGAGGAGTGAATGAAAAGGGAATAATTAAAGACACGTTGTAAAGCAAAACAAACCAAAAAACCAAAACCGGGTTTGGGCAAGGGATCCGGTGCCTTGAAGGTTCCAAGTGGCTGAGAACACAGTGATGTCTTAGGTGACTTGGGAGGGACAACTGCGCTTTGGTGAGGAAATGGCATCAAACCCCAGACATTTGCTGAAGAGATTTGAGGACAGAGAGAGATGAGGAGAATGGGGTGACTTTGAGATTACAGTTTCAGGTGCCTGCAAGGACAGAACACAGAAGAGAAGTTAAAACTTTAGCAAGGAATAGAAACTTAGTGGCCGGGGAAGTCAAAGCAGAGAGGTGGTTTCATTTCTTTAAGGGCCAGCGCTCTTCCTGTCTGCATCAGGGCACTGGTGTCTCTGCTGGCGCCCTGGCCGTGCCCAGGACAAAGCCTGCTGCGTGTTGCCACTGCAGGGCAACTCTGTTCAGAGGTCCCGCCTGGGGGGAGCACCCGAGCTTCTCAGTGAGACTCAGCACCCAACGCAAAGCTTGCTGCCGAGGAGGCAGCTGTGAGCCCCTCTGGGTGCAACTGTGAGTGCACACACACACACACACACACACACACACACACACAAATACACAGTGTGCCTTTAGAGAGTTCATTGTAAGTCGTGCTAGTATTAACTTCCATATGAAATCTCTATTTCAGGATTTACTGATCATCCTGTGTTGGCATGTAATACTGCTCTGTTTTTGCTCCGGTCTGCTTTAACACCAAGTTTTTTTCTCTAAAATGTTTTCACAACATTTTCCTTAAACATAGTCCTGGTACACAGGCAACGAGATAGAAGAGGTCTGCGGGCTGGAGCCGTGCAGCAGCCTGACTCACCTCAGCCTGGCCCAGAACAAGGTCGCCACGATCGGCGGCTTGGGCGTGTTACCCATCAAAATACTGTGCCTGGTGAGTCTGCCAAAAAACGTTCTTCTTTAGAATTTGCGAGTCGATGCCTTAGTAAGTGTATGAGTTATGAGATTATTTACGGATTTTCAGCGTTACAGAGAAAGAATTCTTTACTGGTATGTTCTTGTCTTCAGTTTGCTCCTTCCCATGTCTGGCGTGTTTTTGTATGGGCGTGTGAGATCAACATTTTATGCCAATGACGAATGATTTTCTAACTTGGTGTCCAAGTTCAATTTTTCAAAAGACTGACTTTTTACACAGAAAGAGAGGTTTACTCTTAACAATTTAAGACATTTTACAATGTCTTATTGGTGCAATAACATTTAAGCATATTTAAGCATTATATTTATTGCTGTTAACACTCTTCCTTTCAAATGAACCCCAAGATGTTCTCCAGGCACTGAATTTTTGCCTTCCTTTCATATTAATATATGTTAGGTTCCCCTTCTAACAACCAGGATAAAAGGACAGTTCCAATCAGAGTGTTCAAACTTGTTTCTTTTGTCCCCATAGAGAGTACCCTTTTTAAGCTATGTAGAACTTGCTGTGTGACTGACTCAATGAAAATACAGATAACTTACCAAAAAATCAGCAGGATCGTAAGAGTCCCATACACCGCATTTTCGAAATAACAACATAGCTCACTGCTTTGGAGGCTGACAATATTCTCGCTGGGTCATCCATTTTTTCCTCCTCCTTTCCTCTTCCCTCCTGCTCTTAACCTTGGATGGCTCTGCTGTTCTTTATTGCATCTGTCACAAGGTGGGCAGGGAGGATTTTGAACCATGAGGCTGGTAGCTTATTAAATTCCAAAGCGAGCCCTCCCGCAGCGGCGTGTTGGACTGTTGCTTGAAATATCTTGGGTTTCTGCAGAGTTGTGACACACACAATATACTGCCCCTGTCTTATTTAACCACAGAGGCTGATGGATGGCTGTATGCTAGCTTCTCCCCCTGCCCCCCAGCTTGGAGATTGAAGTGCCTTTTTGAGAGCCTTCACCCCTTACAGCGAGTTAGGAGAGGGCGGGGGACTGGTTCCCAAGACCGGGAATGGATGCGAGGTGCGGGAAGGGTTCAGCATCCCCCCGAGGTTTCATGTTCTCTGCCCACCAAGGCATATCAGCAAAGCAAAAATGAAAATGAACCTGATAAATTGGATTGCAAATGTAAGAATTGCTTTAAAATCACATTGGAAAGTTACGGTAATCTGAAGGATCACCGGGTGGAGGTGCCGTTCTGTGTGACGCTGATCCTTTTCTTTCCATGTCTGGCTGTCCTGGAGTTCCCATTTGCTTTAGGTGCAGCTCGATGTGCAGAAAGACTCCTGGGGTGCGCTTACGGGACCGAGAGCGGAAACTCCTCATTACGAATGCCAGCACGTAGCGCTTTCATCCTAAGAGTTTGTTTCAGTCAGGAAGTAATGCAGGTTGCCAGTTTTGGGTCTCAGGTAGCTTTGGGGCAAAGCAGAAAAGATTTATTTTTTTGCTGCACAGGGATTAGGTGGCTGTTTCCCAATCCCTGCACACGCTACCTAAGATGAACTAGAACACGCAGGGTATGCTGTCATTCCTTTTCAAGAATAGGAAGGTTTTCTTTTGCCTATGTGAATAAAACACGTAAAGTAAAATGATACACATTTGTTTCAACGGTTTTTTAAAAATTATATATTTTTATTTTATTACAGTTGTCCCAATTTTTCCCCTTTCGTCCCCCTCCACTCAGTGCCCCCCACTCCCTCAGGCAGTCCCCGCGCCACTGCCCACGGGTCATGTGTATAAGTTCTTTGGCTGCTCCATTTCCTGTACTGTACTTCATATCCCCATGGCTATTGTGTAACTACCTATTTGTACTTGTTAATCCCCTCACTGATCACCCATTCTCCCACCCCCTCCCATCTGGCAACCATCAAAACGCTCCCTGCATCCCCGATTCTGTCTCTGTTCTTCTTGTTTGCTTAGTTTGTTTTTTAGATTCAATTATTGATAGATATTTTTTGCCATTTTATTGTTCATAGTTTTGATCTTCTTTTTCTTAAATAAATCCCTTTACCACTTCATATAATAATTGTTTGGTGATGATGAATTCCTTTAGTTTTTTCTTGACTGGTAAACTGTCTGCCCTTTGATTCTAAATGATAGCTTTGCTGGGTAGAGCAATCTTGGCTGTAGGTGCCTGCTTTTCAATAGTTCTTAGTGCTTTTATTTGTTTAATTCATGGACTCAGAAAACCAATTGCTTTATTACTGGAAATAGTGTCTTTTACAATTTAGAGAAAAAAGAACAATTCACTATACACACCAGTAGTTCATTGTGCGCCATCAACGTTTGTGGTTAACGTAAGGGGAAATGTGGTCCCTGCTGGGCCGGTGTGGCAAGCGCTTCCCTTAGCAAGTAAGGGCAGTGCATTTTAAATTACGAAATTCATTTTGCCTCCGTAAGAACCATGTGCTGTGTTTCTCCCAAACTGGGAGATGAGTATTCCTTGGTTCACTTATTTAAGGGCACGGCTTCTCTCCAAAGGCCCCTTTACCTGCTAATCAAGGCAGGGGACTGTTCACGCAGACACCGGTTGTCCACTTTGCGGGCCGATGTGCCCATTTGTCAGTAATGGATAAAGGGTTTGGCTAGATGACCTTCCACTCAGAAATCCTGTGATTCTGAATATTTCTCAGTTCTGCCTTCTTCATGACCACAGGCCACCTAATTAAACTTTTCAATGCCTCACTCGACTCTTCTGCGTCCACCACTTTGAAAGCCTTCAGAGACACTGTAAAGATTTACGCAGGCTCTGCTCCACATCCCAGCACTTCCAAGTTCTTTGCAAAGAAGTATAGTGTATATAAATTAAATATGTGGGCATATCTTGAATAGGAGATTGAGGTCTCATTTCAATAAGTTAAATTAATATGAATATTATGTTAAGCTTAGTGTCATTTTTTTTCTTTCCCATTAAACTTTCTGGAACTTTTTTGAACTCTGAATTGAACAGTAGGACATTGGACTTAACTTAGGCAAATGAGGTCATGAGCATTTTCCTCCTTACAGAAATTTTCACATGCACATAAAAATAAAGAAACTGGTTTAATGAGCCCCCACGTACTATCAGCCAGCTTTATAGATCATCAACATTTTGTTAATATATTTTAAAGGGCTATAAATTAGGCCAGTGAACACAAGTCTTGCTCATTATTGAAGTTAACTCTTAAGAAAAATAGGATGAAAATGAGTTCTTGCTATTCAGTGTACCAGGAGAAAAGCTTATACAAGAAGAGAATACTGTGGTTAGATTTTTTTCAGTTCATAAGTGCTTATTAAAAGTTTTTAAAGTTTAAAGATGGGCGTAACTGCATTAGTTGAAACCTCAGAATTCTCATTAGTATGATTCTTGCCTTAAACTAAGTTCAATTTTACTGCCCCATATTCTTTTTTTAAAGTTTTATTCATATATTTTTAGAGAGAGGGGAAGAGAGAGGGAAACATCAATGTGTGGTTGCCTCTCTTGCGCCCCCTACTGGGGACCTGGCCTGCAACCCAGTCATGTGCCCTGGACTGGAAATCGAAGGGGCAACCCCTTTGGTTCGCAGGCTGGTGCTCAATCCTCTGAGCCACACTAACCAGGGCACTGCTGCATCTTCTTATACCTCAAGGTTAAGGAACCCAAGGAGTTATGAGCATGTTGGAAAATGTACAAGACAAATGCAAATTGTCATTATCACCATTATTTGTCCTTATGGGCACTGGGGGTTGGGAAAGAGGACAACATTTGATTCTTGAATCTTTCTTTGTTTTATGCTCACTGTCTGAGAAGATGTTCATGCATGATTTATTGAAGAACTTAGGTTAGTGGTGTGGAGAAATTTTATTAGCTAACCATTTTGTTAGCTAGCAGTTCTACAATCTGAGCTGGGATCAGCTAGGTGGTTCTGCTGCTCTTGCCTCATTCAGCTGGCAGATCGGCTGGGTCTGGGCCCAGCAGGGATGCCGGGATGGCTGGGTTTTTCCTCTGTATTTAGTCTCAGGACCCCTCTCCATGAGACCACTCCATCTCCATGGGACCTCTCCACAAATTCTGTCCAGTAGAACAGGTAGCATTCTTCCACTGCCGCTCAGAGCTCCAGGACACCACGGGACGCTGCCAGGCCTTCTTAATTCTTCAATCTGGATCTGGCACACCTCTGCCATATTCCCTGGGTCAAGACCAGTCATAGGTCCAGCCCACCTTCCTGAGGTGGGAACTTCACAGGAACACGAATACCTGGGGGCTTGGATCACACCCCCGCAGCCCTGATTTTAGATTCAGAGAATGTTGCTGAGAACAAAGTGTATGTGGAAATTGCAGTATTCTGGTAGTTTGTTGTGACGCCGATGGATGAACCGCATTGATGTTTTCTGAAAGTGAACTCGGGGTTATGCTCTCATTAGGCTTTAGATTATACAATATTACCTAGCTCATGTCCTACTGATTTGAATGTCCCTCTAGCCTCAACTTTAGTGAATATATCACATTCTGAGTCTTCCAGCTGAAAAGTTGGGCCTCGCGTCTGTGCGTTTAGGGAAGTGAGTGATGGGAATGGGGGGGCGGTGACCAGAACGGCTTCCTGGCTTGGAGCGTTTCGGGCTCAAAGTCAGCTTTTGTTCAGAGTGAAAACTTGTCATTACTCCTTTTCCGGTGGAGCCCTTGAAGACACTGAGTGTCTCTGATCGATTTTAGAGCCATAACCAGATTGAGAAGATCACGGGTTTGGACGAACTGAAATTCCTCCGGATTGTGGACTTGTCCCACAACCAGATCAGCAGCCTCCGAGGCTTGGAGAACCACGACTTCCTGGAAGTGATCGACCTCGAGGACAACAAGGTAATGAGCGCACAGCACGTGCCTCTACGTGAGCAAGATGTGCTAGGACCCATCGTTAGTTGCCCGAGGGCTGTCCCATGAAATGCCAGCTTAGAAATATCATTCTGGAAACTCTGGAGCAGTAGTGGAAGAAGGCCTTAAAAAAAATACTTCTTAATTTTTGAAAATTTGATTGTTCCTAATTACATTGTTTGAAAGGTTGCCACTGCCAGGGGGGGCACATGATTTTCTGAAGTAAACACATTCGAGGGAAATTTTATGTAGAAAGAGAGCATTAGAAATGCCTGAAATGGCGAAGCAGAGAAATCGTGGATGTGAACTTGGCCTCAGGCCGGTGCGCCCGAGCTGACCACTGACAGAGGGGTCGGAAGCTGGTTCTTGTGTCCCGTGGGTAACAGCCCTGTGCACTCCAGTCTGTGTGGGTTGGGGATCGGACTTACTCAAATTTCTGTATCTGGCTTCATGCACAAATGACATAAATTGGCTCTCACTCTTAATTATGCTTTATTTTTAATAAAGTAGTCGTATGTCTAATCACAGTATATGAAGTTGGTACCTGTAGCTGATTTCTTATGCAGTAAGAGCCACAGTGAAATAGGATTTTACTCATATCGAGGACCTTGTCATGTGTTTAGAAAAGATTTCAGAAGGAAATCGAATGTTTATTTCCTGTTGAAAAGTGCAAAGCGCGGCTGACCCTGCGGGGTCACGGGCCCTACTTGGGGCGGAGGCGCCTCTGCGTTCAGCCGCAATGACACGGAGCTTCCAGCCTCCGTTACGTGTGTAAGAATCAAGGCAAGGCCGTCTTTAGGTCTGAGGGGAAGTGGATATTTAATTACACAGACCTGTTCACCTTCACTCTCGCTGGATTTGTGTACTAGATTGCTCTACCCACTCCTGAAGTTAGTTCTGATGGACGACGTCTGTCCACTGTGCCGCATGTCTCATGAAGTCGGCACAGTCTCCCTTCCATATGGTGCCAGTGTCTTTTTCATGGACGTGCCCTTGACGTGATTCTCACATCAGGGGGTGGGAGGAACAGACCTTACCCTAGTAATGGAAATACTAACACTGACAATTGTGTCATAGAATCACTGTGCCAGTCATTGAATACTTGCATACAAAGCACTGTTCTAAGCACTTTGCATAGATCTCCCTTAATCCTTCTTCTAGAACTCTTATTATTATTGCTATGTTATGGAAGAAACTGGGGCGTCAAGAGGTTACGTAGCTTGTCCGAAGTTATTTATCCAGCAAATAGCAGAGCCAGGATGCAGACAGACTGGTCGGCCTGTGGGGTCAGCGTCCCAACCCTACAGGTGGACGCAGTGAGTGAGGCGCTAACGGCCCCTCCTTTCAGAAAAGGGTAAATGCCTTCAAAGAGCGTTTTCTGATGAAAGTATGATAGAAAACATAAATGTGAATGCAATTTTAAGTTTTCTAGTAGCCACAGTAAAGGCACAGGTGAAATTCATCTTAAAATATTACCATTTCAACATATAATCTACATGCAGAGTTATTGATAGGACAGCTCCTACTCTGCTGCTTCTCACTAAGACTCTGCCGTCTGGTGTGTGTTTTACACCACAGTGCATCTCGAGTCATCCTAGCTGTGTTCCAGGGCTAAGTTGCCGCCTGTGGCTAGTTAACTACCACACTGGTTAGCGCTGATCTAGAAGGACCTCATAAATAATATGTTGTTCTCTTCCATTTCAAGAGACTTTTCAAATTACATTTGAAACAGTTTAAGGAAAAGAGCGAGTGAAGAGAGGAGTGTATAGTTTTCCGATATTAAAGAGACACCACTTAAAAAAAAGTGGCCACATTTCCCAGAGGTGGGGAGCCTTTGGCGATCACTTGCATCTGTAACAATAACACAGTTCTCTGGCTCCCCGGGGGGGCAGGGTGGGGAGCAACCAGCAGCCCTGTGAAATATTCTCGGAGCCTCCGAACATTCCCCCAGAGATCTCTCCAGGACTGCTGAGAGTGCTGTGCATCGGGGATGGAAAATGTATCATTTAAAAGAAGCATAACATAGCCGTTGCTTCTCAGATGATTAATCCGGTGCTAGGAATATAGTTTCACTGGTAGCACTTTCATCAGTGTTATTTACTTGGTTTTAGCTGTTGAGACATTGTCTTACTCATGGGATCATTTAGATATCTTTTAAATTCCTTAGCAAATGCCTCTCACCCACTCACGATTTGGGGGCCTTTGTCACTGTCTACTCTATAGTCCCTGTTCAATTAGATGTCACATCTAGCCCTGGAAATGTATCCCTAAAATGTTACTTAGAGAATGCCCCTTTACTTTTCTGAGACTTAGTGTCATTGTTTCTCAATCGTCTGTCTGTCTCTATCGATCTATCTTTAAAAAAGCTTTACTAGGCCACATTACGCCTGGATGTAAGGCTTGGCAAGCATGGCCTAGGAGGAAATGGCAAAAACAGAGTCATCTGGACGAGTCTGCCTGGGAAATCCAGGTTGACAGGCCTCTGGATGTGGAAAGTAACCACCAGGCAGAGGAAGTTCGAGAAGGGGGGCAGAACAGGATCTGGGGACCTGCCGATGTGACAGCCGTAGCAGCAGGTGGCTGAAGTTCCTTTCCGAATATAAGCTTGTGGGCAGTATTTCACTCTCGGTCCTTTGGGGTGTAGAGTCCCCACACCGTGTGTAATCGTCTGGGATGCACACAGCCTTGGGTCTTGGCATTGGAGGAGAGGAGGAGCCAGGGAGGGTGGGTCCACCGGGGGTGAGGTCTCAGGAGTGGGTGGGTGAGTGCCTGCAGGACGGCCAGTGCCTGGTGCGCGCTGTCCTTCCCCAGCCGTGGGAACCGGGGCCGGGCAGCTGCACACACGCTCCCCTCTGCCCTCAGCAGCCCCATCCTACCTTTGGAAGGCCTGGGAGGGAAACTGGGCTCCTCTCCTTTGACTCTCGAAGACCAGAGGTCCCAGCTGACATCTTAGTGGTAACGCAGCTGTGTGCAGTCTGTGATATTTGAAGGTCCTCCTGTGTCGGTCACTGTGCATGTCATCATCTTCTCAATCTGGTGCATGGTGGTCCTGTTCTGGGACTGCGCCGTGACTCAGTTAATCACAATTGATGGCGCTTTCAGGAACTCGGACTGTTTTTAACTTTGACTGAGGACAGGAGACAGAGCATTCTTGTATCTAATTTCTGCCTGACGATCTCTTCAGTCTAAACCTCCTGAAGGGGGACAGCTGGTTCATCGCCTATGCATTTCCAACACAGATCACCCTTGAGAAAGAGTGTCCACTGTCACCAGTGATGTCAGTGAGTGCCCAGGGCCAGGACTTGTGGGTGAGACCAGGTGACCGTGGGGAACATGTCCTAACCTTTGTGTTTGGTCCAAGTACAAGCGTCGTTTACTGCAGGGAAACCAGCCCCTTATTGACCGGGCCAGTGTGAGCCACATCGACCTGCCTGCCCTCCTGAGTCACACAGCATGGAAGCCGGGCCTCCTCTCCGGTGGGGGACCCGCAGGGCGGTCTGCAGGGGGCTGGTCATCTCAGGGCACAAGTCGTGTGTAATGGCGCAAAGCCGCTGTCACCAGGCTCACAAGGGCAGGCTACAGACTGTAGCTCCGAACTCACCTTTCTCATTGCACCTGTGAAAGTGGCAGCCTGGAACATGGCGCGAGTGGTCTTGCCTCGATTTAGCTTGGGGAAGGGTTGCATTTTGGCTGCGTTTTGCGGTTGGCTAACTCAGGAATTGTCGGCGACTGTGCCGTTGGAGCGCTTTGACAGTGCATGCAGAAATGACCTGGGCAGAAGTAGAAACGAAAAGTGAGGATTCATTTTTTGCAGAAGTTCAATATCTACATTTGAAATAAAATCATAATTATGTGAATCATTGGAAACTTACGTAAAAGTGTCTGTCTCTCGTTGAGTAAAAAATTGAGGCACGCTATAACCCAAGCTCTATCCTTGGTCAAATTAAGGCCCCTTTTTCCTGACTTCTAACAGTTGTGAAACCTAACCTGCACAGAGGGGAGAGAATAAAACATAACTGCACGATTGACAAAAGATGTGAGCGTGAACACACGTGGAACACCCATGTTGGGACAGGTGTCATACAATTTCTACTTTCATCTTTCCTTAAAATAATTACCTCTTATTTAAAAAAAAAAAAAAAGATAGGGCCACATACTCACATGCAGTAAAGAAGGCTTCACGGGTCACAGCTCACCAGGCGACCAGGGGCGGGAACTGGCGGTTTGGAAAGGGTGGGGGGGTGAGAGGAGGAAGAGGTGGCCTGCGACAGCTTTCTTCGTGCTTTGTCTCTGCTTCTTTGTGCTTTTATTTCTGCCTTTGAATAAGCACGGCTGAGAAGAAGAACACCTCATGGCCCTCTGGCTGGAGAGGAAAATGGGGCTGTGTGTTTGCGTGCACTAACTTCCTGGTTCTACAAAACTCTGGAATTCTCGAGAAAAAGTTGGATATTCAGCGAAGCAATTAAAAAAAAATCAGTCGAATTTAAAAGATCCAAAGTATCCCCTCTCACATCAGGCGTCCTGTTATCTTTGTGTGTTCAGTCTATGGCTAATGTGCGTTTCTTCAATTCAACAGATCGCCGAGCTGAGCGAAATAGAGCACATTGAACATCTAGCTCTCCTTCGAGTCCTCAATCTTCTAAGGAACCCAATTCAGGTACCAGACCATGTATATCGGGGACGGGAAGGAGGGCTTTCTGGGAACGCTTCCTCAAGAAGTACTTTCGATAAAGGACATCAGGCCTGTGAATGCTCTCAATCTCTCGGGAGGCATTTGGAAGGGTTAGGCCAGGTAGCGCCCCACGCACCTGGTGAAAGTGAGGCCTGAGATTCTGTTCTGCGTGGCCCTTTGTGAGTCATCCAGCAGGGAATAAAGGCAGCGGGAGGGAGCTCCAGAGGGTGGACGTGTGGGGCCGGAGGTGTGGACAGAATAGGGTTCCTGTCTCGCAGCAGGAAGGAAAATCTGAGATTAGACACCGAACGAAATTGCCTGCATGTAGCTGTGAAATCGGCATTGTTGTTAAATGATCATGGGAAAAAATGTATTTCCCGTGGATGCTTTGCACCTGGGATTCGGAGACCCACGGGGGTGTCTGAGTCCCTGTCTTCTCGTCCACGGACGGATCCTTTCTCCTGGCCACCGCCCCTCCCTCTTTGCTCCTTGGTCCTTCATTCTGCTTTTCTGCCCGTGCCCTTCACTCGTCTCTCTGTAGACCCCTGAATTTGTATGTGTCTCTGAGTACCTTTGTTTTGGTGCGTATCTTCATTAAATGTGTCTGGACAGGCAAAACAAATCAAATGGAGTTAAAAGTGAAAAATAAGATTTAAAAATAAAGGCCATCTGTGGGGTAGGAATAGCGGCAGGCAGTGTGAGATAAGTGCTGGGAGAGAAAACTGCAGGGATTCACGTGGCTACGTCCCGGCTTCGGGTCCGAGAGGAGCGCGTATTTAACACACATTCTCATTGGTGAAACGCATCGATCACCGTTACCTTTCCCTTCGAAGAGCCGTGGCTTCAGGATACAAAAGCTTTCACTGTCTTTAAAAGGCAGATAACCTTAACTCAGCAGAGGGTAGGGAGTGGGGAGGAATTCACTCCCTGTGCGAATATCTTTTTATTATTGTGAAACAAAATCATAGTAAATGCTACAAATTAATGCAAAATGAAACAGAGTCACAAATAACTGATAATAAATAGTTTCATTATTTGCAGTAATGAAGCTCTTTGGAGTTAGGACAGTGATTTTCATAGATTTTTTTTAATCCAGATTTTCAACTGGTGCGAGAATTTTTAAAACATGCAGTGCCTGACCGTCTAGTCGGGGGCACTGACCTTCTCTCTCTTAGATGGTCAAGTTAAAAAAACAACAACCACCAACACAACAACAGACAGTGAGTGTGAATGCCATGTCTTGAGCCACGAATATATAGGTCATATAATAGAGTTGCACCTGATTCGTCATGGTCACACCTCATAATAAGTTTGCATCTGATTGATTAATTCTTGATACCAGAAATCCTTATATATACACGTATAAGATAGGCACCCTACTTTTTAAAATGTCACTTTGGAGCAAAAAGGGTAGGTAATTACTATTGTGATTTTTTTTATAAATCAAAATAATACCAATTTTGTAAATTAGATTGGCAAAGAACATACCTTTTGGTGTGCCGCAGAGTTTCGGCGATCAGTTTATGCATGCTGTGACAGGGTTTATTTAAGTCACTGGCCATGAAACCTTACATTCAGTGCTTCACCTCTCTGGGGCTCACTTAGCTGGTTTTCTCTCTAGAAATGAAGGTCATCATACGTGCCCCGCTTACCTCTCGGGGAGATGAACAAGATCACACACTTGAAAAGCTCTATGAGTTGCAAAAGGCACCGTGTGCATTTGACTTGTTACAATAAGGGGGCTGGTCAGTGTGAAAACGCAGAGACGGATGAGTGTGTGTGTGTGTGTGTGTGTGTGTGTGTGTGTGTGTGTGACGGGGGGTGTGGGTGATACACCAGTGCCCGTGAAAGGAGGATGTTGGTGCTTGTTCATCTGAGGAAATGAAGGCAATTGAGTAGTCCTCTTGTTATTTTAAATAGGAAAAACCCGAATATTGGTTCTTCGTCATTTTTATGCTACCACGACTAACAGAACTCGATGAGAAGAAGATTAAAGTGGAAGAAAAGGTGTGTAATCATGTTACTGCCCCTGTTTCTGAGTCAACAAGCTGAAGCGCTCGCGCTGCCTGCTGCAGGACCGACACGTATGGATTCTTAATCCACACGTGATTCACGTGTTCCAAATGAATCATTCGTCTAGGGAGTGTGTCCTTGTCCCGGGATCGGTCTGTGGGGGCCCCTGCAAAGCCGAACCTCCTCCCCAGGTCGGCAGCGGCATGCGGTTTGTGCAGGTGCAGTCCAGTAGACTGTTAACACAGATGGCTGTTGCACTCGGAGGGTGCGCCATCCTGCGTGTGGCTCTTCATAATGAAATGTATTCCAATGCCATCCTGCCGTGCAGTCAGAAGGTGCCCAAGTGAATCCCTGCTCTGCCATTTCAAACCTTTAATTCTGCTCTTTAAGGTAATAATTCCCCGGGATTCACAGAGTGACTGAAGCCAGTCACTTTCATCCCCCAGAGTGGCTGAAGGCGAGCACCTGCCTCCCCACCACACCTGCACTGGCTGCCTTGTCTTGCCTCAGCGACCGGAGGCAGCTGACGTCTCCACTAATGAGGGGTTTCTCACACTGGATGCAAATTCGGGGTGGGAATGAAAACAGGTGTAAATATGTAGAGAGGCAGATATTCCATTTCATAAAAGCCTTTCTGAAATCTCGGTTAGAAGTGGTTAGAAATGGGAGTCTGTTGTTATTCTTACACTCAAAGGCGCTTACTAGATTTCTCTTTGCCTTGAATGTTTTGTACAGGGAATGAACTTCAAAGGTGTGAATTAGGCAAGGCGCGGCAGACAGGGTCACGTGTTTCCAGGGATGACCAAAACAAGAGCATAGGGAGCTGTGCCTCAGGAGGAGAAGGTCCTCATCTCTGAACAGAGAGAGTTAGGCCAAAAGCAGGGAGGTTTTGGTAGCGTTGGAGATAATAGTGCTGGTCGAGATGGCATGAGAAAGAAGTTCCGCGGCATCAACTGCCTGGAATCCGGAACACTGTATTTTATTTGTTTTCATACTAAAAGTTGGGGTATTTACTGTTTCAAAAGTGATCTTGGATTTTAGAGGTTTTGTTTTTGGTTTTGCTTTTTCCTTCCTAAACGAGGGACTGAATAAGTAGAGGGCCAAGGGACTCCAGCTCAGTATTTTAAAGTCGTGAGCGTCGTCTGGGTTTTAGGAAAGTTAGAGTAGACATGAAGGCTGAGCACAAAGATTCACGAGCACGTGTCAAATTATTTTGTCTACCCGGTTGCATGTCTAGACTGTTTCATCAAAGAAAATCTAGGCCTCGTGTGCTTTTTAGAAATGAAATGTGTTTCCCTTTTGCATTTCAAATTCTGGAAAAGGTTGCAGCCATGAATAAGTACAACCCTCCCCCGGAAGTGGTCGCGACCCAAGATCACCTGATCCACGTCGTCCACAGCATGATGCAGCCGCAGAGGATCTTTGACAGGTATTCATCCATCTGGGGTCCCCGGGACAGAGCTCAGGGCGGCGGGCACGGGGCAACCTCATCATCTTCCATAGCCTTCCAGTTTGTGACCCGTTCCTTTCTTACCTCGTCCAAGGGAAGGGGCCAGGTCTTTTTTGGATAGTCTGTGTGGTGGTCTCAGTTACAGCGTGTTGCGGCCTCAGTTACGGCGTGTGGGGCCGTAGGCATGTTATTGCATGCTTGAACTTGGGCTCTCAGTGTTTTCCCAAGTGCAGTGATGAGTGGGCGTATCTTCCCTCTTTCGTCTGGCCTCTGATTGGTGGCTAGCCTGTGACATAGGACAGTGAAATAATAATGATTAAAAAGAGTTGGTCAGTTTTTTTATTTATTTTTAGAGAGAGGGGAATGTTAGGAGAAAGAGTGGGAGAGAAACATCAATGTGTGAGAGATGCATCAATCAATTTGCCTCTCACCCCCCCACCCCACCCCGCCCCCCCAGTGCAGCCCAGGCATGTGCCCTGACCCGGAATGAAACTGGTGACCCTTGGGTTCATGGGATGATGCCCAACCCACTGAGCCGCATCAGCCAGGGCAGAGTTTGTTAGTTTCTTTCTTTCTTTTTTTTTTTTTTTTTGGCTGTAGGATAGGACGACAGATGATTGTGATCATTTCTGTCCATTGTAAATCCTTCCTTAGCTGTGAGTGAAGGCTAGGTAGCCCTGCTGGAGACCGTCCCATGAATGCGGATTATCAGAGCCCCTGGAAGGAAGCCCAGCCGGCCCAAGGGGAAAATGAAAGACTTTTTTAGTGACGGCACTCGGAGCGCTCGCTCAGCTTGGCTGAACACATGAATAGTCTCTCACCTCTGAGTTCGGAGATGGATTTACCACAGGTTCTCCTTTTCTTTTTAAACAATCTGTCGGAGCAGATGGCCATTTATGCTATAAGTGCAGTGCAGAAATTCTATCAATACCCAAAGGCATTTTAAAAATACTTGTAAGATCTCTTGGTTATAAATGGCTTCTCTTTTTCGTGTGATATTGGCTCCTGTACATCACGTGGTTGGTTTCCCACAGGGAGCAAAATGTTTTATTTTGCATCCAGGACATGATTTTTTACATGTAATTTAATAATACAGACAGCGACAGTTTTATATATTTATGGTAGCCCTCTAGGTGAAATGATTTATCATTTATTTGCATATATCTGGGAAAGCACATTTCATTTTTATTTTTTTTAAAAAAGAGCATTTATGTCCTCATTGTATTTCTTTTCCAGTTTATGAAGATTGCTAGTTGTTTCACGCTTTAGGGTACATTCGTATAAAAATATGTATCAAAGGAATTTACAGCAGTGTCTGATGAACACATATTTCAGGATCATTTCTGGCTGTTGAGCCGCCAAATATAAGAACAAATGGCCAGGCAGCCCCGGATGCTCCCGACAGAGCGTTGTTCGTTGGGAAGAAGTCGTGGGTGCAGGAGCAGCCCTGTCATTGCCTGTTCCACTCTGGCCAACTCACTGCTCTCTGGCAGCCCCAAGAGACGAACCCCGACCTTGACCTTGGTACATTGATGCTACATTTTGGGGGAATCACTGTTCCCTCTCCTGCTGTGATTGGGGTGAGGATACAATATTAAAATGACCCAGGTACTGGTTGGGTAGCTCAGTTGCTTAGAGTGGCATCCTGACATGCCAAGGTTGCGGGTTAAACTCCAGTCGGGGCACGCACAAAAATCAACCCAATGAATGCATGAATCAGTGGAACAACAAATCGATGTTTCTCTCTCTCTCTCCCTCCTTTCCTCTCTCTCTCTCTCTCTCTCAAAATCAATTTTTTAAAATGATCGAGCAGAAGCTTGGCCCTGGCCTGGTGGTCATGGACAGCCTTTTGCTCTCTGGAATGACACGGTTCTAAAGGCTCATTTTCTGCAAGGCCTGTTCGAACTTTGGAATTACCCACTTCTCCAAGGTGCCCTGGATTGTTTTAGTGCGAAATGGTATTTTCCAATCACAATCCGAGCACTAGAGGTGGTCATTACTCTCGGGTCGGTTGTCCTTTGCAGGCCTTGTCATGGGCAGAACTAGGAATACGGCTACTTATTTCCTTCCCTCCTCCCCTCTTTCCTTTCTTCCTGTCATACACGTATTCATCTCTCAGTCCTGTTTGTACCCGTCTGTTAGTATCTACATCATCTAATCTGTTTATCTAATCTATATCTAGGGGATCTCTGATTCAGTCTACACAGAGGTGATAAAATACCTCCTCGGTTCATACTGATGCTTGCACTTCCATTTCGAGACTACAGTTGAGCTTTCACTTCACCCCCTCTCCATTACAAGTATATCTCCTTCTCTCCCACACCAAGGACACAGAGGAAGGAAGTAGAATATCTCGTAATTACTCTTGTTTTAAAAGCCCACATTATACCCCAACAGCCTCAGAATACCAGTACCAACATCACCACCATCGCTGAAAGCTCTGGGAACATATTTTGCCTGTGCTCTTCCCGTTAAACCCTGCCCCCCACACCATTTTCATTATGGTAAAATATATATATATATATATTTATTTATTTCCTGTTTTAACTATCTTAAAGTATACAGTTTGGTGACACTGATTATATTCACAATGTTGCACAGCCATCGTCACCACCTATTTCCGAAACCGCGGCACCAAACAGAGACTCGGCAACAACCGCCCAAGCTCCCTGCTGCCCCCTGGCTGCGGGAGCTTCTCATCTACTTCCTGTCTCTGTGAATCTGCCTATTGTGTATCTGCTATGTAAGTGTCAATCACCCTGTCTTAAAAGTAGTTTACTGTACTTATATTGTCAGAACACACACCCATCACATGCCGCACACTGTCCTTTGCTGTCATTCAGTCTTGGTTCTGTGGGTGACTGCGAATTTATCGCTCACTTCCAGCCCCTATATTGATGTCTCTTGCGTCATTCTGGTCGTAGGGAGCTTGTTCTCTAGTAGATTCTGTAGGAAGGTCTATGGGATCAGTATCCCTTGCTGATAATATTCTCTGCCTTTTACTTTGAAAGTAATTTTTGCTGTAGTATAGGAAGAAGTCCACGGCTCACACTTTTTTCCTTGAATATACTAAAGATGTGACTTCGTTTGTTTAGTGCAAAACATTGCTGTCAAGAATCTGGTGATAATTTGATTTTCTTTCTCTTATAAGTCACGTGTATTCTTTTTTTCTAGCTGAACATTTTTTTTCTCTTTTAAGTCCAGTGATGTCACTAGACTGTGTCTTAGTATTTGTCATTCTGGGCTGATACAGGCAGCTGTATCTCTGCGTGTGCTTTCACAATATACAGCTATGTTGTTTTTTTTTTAGTTCAGGCAAGTTTTCTTCAATTACAGACTTTCATATTGATTCTGTTCCTTTGCTTTGGTTTTCTTCTTCAGAAAGCTCTCGTGTGCCTATTTTCAGTATTTGTCAGTTTCCCTCAAATTTTTCTTTTCTTTAATCACTAAAGAATTATTTTGAGAAAATTTTAGATTCACGTGCAGTTGGAAGAACACAGAGAAGTTCTGCGTATCTCTCCCGGTTTTCCCCAGTGGTAACGTCTTGAGTAGCAGCAGTAGAACATCAGCCCCGGAGAGCCGACGTTGGTGCGCCCACCCCCGCACCGGAATCCAGCACTCGAACTCGGGTGCATTGAGTCCCGTGCAGTTTTATCACTCGTGTAGATTCGTATGAGCAGCACTACAGTCGAGTGCAGAAGGGTTTTATCACAAAGATCCTTGTGCTTCCCTTTCATAGCCACAGCCATCCGTCTCTCGCCTTCCCTAACCCCTGGCAACCAAGCCTTTGCCCCATCGGTATTATGTGATTTCACGGATGTCGTGTAAGTGGAATGACATAGCATATAACCGTCGGGAGTGGTCTCTTTTCCCCTTAGCCTTGTTCCCTGGAGACCCATCCTAGCTGTGGATGTGTCTCTGGTTCATCTCCTTTGGTTGCCGAGCACCATTCCCTGGTGTGGATGCACCGCCGTGAGTTTGGCGATTCATCTAGGCCGATTCCAGTTTCCGGCTACCGCAAACACAGCGCTGAACCCCTGTGCGTGGGTTTCTGTACACGTACCGTCCCATCCTGCCCGCTTCCCAGGGGGCGCCCACTGGCTGTCCCCCTGTTCTCAGGTCTGGCAGATGCTGTCCCATTGCTTCCTCCTTCCCCTCCCACACGGATCTGTGGTTCACGGAGATACCGCGTCACCTGGGTTGTTACACATGTGTTCCATGGGCTTTTGTTCTCGAGTTTCTCTGTTTGTATGTGGGTGTTCAGAGAGAGTGAGCAATTATTCTGCCACCACCCCATTCCTGCTGGAGTTCACACCTCAGCCGTGTGTTTATTTAAAACATTGTACTTGTTCTGTGATAGCGTCACGAGTGGAATCCAACACTGGAGCTCTGCATGTTGCAGGAGATTTTAGTAACAAACTCACTCTTTCGTCCGGACTTTCAGCCCCAGAAGTTATGCCTAGGTTTACACATCAGCACTTATTTATTAGCTGTTATTCCGAGCAAGTCAATCGACCTCTTGGTATTTCAGTTTTCACGTGTTAAACAGAGATAATGATGGAAATACCTTCACTAGCTTCCAGTGATAACTAAATGGGGTAATACTTGTAAACTCCTAGCATAGTGCCTGGAGCACAGTAATTGCTCAGGTAAATTTTAGTTATTCCCACTTCTTTGCACATCCGTGTTTTAATTTAATAGGTACGGATGTGAAAGTGTAACTCTCAGAGGGCAGTCTTGCTTCTTTCATTTTGAAATCCCTGGAAGGATACTTCAGCAACCAAGAATTAATATACCTTCCCATATATATTTTTTAAAAGCACTGTTCAGTTTAACTTACACAGATTGGGAGTTTCCATGGTACCCATGTGCTGAATGTCAGTTTTGGGATAGAATGGTGGTCAGCTTGCTTCTGGAAGCAAGACCAGCCCGCTGTTTGGTGTCGCCTGTAGCAAGGGCTCAACTGCTGAGCTAACTGTGACTGTGACGTGGCCTTGGAGTGCTGCACGCAGGGAGAAAGCCGCCCTTTGGGCAGAGCGGACCCACCCCTGACTCTGCCCTGTGTTACAGCACTCTGCCCAGCCTGGACGCCCCGTACCCCATGTTGGTGTTGTCTGGCCCTGAAGCCTGTGGGAAACGGGAGCTCGCCCACCGCCTCTGCAGACAGTTCAGCACTTACTTCAGATACGGGTAAGCTTGTGTGTGGTCTGGGGAGGCTGTAAAAGGTCGGCCGTTGCTGATTTGGGCTGTTAACTTGAAGCAAGTTCAAACATGGGCGTAGAAAGCGTATCCGCTTCTTTACCATTTACTGCACTGTGACGTACACTGTATTTTTTTTTATTTACTTTAGTCCTCCAAATGTTTAACTTTAATTCAGTGACAGTTGAAATCACCCTGCAAGGTTTGGAAATACGTGTGTTTTTAATTGAGCATGGTGGCGTAGGAATGCGGGCTCATCCTGTCGTGGTGTGCTACAACAGTGCGATCAGAATGTTGGGAGGTTCAGTGGGCGGATCTGTGTGTGGAGGGGGCGGGGCACGCTGCCTCTCCTCGGTCTCTGCGTCTCTGCGTCACTGCGTCACTGCGTCACTGGCCTCCCCCTCTGGGAGTATTCGGGAGGAAGGACGGAGGAGGGGCAGCAGAAGCCTTTCCTTCCCTCTGAGAGCAGAAGCCTGTCCCTTCCCTCAAGTTAGCACTCAATGCACCGTTAGATTTTTGGAACAAGCGTTTTGCCGTGTGACTCCCTATTACCTAGATTAAACAGAGGCCTATCGAAAAAACTGGAACCATCCTAAGGAAACCGCCAGCCGGACCTACAGTTTTAGGAAAAGTCTCTGAGAATCAGAAGGATCGCTGTGGTCTTTTAAATTCGTGCCCGTATTTATTTATTTGGCAAAGAAATTACTTTTAGATTAGTGGTGCTTGTCAGTGAGCTGAGGATGTGATTGCCAAGAAATATAGGACAGCAAGAAAAATAATGCAAATTATTTTCTAATATTGTCACAGGGAAGTTTCTCCCTTAAGCCACATGTGTTCAAACAATGTAAACACTATTTTAAACAGGGCAATTTATTTAGATATCTAAAATTGCATTCCTCATTTAAGCAACCTTAGGATATAAATACTGAAGAATAATTTACTCATTAATACATTGTCAGCAGCCTGAAGGTAAATAAATTAAAATTTATATTAGAGTAAAAACGTGTAACATGCCATTGTGTCATGTGAGAGCACTGAACCTGCTAAAAAGGGTAAGTGGGTGCAAAGAGTGGAGGGTCCACCTAGGGCAAAAGGGCCCTAGGACCCTGACTTTGTGCTGATATATAAGCCTAGGACCTTTTAGAAAACCAAGTGAAGGGAACCAAGGCCGCCTCTGATTAGAATCCTTCTCACTTTTGGGATACTGCTTATGCTGCAAATGTGCAGGGGCCCTGACCCTCCTATTCCTTGGCGTTACGCACGCCGGAAGCACGTTGGGTCTGATGTGCTCTTGGAGGTGTTTATCAGCTCATCACCAAGATTCCAAACCAGTCTGCCTTTCCATTCTCACCTGGACAGCCAAACCGCCCCCCACCATGGTTATTCATTTTCATTAAATCCTGTGTTTTCCCTATTAGAATGTTTATCCATCATGTTCTGGTGGACTTATTTAAGGTCTGTGTTCTCTGCTCATTGGTAAGCCCAGTGAGGACAGGGACGGATGTCAGCGTTGCTCACCGTTGAGTTCTCAGTGCTCCGCAGGTGGCCAGGCACCTCATATGTGCATGATGAATGTTTGTCAGTTGAAGGACTGGTGGGCTGAGTGGGTGAATGAATTAATGGTATTGTATACAGCATTTAGTGGGAAATGACTGTGATAAGCACAGGTGAACCCTAGCTGGTGTGGCTCAGTAGATTGAGTGCTGGCCTGCAAACCAAAGGGTCGCTGCTTCAATTCCCAGTCATGGCACATGCCTGGGTTGTGGACCAGGTCCTCAGTAGGGGGTGCACAAGAGGCAATGACACATTAATGTTTCTTTCCTTCTTTCTCCTTCCCTTCCACTCTCTCTAAAAAGAAAGAAATCTTAAAAAACAAACAAAACAAAGCATAGGTAATTTTCCCCAACCTCCAGTGGTGGATACATGGAAGGAGGGAAGGATTTATGCATTTGTTCATCCGTTCCTTGAATCAATACTCACTGAGTTCCTCCCGTGTGCTAGGCCCTGACAGTACACAGTGGGAACCAGATTGGTAAGGTCCTTTTCTTGGTGAAACGTATGATCTGGGAGGGGGCTCTGACCTGCAACAGCGTTATGGATGGTTTGTGTGGAGGCAGAGGATGGCAGGACGGGAGCCCAAAGGTGAGCTTCGAGTTGCTGCACCGTTACTGCTGCTTTTCTGCTCTGGGTGGAGTTAGCAGGCCTGCGCCTGGCTCAGAGCATCAGCCAGCTGTCCCCCGGCAGGCGTCCTTCGGGACAGAGATCCAGACCTGCTCAGTGCAGACTCACTCTAAAATTCCATCAAGGAATGAATGAAGCGTTGTATCACTGGATTAAAAAGGGGGCAATAGATGGCTAGTAATGTCATCCACTGAGGAAATAAGATAGCTACTATTACTATATGCAGCAACTTTCCAATTAAGACAAATAATAAATCCAGAGCACAGTCAGGGGCAGGTCACTGCTCTTCTTTAAATTTTATTTATTTTTTATTTTTTATTTTTTAAGTTAGCTTTAAAGGACCATTTATTAATCTTAAATATATATACAACTCATGGATTGAAATATTTATCAGTGTATTACCAATAAATAATCTATTGGTAATACACTGATAAATGTTTTGATAAATATTTTAGCAACGTACAAGGAGGGAATGTGTAGCCCTCCTCTGCTGGCTCCGCATGTGTTATCAGTGCATTCGATAAAATACATCTTTATCTATGAAAGAGATTTCCAGGTTATCTTTCTTTTTACATTCCTTCCAGATGCTTCTAACCGGGCCCCCGGCTGTCTCAGGAGCTCTCAGTGACAGCCTCACGAATGGGCTTTCTAGTTTCCCATCTCTGCAAAGAAGGTCCCACCAGCTTTCTTTGCCAGGGCCACATAGCAGTTCCCAAATGACCTACTGTGGAAAGCACACTCACATACCAATGATAACGATACTGAGTGACTTCAAAGGTAGACAGCCGCATTTCAGTGGAAAACTATAAAGGCACAACAGTGATGAAATACCAAAGTCTGGCTGGCCTTGGAGTCTCTTCAAGAAATACAATGAAGGGGAACATGGAGCCCCGCAAGAATTAGTCTCAGAACTTATCCAGACGACTTGTTATTTCCACTTAAGAAAACAAAATCCTGGAGCGTCCAGCCTAAATAGTGCCTTTGTGCACCTGCTATTTTGTTAGACCTCCAAATAACAACATCTTAAAGCCTTAAGTAAGTTACTATAAACTTACTGTATAACTTAAGGTTTGCATGGCTTTAGAATTGTTTACAATGCTGTAATTTATCAATTTTACACAGGGATATAAAAGATAACTATTGCCATGCATATCTTGTTGACATTTAAAACCACAAATAAGTAACATGAAATGCTATCTAGAGAAATTGCTGTTTTCCTGCATACCTGTTAATTATGGACTCGAGAAAGCGTTTTTATGTAGCATCATCAAACTGAATGCTTCAAAACAAGTACAGTTTAACGTCTTTAATTGATGTAAATGCAATGCTGAGGGAAAGAAATCAATGGGAAGCAACACTGGAGTGCGTATACCTTTTCCGCTGTAGGTTTTCATGGAAAGGGTTTGTGAATGAGTGGGCTTCCTTCCCAAGGGCCTGCTGGGAACATGGGAAGTGGAGGGAGAGAACCCGGGAATGCATCCTCAGGCATCCTCTTACCCTTTTTCACTTTCCGGAAACAGCCCTGCCCATGGCTCCGTGATTCAAAAGACACATAAGCATTTGTAAAAGTCCCATCAGGTTCCCATTAAAGCTGAAGTCACACACTAGAGGCAAGTGGCCTGAAGGGCAATGGAAGAGTGGTGTCCGGCTGGGCCCGGTCTGCTCTTCAGGGAGCGAGTCCGGAGCTCTGACCTCACACCCAGCGCGTGTTGGAGTTCGGGTGTATCCAGGGTGTACCCCACTCCCCGGAGGTCCTGATCTCCCGGGTTGTATATGCATGTTCCACCCACCCATCAGGGTTCCACAGCCTGTAGGCCCAGGTTGAGGCTGGAGGAGGCAACGTGTTTGTAGAACCTGCTCTGTTTTCTCTGCATTGAAGTCCCCGCAAACAATAGGGGGAATCTTGGCTGCTTGGGTGTGATGTGTGCAGGTTCTGGAAAAGCTCACCGGCGTAAGCGGATAAACCTGCTCCCAGTCGGTACGTGCGTTTAGGTGGGTGATGGCGATGCAGAGTCGTCGGCTGGATTCCTTGCACTCTAGCGTCTGTGCAGTGGCCACCTGATTGCTTTTCAATGTCGTGGCCTTCCGCCTAACATTGGCACCGTGGCCCAGCTTGAATCAGTCCCAGAGGAAAAACCAGGCACAGCCAGCCGGGCCATTGTTATGTTCTACATCCAGAAAAGGTGACCAGTGCTTGGGGGAAAAACAGGCCTTGGTAGCCCAGTCTGCCGAGGAGCGGTTGGAAGGGGTTCAAACAGTGGTCCACCTCCCAGAGGCACAGTCTGCCTGGCTGGTAGGCTAGGATTTCTTCTGGAAGGAGGCATCTTCTTTGCTCCCACTTGAGGAGTTGCCTCCACGGGGCATTGGGCAAAGCGTCTCTGCCTTCTCTGAGAGCGTGGGCGAGGATGCTCTACTGCATGGCCCTAACAGGGCGGGTGGCCACTGGGCCAATCTGTCCTTGGACCCACAAGATTCCTCTGGAACTGAGGAGGTCGAGTGCACGGGGCTGCCCCGCATTCCCCAGGGAGCCCTTTGGGATCAGTGGGCTCCAAATACTCTGGGTGCCGGGAGGCAGCCCCGCTGTTCAGTGTCTTGGTGAGAGTATAGTCGACTGGTATCATTTACCAGGGGAACACAGTGTCGCTCAGGGCAATGTCGCTCTGCCCAGGCCTCCTCAGGAGCCAGGGGTGTGGGTGGGGATGGGGGGCCGGCGGCTCTCACGGCTGCTGCGGGGCACAGCACGGCCAAGGCGGGCAGGCGGGGCAAGGCCTGTTTTATTCTTCATCCAAAATGGAGTTTGTTGACTTTTAATTAAAGGAAAAGCATGAATACAGTCTCATCATGGAGTATAAGCCTTTACAAAGGCACTTTCTCTGTCATTTGCTTAAGTCTTTTCCTCCGATTTTGTCCTGGTATTTGGTCTTCCTTTTTAAATTGCGCCAGATCACGACCAAAAACTCAGAGAGATTTTCATGTGCTAAGTTGCACATCCAGATATATAAATATTGGAAACATAATTGGTGCTATGTAACAAATAGAGTAGTTGAGAGACTATGCCCTAGGCTTGAATTTGCTGTTTGTTCCTGGTTTTAGAAGTAGGTTGGATGTTCTCTACATGTAGTATTAGGGGGCTGGAAATATGGATTTACTGCCCTCAGGGTCTCTCCACTCCCAACCCTAACGTTACCTCCCAGATCAGTGGCCCCGGGGGGAGTGCTGAATAGTGAGGGAAGCGCAAAACAGTACCAGCCTGCTCATCTTCTAGATTTAAGACCATTCAAGTGCTCTGAGTGGTCATGAAGGAGCAACCGTATTCTTCCTTAGGTCTCTATTTTAGAGCACTTCCGATGTTCATAACCTTTCACATGATGGCGACTGCTAAATACATTTTACTCTTAACACTGTAGTAGAGCAAAGTGAAAGACCACATCTGTTTAGCTAAAGGAGCTGGTATGAGCTCCCGCTACCAAATGCAGCCTAGTCCAAACTGTTCATACAGATGAGACTAACTAGAATGGTTCCCTTAGCCATTCGGTCCATGTCTACTGAGCATTATCCACAAGCCATATGCTGGCAGTGAAACTGTAAAACAATAGACGTGGGTCCCGTCCTCCCGGCTGCGTGCATCTGGTTGGTCCCTAGGTCAGTGCTGCCGGACCGGATACTAGTTTGAGGGGCACTGTGATGAGGGAAGTAAGTGCCTCTGAGACAGAAGTGAAAGAGGACGGGCGTGGGGCTCAAGTGGGGCTCGCATGCCCCAGAGAAGGAGCAGGCACGTTGGGGTAACTGAAGAGCACTCGGTAGACAGGCTAAACCTGAACTATGAAGAGACGACAGAAGATAGGGCGGCAAAGATAGGCAGCAGCCTGATCCTACAGGGTCTCTAAGCAGGGGAGTGTCGTGGTCACAGTGGCACTTTGGAAAGTGCACTCTGACGCATGCCGTTTGGGGGAGGGCCTGGGAGGGAAGGCTGGACACCGGGAGATTAGTTAGGATGCAGTGACAGGGGATGGTGGTGTGAGTTAGAAAGTGGCGTGAATTCCGTACTTAGTCACAGTGTGTGCTGGAATCTTCTGTGTTGCTGATGTCTTTGTGTCCAGCAAGTCAACCACACGCAATTCACACTGAACATTAGGCACAATGTAATTTGCCTGCCAAATCCCCAAGGAATACCTGGGCTTCTGTGGATACCCGTGGAAGGAGTTCACTTACTGACCATACGGCACGACATAACCTGCCTGAATTTAGAGGCGCTTAACGTGTAGCCAGGCCTCTGCCTAAATCTTTCCAACAAGCGATTTATTATTTCCTGAGGCAGTGTGGTCCAGGGTTGAGATTCTAATCCTCCATGCTCCTGAAGCCCACTGACATTTCCGCTTCCTCATCCACCTGCTAGCTCTTCTTGGATATTTTTTTCTTCCAAATACATGTCCTTCAGTATTTGAACATCACAGTATTTGGCCTGGCCTTCTGGATTCCCTTCCCGCCCGATCACCAATCATCTCCTCACAGGGACTTGCTTTGTTAGGATCCTGGATGACAGCTGGCCAATGGCTTGGTCTTTAGAATATGATTCAGCTTAGACTTTTAGGGCTGGCGGTACAGCCCGGGGTTAATCTCTAACTCAGCCACCAGGCAGTGTGGCTCCCATTGCAAACCATGATTTGACTCATCAAGCATGACTCAATGAGTAAATTAATTAGTAAATGATGAACCCATGGAAATTTGAGTTACAATTAAAATTGTATTTACAGAGGAGATGAAGGCTATCAAAGGTTATCGATAACCAAAGCAAATTTCTTTGTCTAAAATTTAGCGTTATTTTTTCCTAAATGTATTGAAACGCCACCTTCGCTGTGAAGGCGAAGTGTTCCTACTGGGGCAGCACACTTCACGGTGAGTGAAAGCGGGATGACAGATGCAAAGAACCTCAGGCCATCGCAGGTCTTTCTGGACAGCAGGTCCTGCAGCCGGCGCAGGCCCAGTTCTCTGCGTTCTCCGCATCGGTGAAGCCAGCTCTTCGCTGACCTGCCTGGGCGCCTCCAGCTGTGTCTCTGCCTGTCTTCCTTTTACAAATTCTGAAACAAGCCCTGCCGCTCCATTTCTTTACTGGGCGTGCAGCGTCCGCGCAGTGTGTGAAAGCTACACTGAGTGCGTGATGCAGAATCCCTGATTTATCCTTCCCAGCTGTCAAGGACGCCAATAGACGAGGGTCCCAGGTCCCTGCCAAGGTGTGTGAGGAAATGCCAGTGTGTTCAAACAAAGCAGGCATCACTGCGATTTATTCGACAGCCTCCTCTTCGTCAGTACTCTCTGTCCCGAGTACACAATTCAAAGGTGCTGATAAGAGTTTAACATTTGCTAATTTAGTTGATTGGAGTAGAAGATGCACAGTGGTATGAGTTATACAAATTCATCTTTGACTTTGCAGTGGAGGGGTTTGTGAGGTTGAGACTTAGTTTATCCCCTTAGTTTGGTATGAAAAGGAATTGACGTTGGAATCATCCCAGCCTTGCTACTCAGTCATGTCCCGTAATTGCTGCGTCTCAGTTTCATCATCTGTAAAACATAAACAATACTGTATTCTCATGTCCTATTTTAAAACAGCAGGTTAATCCAATAATCCACCTGCATTCCCAGAATTTATCATTGAGAAGTCAGAAGAGTCTGAGTCGGAAGTCCTAGGCTGGTTGGGGCCCCTGTGGTCAGTTCTGGCACGACACCGGCCTGCTCGGACCAGTCATTTTACGGTCGTCTGTGCAGGGGGTCACCGCAGCTGCTGCCCGAGTCATGCTATGTTTCTTCATTTGTGTTACAAATCCTTAGCGAGTGCCTACGCTGGGAATGCAGTGTGGCAAACAAGATGAATAGGAGAAAGCCCTCCCCTCACTATTCATACTCCCTGCTGGGGAGGACAGGAGAAAACCAGGTGCAGAGCTACGAGAAAGCAGTTTACTAAATCGAGAATAACTGGGGGCGTGGAGTGGTGTGGCGATGCTGTTTCAGACGGTGGTCCGGAAAGGCTCTATCAGCCTCGGCTCAGGAGTTCCCAGAGGAGGGTCCCACCCAGCGTTGACCAGTCCTGGCCACTCAGTGGGACGAGCTCACTGCTGCCCTAGAGCAGCAGAGGGCGAGGACCTGGGATGCCCTGGGCACGGGCACTGAGGCCCTGGGCATGCAAGGAAGAGGGGCACACTGTAGCAACAGGGGGTCGAGAAAGCGTCTCTGGAGGGTGGCACACGGGGTCCCGAAAGACCAGGGGGCTAGCCAGGGGGCGGGGTGGGAGAGGCACATGCAGGAAATACCCGTAGAACAGAGACAACATGAAAACACTTGGGTGGAAAAATGTAAGTGATAAATACTGTTATACTTCCCAAGGTGCTATTTTGTGATGGCAGAGGAGGCGGTTCAGAAGGTCATAAATAACAATGAGCAAAAATATGGGTATCGGTGTTGACAGCCCAGGCCTGGTACCAGCCCTGGAGGGCAGCAGCGGGGTCCAGCCCGGCATTTCAAAACCACACAGGCTTCACCGAGACGCGGCGACTTTAACGTTTATGATGTATGGCCCACTGTCAGCTTTTTCAAATACACTTTATCTGGACTCACTTCCACCTGAATTTTAAGTTACTGGATTATCAATTTTATCTTTTCAGGGCCTGCCACACGACGAGACCCCCTTACTTTGGAGAAGGGGACCGAGTCGATTACCATTTTATCTCGCAAGAAGTCTTTAGTGAAATGGTAAACATGGTAAGAACGCTCTCCTTTATTGCACAAGAACCACGTGTCCTCTGGGAGAAATATTAGGAAATAGGGATGATAAAGAGAATGACTAAATTTTGCGTGTGTTATGAGAGAGGTGTTCTTACCGGGTTGTCTTTCCTTAATCCACCTAATGCATCCTCGTTCCATGCTGCTTTACTCTCTGATCTTGGAGAAACTATTGTAAATTTTCAGGAAGACTGAATGAGTAGACATTGGAAGAGAACGGCAGGAGAAGCACTATGAAGAATCCTCGTGCCCTGTGTTGATCAGGTGCTCCTGTTGTTATGCAGATTTCAGTCCAGACAGACGCTTCTCACAGACCCGTGTGGTGCAGGGAGCTTGTGAACCGAGCATTCTGGGGGCTGGAGCTTTCTGTCCAGACACCCCTCCTTCCGATCACTATCCGTGGTGCTTCCTAATTGCCGTGCCCTTGAGCACCGTTTTGTCGTGGTGTGTTCCATTCAGTTGTCCGGTCCCCGACACGCACACAGCCTTAACCGTCCACTGTAGCGCCCCTGTTTGAGGGCCTCCGAGCCCTGGAGGCCAGGCCGCCCACCGGTGCACGCAGAAGCCCTGGCTGTTAGACAGGAGAAGATTCCCTCCTTCTCGGAGGTCCGTGTCTTCTCAACGTAAAGGCTTCTGCCCCGAGTTGGTCTGTTTCATGGGAGCCCTGGGCAACCTGACTTGATTTTTTCCCCTGAAATCCTGATAATCTCATTAGCAGTCATTCATGACACCATTGCTGTTGAGTTCATTCTCTCAAAGATAATTCACCTGTTCTTTCTCAGCCTTCCCCCGCAGAGAGACTCCTGAGGACCCTAATGTGTTTTATCTGTCAAAAGTACAAGCTAATGTCATTATGTCTCCACCCATGACTTCCTGTCTTCATTTTGTTTCTATCATCACTCTGTCCCTCCCCAGATGACTCCTGCACCACTGTGGGGGTTTTTCCTGAAACCTACCAAAGGACCAGATTGAGGGTGACTCTGTGTTTCTCCTTTTGAAAGATTGTAATCTGACCAGAGATGCTTGTGTAGCTGCATCTTCCCTCCCTCCTTCCTCCTTCCTTTTTGTGTCCCCACCCCCAATTAGTGAACCTGGTTTGTTCTTCAGTGCCTATAATATTGGGGCACTTAAGCACAGACTCCTCAGTTTCTATGAGCTTCAGTCTGACCAGCTTTATACATGTTTTCTGTTACGTTTGCAGAGAAGCCCACGTGAGAAAGGCTTACAATCCCTAGGCCATTTTCCCTCTGACCTTGTCAGTGGTACATCTTGGAAATTCTTTGTAATTTTCTCTCCTAGGGCTCTATTTTGACAGTTTAATGTATGAAGGGTACTCTGGGACTTCATATTTCTCAGAGCTTTAATAGAGATTTGAGGGGTTATCTTATTATTAGTGAGAAGCATTCTCTTAAGGCTGTTTGGGTTGAAAGACAACCAGCTCCCCAAATCAGTGCCGCTTGGTCTCGTTAGAGTCCGAGGTATCTTGCCTTGGTCCAGAGCTCCAGTTCTCAGCGCCCACGGGCTCCCCCGGTGTCCCACCCCCTGTCACATCAGTGGTCCAGTCCGCTTCAGTCCCTCGTTGAAGAGATCGCTGTACTCCCACACTATATTCAGTCTGAGTTTTATCCCCGCTACAGCAATCCTTATGCATTTGAGAATGATTCATTTTTACCTCTTCTGATAACCTATATCACTTCAGTGTGATGTTATGTCCTTTAACTTCAGTTTTGCTTCTGATGTCCTTTTCTTTCAAGTGGGCTTGAGACAGATTTATGAAGAGAGACAAAGCTGGAGACGGTAGACTCCCGACACCACGTCAGCTTTGCCGGTCACGTCCGCACGCACTCAGCCTTCTGTACGCCGAACGCCCCCTCTGCAGAACACCCACCCACGGGCCCTGCTGCCCCCACTTGTGGGCGGGCACCTCCCTGACAGGCCTGGTGTACCCATCTCTGCCCCCCCCCGTACACACACCCGCCCCAACACGCAGATCAGCCTTCAGCATGGCCCCCAGACACACTCACTTACCTCCATCCCCTCTTGTGGCAATAGAACCACAGATCTGGAGGCATCGAAATGTGAATATTGCCGTTCATGAAGAATTCACAGGCAAGGAGAAATGCAAGGGGTGTCCCTAGCCAGAAGCTGGAGATCACTTCGTCTTAATCCTTAAACATGAGCAGAGCCCATTTTGTATACATAAGCACAGTGCAAGGGTCCTTCCAGCCCTACGTCCTTCCAGAAAATATATTTGGGATCAACAGAGAAAGGCCCTTTTTCCACAAGCAAACCAGCTCATAGTATATGTTCTGAAACCAGTTCAAGTGTACACTTTGAAAACAGGGTGAGTCACGGTAAACAGGGCAAGGTACATACCTGATGGAAATGTCAGTGTCTGCATATGTGTGTATGTGTATCTCTGTCTAGCTATATCTACACATATATATCTATACACACATATATAGATATATACCGATCTGCATATAATACGTAGATTAAAAGAAAAGGGGTCACAGTATTTCACAGAACACGGAGGGTATGACACTGAGGGAAAAAATGATTAAGGTCACAAAGTGTTGTATTTTTAACTTCTAGAAGGTGTGACATAAACTTCTTTCGATTGAGGGGTGGATTCTCCCCCCAGGGCAGCAGACGTGTGCCCTGGAGCCCCACCCCACCCCACCCCAGAGACGCCCTCACTGTGCTGCGCGGCCCAGGGTGCTGCTGTCGGTGGGGTTCGGCCTGGGGCGTTCCACTCCAGAAGTTATTTAAAAACCATGCGCAGGAGCAGTCGGAGTGGCCCACATTTTTATTCCGTCTGTTCTCACCAGCCTCCCAATTTAGGTTAGACCTAGTGATTTCATCACTAGAAGACTGTCAGGAAAAAGTCAGACAAGTTTGAGAGATGTGTTTCACTTCTTTTTTTTTTTTTTTTTTTTTTTTTGCAAGGGAGTGCAGCTCGGGTAGAGCTGGGCTTCCAGAAGACTGACAGAAGGCAGTATTTATACTTCACGTGGGGCTGTGGGGCACACACAGATTCTGTGGGCAGTTTCAGTGAAAAGCCGCCTTTGTTAGGAAAAGCAGGGAAGCCAGTTTCTCACGTCTTACCTTGGCACGCAAAGGTTTCAGGACGTGCCTGTAATGCACGGCCCTCGGGCTTATCTGGGAACGCAGGGTTTTGAGAACGGCAGCTTTTCTGGGCTACCTGGTGTGCTGGCAGAGTGGACTAGCTGAGGCTGAGGGCAACCTGAGTTCTTCTGTCTCTGTAATGAAGGGTTACGGCGCAGGTTTGGCCGGAAGTGGGTGGGCGAGCAAAGTGGTCTGTCCTACACAGGCTCCGCACCTTCCTTCTCCTCTGACGTCTGGTCGGGAGATTATTTCCAAAAGCCTGTTTCTTTTGCCAGAAGATGATTCCAAATACATTTCTGTGTCTGTTTGATAGTAACATTCACAGAGCCATTGTCACTCTTCCATAACTGGTATTATCAGTAAGTTTTGTGGAACCCTATGACAAAGTAAGACATCAAATAATTCTCTTTATGAAATTTCACTATGGCAGCTGTTTTATGAAAATCTTTGTACTTCTCAAATTTCAGGGGAAATTCATTCTAACATATAATTATGGCAGCCACAGTTATGGATTAAATAGGGACACCATAGAAGCTATTGCAAGAGACGGTTTAGCAAGTTGCGTTCACATGGAAATAGAAGTAAGTGGTTTTCTTTCCATCGACTGATTTTTAATGTGCGCGTGTTTGTATGTTTATATTTGGGGTTGGGAGGGGCTGCGATGTGGGCGGCACACCGCTGGGCACGAGGAGAAGGCGTAGGGAGTGCGAGAGTTTGTTTTGGGTTGGCCAGAAAGCTTTAGTTTTTTCCCCATACCACGGCTCTCTAGTTTTACTTTCACTTCACTCGAAACAATTTTGTTAGCTTGAATCGTGACAGCTGTCGTATCAGCATGCATTTACAAAAACGTATCAAAACGGGTGAATTTTTTGTGCAGCCATTTTGATATGGAAGATGGAAGAAGATACGCAACGTTTTTGGTGTATTATACTTTATTATTTCCAGAAAGGTAAAAACGCAACTGAAACACACAAAAAAAGATTTATAGTCTGTATGGAAAAGGTGCTGTGACTGATTGAATGTGTCAGAAGTGGTTTGCGAAGTTTCCCGGTCCTGCTGACGTTTGGGCCAAAGAATTCCCTGCTGTGGGGCTGTCTCGTGCATTGGAAGATGTTTAGCAGCGCCCTCGGCCTCCACCCCCTAGAGGCCAATGGTGGGAGAGAGCCGACATACTCAAAATATCCAAATCAATGAAGCTACTGGCAAAAATGAAAAATGTATCTTTTATTTTATGGAAAAACACAGACTTTTTGGCCAGCCCAATAGTATGTGGGAGGAAAGGCAGGTGAAAAATTAAGTGACAGATTTAGATCACAAGACAAGAAGTGCAATGCATGATACATGTATGAGCAAAGCTGCCGCTCAAGGATGATTTTCTAAGTTATTTTCTGACTAAATTACCCTTTCTCTTCTGAGAGCCTGGTCTCTATTTCTGTAAAGTGATATTAGATAAAGCCTAAATCTTACCAGGCGTGGAACTGGTCCCCTGTCCCCTCGAGACAGTAACAGCCCCGTGTACTGGACCTTGTTCCTTCATTCTTCACGGGGGACGTGTGACCTGTGTTGTCATTCGACTCCGCTTGTTCGCTGCTCGCAGCACCCGCATTGTTTTGGCGGAGTTCGGGTGGCGGTCCTCCCTCCACGGGTCTTCCCTGTCGGAGGCACACACATTTCCCACGGTGCCGGTCTCCAGGACAAGCATGGATGGATATCCCCCTCATGGGGTTGAAAACATGTGGCTCTGCTCACTGAACCTTCAAAGGCAACGGATTGTTTTTGTTTTCAGGTAGCATTCACTGACCGACACCTCTGTAGTCAGGAAAACAAATGATAATAAAAGTGATTCATTAGCCCAAACTTACAGAAAGCCCTGGGCATGTCTGGCGTACCTTTACTATGGACCAAATCTGCCTTAAAACTCTGTTCCCCGTAACTTCACCAAGCAGGCCACTGGGACTCTTTTTTGGCTGCTTGCATGGGCACAGGTATTGGCTGGTGCCAGTGACATGGGTCACATTTCTTCCAACTCGTTACTTTCCCTAACTTCACAATCCTTCCAGCCTAATCTGTCTGCATGTGATTGGTTTTGCATCGTTAAGGAGGTCTTCATTGTTTTTAGGCTAATAAGAAACAAAAGGCCTTTTCCTAAAAGTATTTACCTGGAACAATGAAAAAACAAAAGCTAATGCACTTTTGGATGCATCATACTGCTCCAGTCCCTGCATTTGCCTATTTCCGGTCCAGAGGTTCTCTGGGTGCTGGCTCACGTTCTACTGATTTCCTCGCCGAGAGCTCTCTCCTGCTCATCTCCAAGAGGTTACGTCTATAAATCAGGTTTTATTCCCTTGATTCTGTCCAGCCAAAGCCTTTTTCCAAACTGTTTTTTGTCATCGACTTCTTTAGAAACTTTTTTTTTTTAAAGAGCCTGTATGTCTTCCCACGGATTTTTAAAACAAAGGTTTTACATGCTGAGTTAAACCGTTGGTGATAGAATCAAGCTGGAAGGAATGTAGCGTCGTCCGTTCAGAATAACTCTTTTAATTTGCCAGAGAGGAAGCGGGTGCTCGGGTAGCCTGAGGGTTTGCATGGCGTCTGCAGAGCTGGACTGCTGCAGGCATGACTCAGCCCCTGGGTCTGCACACCACTGATACCATACCTGCCCCAGCTTCCCGCTGGGGGCTCCGGGTATCATTAGCTTGGCCTTTCTGTGCTCTGGAGGCTGAAACAGGAACCAGCCAACCAGGTGACTGGTGGAGGGACAGGAAGTGTCCCAAGGAGATGTCAGAGGGGTTACAGAGGAGCCTTTTCTCCCCAGTAAGAGCTCTCTGTCCTGCTGCTACTGGGATGCCCTTTGAAACGTAGAACTCATATGACTTTTCAGTAATAAAGATGCAGTACTGCCGTGAGTGTACCTATTTGGATCTCACAATTTTCTTTTTTGAGAATCATATTCATTAGCATGATTCATTAGGTAGTCGAATGCTGGTCTGGCCGCTGGCTGCCATGAAAGCCAAACTCACGGACAGGCACTGGTGAAAGGAAAGAGGTTTATTCGAATGTCAGCCATCTGAGAGGACGGGGAACTCAGGTCTCAAAGCCCATCTTCACCTCTCAGTGCAGACAGGGTTTTAGTAAGGAGGAAGAGGGGAGGCAGAACGAAGGGCTCAAGGGTTGGGCCTGGAAAGTCCTCTACGTGCAGATGAGCACAGGCCATTCTGATAAGGACCTTGACCCTGGTCAAGGGACGTTTTATGGCGTCCTGGTTTTATGTCATTCTGGCTCTACAGTGGAAGGTCAGCGACTCTCCCAGAGCTGGGATGCATGAAGGTCGGAGTCAGTATCTTTTGAAGTTTGTTCCTGGCATCTTATGCAAACGTGCTGTTCATCTACAAGCTCCATATTAGTCAGTCGGCACTTACAGAATCAATGTCAAAAGAATGGGGGGTGGGCCACAGTTCCCCACCATTACAATTCCTCACTGTTAGAGGATACCAGGTAGAATGAAATGTGGTATCTGCAATGATAATTTAGTATCTAATGAACAGGGAGGAGGGATCCAATCTTGAGATATTTATAGGAAAATAATAGCTCATATACAGATAAAAGAAAGCATTCAGTGCAATACTACTTATTATGCCTTACGTTGCCAGACACCTCCAGAATGAATTGTGGATCTGTTTCTGATTTATCTTTTTCTTTTTAATGGATAGGGTGTAAGAAGTTTGAAGTGCACCTATTTTGAGCCTCGATATATCCTGGTGGTGCCCATGGACAAGAAGAAATATGAGGGATACTTGCGAAGAAAAGGGTTATTCAGTCGTGCGGAGATTGAATTTGCCGTTTCCAGAGTGAACCCTTATATTAAAGTCAATCAGGAATTTCCAGGATATTTTGATGCAGTAATCAATGCAGGTTGGTGACTTTCAGCAAAGTTTTATTTCTGAAGCGCCAGAGCACTGGGGAAGAGCCCACTCCAGAGTGTCTGGCTATGGTTGATGGAATGCAGTTACTCGTGGCTGCAGGACTGAGGTCCCTGTTTCCTTGTTGAATGTCTGCCAGGGGTTTGGCCTCAGAGGCTGTTCCCATGCCCTGTCCATGTGAGGGACAGTCTGAGAACTCTGTCTACCACAATATTCATAAAATTAAATAGAGCTAAAAATATCAGTGTCATCAACCGTTGCAAGTTGACTGTATTTTGGTAGAATCCTGTTGCTTTAAGGTGCACACTCTCATTCACTGCAGATGACCTGGATGTCGCCTACCAACAGCTGAGTCAGCTCATTAAAGAATACCTGGGATTGCATGAGGAACCTGCCAAGACCTTGGCTCCAGCTGCAGGTACTATCCTAGCCATTTTGTGCCAGAACTTTTGTGCGTATGAGGAGAGAAAAGCAAATCTTTGAGTTGTTATTTGAATACTCATCAGCTCATGCTGGTTCTAACTACTTAATCCCCACACTTCCTCTGAGGCCATCGTCCCCACAGATGAGTCACCCTCTGGGCCGGTAGCTCTGCTTGTGTCGGTGACCATAATGGAACTCAGAGGACTCTGCTTTGGGGACTTGCTGAGTGGTGTCTGGCAGGTTGGCAGTAGATTAGGCGTGGTCGTCAGCCCCGTGGGTCAGAGCTGAGCCTTCCACCCTGAGCCTTCCCTTCGGGTCCCTTGAGGTGGCGTTCTGCTTGGCAGATTTGTATTTAGTGTTGTTTCGGTTCGAGACATTTCTTCCCTGTTTCCTTTGCATTGCCCTTGTCCTCAAAAGGTTGCAGCGCAGAGCACAGTGGGAAAACACTGGCCAGAGCTCGTGAGCCCTGTCCTGGCCCTGCTGCTGCTCTGGGCAAGCGGCTTAGCTGGTCAGAGCTTCCCTCTACTGTCCTGCTAACGGGACTGAATGCTCCCCACTGGCCTCATGGATCGTGTGTGAGCCGCCACGGTACAGGATGTGTAAGAGAGCATCTCCTAGGAATCCAGGGTCCTAAAGCCCTGAATTAGAATCTCGGTGCGTGAATAATTTGAAATGTACTTAAAAGTTCAGCTGCTCTGAAAAACAGTATGGTGGTTCCTCAAAAAATTAAAAATAGAATTTCCATGTAGCCCAGCAGTCCCCCTTCTAGGTCTGTACCTCCCAGAGAAGTGAAAAGGGGACTTGAACAGGTATCTGTACACCTGTGTTCATAGCAGCATCACTCCCGATAGCCAAAAGGTGGAAGCGACCCAAGGGCCCCCCGAAGGGTGAGTGGGTGAACAGCACACGCTGTATGCGTGCAACAGAACACCATCCGTCCGTAGAAAAGGGAGAAATTCTGACACACCCTACAACATGGGTAAACTTTGAAAACAGCATGCTAAGTGAAAGAAGCCAGTCACAAAACCACAAAAACTGTACGAGATGACTCTGCACGTGTGAGGTACCTGGGGGGGTCCACCTCACAGAGACAGCACAATGGTCGTCGCCAGGGGCTGGGCGAGCACAGACCGGCAGTCAGTGTGTACTGGCTGCAGATTTCAGTCTTACACGATGAAGGAGTTCTGCAGGTGGATGGGGGTGCCAGTGGAAAAGTTCACGCCAGTGCGAATGTACTTAATGCCAGTGAATTGTGCACTCTCAAAGTGGCTGACGTGGCAAATGTTACGTGATGTGTACCTTACCACCGCAACAATGAAAACGGAAGGTCCCCCGGTGGCCTGAACCACCTTCACCTGTCGCTACAGCAAAACGCTAGCCCCAGGCTCTCGCTCCTGTGGCGATGGGCCGCAGCCTTGCGGGCACTCGTGGTGTCCATCCCTCGTGACTCTGACCAAGGGGGACTTGGACTGCCAGCTTGCATCATGCTTTCACCAGAGTTAAAGCGGGTCGGGTGCCCCTGGCAGTCCGAAATGAAGGCAGGTGACACTGGTAACACCCAGGCAATGACAGCTTTTTCTTTGCCATGGGTCTCTCAGGAGACGAGTGACAGGAGTGTGATCTCCTGCAGATAATGTACCTGGGGAGAGTGTGCCCTGGCTGAACGTGGGCAGGAGCCGAGGGCTGGGCCCCACCCATAGTTCAGGGGTGTTAGGTTAGGAGCACGCTGCTCCGATTCTACGCACGGGGCGTGGGTGCTTTAGCAAGGCGAGCCCATCACAAAGATAGTGGCTCGGTCTGTTTAATGAGGCTTCCGTCGCTTGGCGTAAGTTTCTCTGGAGGAAATCTGCCTCCCTTGGCTTTAAATCTTGGTCAACCCAGCAACCATCTGGTCTTTAATTTGGTCCCCCCGGGTGGACCTGTCCCTGTGGGGGCTGTCCCTGACGTTGGAACACCCTGCCCTGCTCCCTGAGCCAGCCCTATCTCCCATTGTAAATTAATAAGTTGGTGTTGCGGCTTTTAAATCAGCCCCTCGTGGGTTTGGATAAACAGGAGTCAGTCCCCCGGGCCTGACCAGTGCTGAGTAATGGAGAAGAGCCTGGAGTCAGTAGCTCGGGGGCACCTCCGAGGGTGGCTCGTGGGCAGGGCTCGCTCTGTCTGAGTGAGGCTCCGAGTCTCAGCCTTTTCTCCTCCCCGGCGCCCCGCACCCGCAGAGACTCAGGCCACCCTGTCCCATTGCCACTGACAGAACTAATAGACCAGATACTGTGTGCGTAGGAAAATGGACTCCAGTTTTTTTAAAGGTGTAATAAAACTACATTTTTGTACTAATTCAGTTAGCCCTGTCTGACTTACTGAAAAGAATAAATGATAGAATTTGTAAGATCTCTCATTTTAATAACGGAAATAGGGCCATTGATTGACTGATAGAATTCCATCTTTTAAAAAAGCCAGTGGGAGTGTTTGTGATTAATACATCAAATCGCTAACCTCAACAGCTCGGTTTTTCTGGCAGGTTTAGTATTTTAGAAAATAATGTGTGTTTCTTAGGAATCCAAACACTTTACCTTATTTATACAGTTAATCTGTGGGGGGAGTTTTATTTTTTTGGTTTTTTGTTTTTATTCAGTTGATGGTTTACAGATGAACTTGACTTAGTGTAGGCCAAAGATTATTCAAGCCAGTATTAAAAAATTCTCATTAACATAGTCCTTGTTCTAAGTTTTTATACTGTTTCTGGTGGCCCATGAGGAGAGCCAGTGGCCTCTGTGAGTTCCAGGGCCGGGAGGTGCTGCCGAGGAGCAGCGGGCCAGGTGGGTGCGGGTTCACTGCAGGGAACGGGCCCACCCTAATCACCTGGAAGCCACTGGCCTGACTCCCAGCAGGTGTCACCGCCGGCCCTGCTGGCTCTTCCCTCTCTGCCCAGCTTGGAGCTGGGTCACTCTGGTTTTAGTTTCCGTAGTTTAGGTATATTCATGCAAATACTTATGTTATTTGTACAAGCAGAATGCCTACAAACAAAAATCAATAATTTCAGTATAGCAGAATATTTTATACAGGGGTCCGGCAAAAGTAAGACCTGCTTGAGTGTCGTTGGTAGGGTAATGATATGGGTGTGATAATTTATAGTTTTAGTTTGAACATTTCACCTCAAATGCCATGTGGTGTGCTTGAGTATGATACTGTTGTATTACAGAATCACACGCTTATGATTTTGTAATAAAAATAGGGTGTTAGTAGTGCCAGACCCTCTCTGTTGACTATATATATATAACATGGAGCTATGGAAGGTAAGGGAAGGAAATAAAAACTGTAAGATTCTGGGAAACTCGGCTTTGTCTGAGCAGCTAGAAAACAGGGTAGGAGCAGCAAGCCTTACTTTGTGGCCTCAGTGTCACCCATGGTGATCTGTTTAGAGACACCACCTAAACCCCCATTTCCCTTAGGAAAACCCACTGTGGGTAGCATTAGAGAGCATGACTGGAGCCCGGCCCCCAGAGCGGAGGCGCCCCCAGCGTGGGCAGAGCCGCCGTGTCATGGGTCCAGCTTCCCCACAAGCAGAAACCTGGTGGCCGAGGGCATTCTTCTCATAGACACAGGGACCCCGTGTCAGTGCTCCCTGAAAGTTGTCCCCAGACGTGTGACGTTTTGCTGGATGATTGCGTCCTGAATGGTTCTTTGTTGCTGATCTGTAACTGAGGGTGCGATCTCAGTTTCTCTGTGACGGTGAGAGTGACGCCCAGCGGTCAAGTGAGCCCCAGCTGGTTGGTTCCGAGTGCGGCAGGCCCACCAGTCTGGCCCCGGAAGTGTAACCCTTCAGAAGGGGAGAGACTAATTGAGTTTTTATTTAATGTATGTATGAAACAGTAACTTCAGGTGCAGAGTGATTACAAACCCTCGAGATCTTTAGATACACCATTAATTAAAAATGTATATCAATTAAGGTACAGAATTGTCTTGTTTTTTTCCCCTATAGCAATGCAGGTAAACGTTCATTTCTAAAGGATGAAGACTAAAACCCCTTGAGTAAACAATGTAGTTTGTACAAAAGGAAGAAAAACCTGCTTTATCCCCAGCTCAGTGCAAGGTCTCTCTCTGCCCTCCATATGCCTATACCCAGCCTATTTCTGGAATAGCTGGGGCTTCCAGTAAAGCTTTTAAAAGCAGATCCAACTTCCACCCTAAGTTCTCACTGTAGAGATCATAAAATTAATTCTATTTGCAAATCATTATTCAGAATTCTGACTAATGACAGAGGAAAATGATGGTGATAAGTCAAATTGGAAATTGGTCAATTTACCAGTCCATAAAGTGGGGCCTTTATTGCTAATAAAGGGCATGGTAGCGTTTGCCAAATTATATGAACTGTTAAATTGTGAAAGTGTGTGGAGGGATCCTTGTATGTCTGAGTACGGGAAGCCGGCTTCCTGCAGCTTCAGGTTTCACTCTTCTTATATTGCTCTGCTTTTTTTTTACCATGGAAAACAATAGCATGAAATTTGCCATTTTAACCCTTGTAAGTGTACAACTTAGTGTCATTACCTCCCAGTGTTGTCCAACCATCACTACTGCCTGTTCCCAAAATTTTGCATCACTGCGAAGAGAAACTCTGTATCCACTGAGTACTAACTTCCTCCTCCCCAGGCCCTGGTACCTCTAACCTATTTTATATCTCTATGAATTTGCCTATTCTAGATACTTTGACTGTGATTATATTCTTATTTGAATGTTATTTTATTTTTTAATTTATTATTTAATTGTTGTTCAAGCACAGTTTTCTGTCTTTTACTCCCATCCCAGCCCACCCTCCCGTGCTCCCCACCTCCCTCCCATTTCCACCCCCCCTTACTTTTTGTCCATGTGTCCTTTATACTCGTTCCTGTAAATCCTTCCCCTTTTCCCTTGAAATTCCCTCCCCTCTCCCCTCTGGTCACTGTCAGCCTGTTCTCTGTTTCAGTGTCTTTGGTTATATTTTGCTTGCTTGTTTGTTTTGTTGTTTAGGTTCCTGTTAAAGGTGAGATCATATGGTATTTGTCTTTCACCACCTGGCTTATTTCACTCAGCGTAATGCTTTCCAGTTCCATCCATGCAAAGGGTAGGAGCTCCTTCTTTCTTTCTGCTGCATAGAATTCCCTTGTGTAAATGTACCAAGTTTTGGGATCCATTCATTTACTGATGGGCACCTAGGTTGCTTCCAACTCTTGGCTATTGTAAATTGTGCTGCTCTGAACATTGGGGTCCATTGGGCTCTGAACATTTTGGATTGGTGTTTCAGGGCTCTTAGGATATAATCCTAGCAGTGGAATTGCTGGGTCAAAAGGCAGATCCATTTTTAGTTTTCTTAGAAAATTCCATACTGTTTTTCATAGTGGTTGTACCAGTCTGCAATCCCACCAACAGTGCACTAGGGTTCCCTTTTCTCCACAATCTCTCCAACACTTATTGTTTGTTGCTTTGTTTAATGATGGCCATTCTGACTGGTATAAAGTGGTATCTCACTGTGGTTTCAATTTGCATCTCTCTGATAGCTAGCGATATTGAGCATCTTTTCATGTGTCTCTGGATCCTCTGTATGTCCTCCTTGGAGAAGTGTCTGTTCAAGTCCTTTGCCCACTTTTTAATTGGGTTGCTTGTCTTCTTAGAGTGGAGTTGTGTAAGTTCTTTGTATATTTTGGAGATTAAACCTTTGTCTGAGGTATCATTGGCAAATATGTTTTCCCATACAGTTGGTTCTATTTCTATTTTAATGCTGTTTTCTTTAGCCATGCGGAAGCTTTTTATTTTGATGAGATCCCCTTGTTTATTCTTTCCTTTATGTCCCTTGCTGTAGGGGACATATCAGTAAAAATGTTGCTGCTTGGAATATCTGAGATTTTCCTGCCAATGTTCTCCTCTAGGACTTTAATGGTGTCATTACTTATATTCAAGTATTTTATCCACCTTGAATTTATTTTGGTGTATGGTGTAAGTTGGTGCTCGAGTTTCATTTTCTTTGCACGTAGCTGTCCAGTTCTCCCAACACCATTTGTTGAAGAGGCTATTTTTACTCCATTTTATGTTACTTCCCCCCTTGTCAAATATTAATTGCCCATTCAGTGTGATTATATTTTGTTTTAATCTGTTTCTTGACTAAAGTTGTATTGTAATTTATGAGCCATATAAACTAGGGAAAGAAAAATGTTGAGCAGGGCATCCCCCCAGGAACCGCACCCGGAGGCAAGCTCCTCCCAGTCCCCACTCTGCTCCCCACACCCCCACAGAAACGTTTGGTTCGAGGGGGTGCACAGGACATGCACCTGCCCCAGAAGGTTTGGTGAGAACCTGGAGCAGTCCAAGCTCAGCTTGCCTTGTGGGGAGAGGAGCTGGTGGTGATGAGCCTGGTTCCCTTCTGCAGATGGACCACCCTGGGGTCCCCTTGGTGGGGTATGATTTGGGTGGAGTCTGTAAGTTTCAGGTCTCCCCGGAAGAGAACTGAGCTGAGTCCCTTCAAGGCTGTTGCAGACACTGACCTTGCAGAGCCTCGGCCTGCAGACGGGGAAGGCGATGTTGGGACCTCGGGCGTGTGTCAGGCTGCTGTCATACACAAGTGCTTGCTGGGGTAGCAGTGTCCAGAGGACGGTCCCTGACACCGGAGTCACCCTGAGAACTCGCTGTCATGGTGAACAAAGGAAGCAACCCCAGATCTGTTCTCCCCCTGCCCCTCCTTCCATCCCCCCCCATACTTATTTAGGGAGTGCCAGCCGAGCTGCTTGCACCTGGCCAGTGACCTGCAGTGACCTGACAGTGACCTGACATGACTCCTCCCAGAGCTCACAGTTTGAGGGGACCGCCACTAACCAAGGGCACAGATGGGACTTTACGTGGCTTAGATGTCTGTCTAGTTGCTGCCATCCAGTGCAGCATTGACCTTTAAAAGGTGGTTAAGTTTAAATCTCATTCCCTGAGAAAATTTCCTTGCCACTCTCAGACTGGGATATAAATTTTGGTTCTGTGAATAAGCCCCTTTATGTTGGTTTATTAACATTCCTGTTTTCAGTGGACAAATATTGTTCCAAGTTCCTCTCAATAAGAGGATTCCAGGCACAGAGTATCTGCAAGGAGAAGGGGTGGTTATATCCTTCCATATGTGTAATTGTATGCTTTTCAAGGGCTTATGTGCATCAAAAAAGGAAAGATATTCTTTGTTATTAATTTCTAAGGTTGGCGGTCATAGTTGTTGACGTATTTTTAGCTAACTTCTTTTTATGTCAAAGCAGGAGACCCCTCTAACAAGAAGACCCCCTCCGGGGTACCAGCGCACCTGGTTCCTTCCCCAAGGCGCCTGGCAAAACTGCAAGCAGATGGCCAGATACCAGAGCATCTCTCTGGGATGCAGGTTTATGCACAGGCCCCTGAGAACCAGACCCTGGCTCCCTCCCAGAACCAGGAGCTGACACAGGACGGGGCAGCCCCCTGCAAAGAGCTTTCTCCCGAGAGTCACATCAGTGCCGAGCCCCCTGCACAGCCGAGCCCCCCAGCTCTCAGTATTTCCCACGAGGCCCAAGACTTAGCCCCAGACCAGAAGGCCGAGGATGTTCTCCCTGAAGGTGAGGCCGGGACCTCCGAGACAGTAGCAGGTGACGAAGGGCAGGCGTCCACTCGGCACCCTGACCCACCTCCAGTCCACAGCCCTCCTAAGGACCGGGATGAGGAATCGGGGGAGGTCAGGGAAACTGCCACCGACCCGCCCCCTTCAGAACCTCCACAGGGACCTGACCCCACGTCCCTCAGCCCCCAGAGAACCCAGGATGAGGAGACCGAGTCGGCCAGTCTGCCACCAAGACAGCCTCCCGACCCTGATGGGGCCGAGGTGCCTGGACCATCTCTGGGAGATTCCCAGCACCCTCTGGAGGAGGGGAGCTCCGAAGTCACAGGTGCCCAGGTCACCACTCCATACCCAGGCCCGCCACATCCCCAAGACCCCACAAAGAGCAAAGAGACCCAGGACAGGGAAGACCCAACAACTTCGCTTTCCAGGAGCCGGCTGGCTCCCACCAGGCTGCCCCAGCCTCGGGTCCTTGCTCCTCTCCAGAGTCGGAGGCCCACCCCCAAACTCCCCTCACCCAGCAGGGAGGAGGCTCCAGAAACAGCCTCAGATCAAACCGTGACGCCCTCGCCGAGGCCTCCGCCAGCTCAGGAAGGCGACCCCGGTAAACTGCCTCTCATCAGCCCTCCCCACCCCAAACCACCGCCACACCTGAGCCCCCACCTGCGCCACAGTCCTCAGCACGTCCAGGGAGAGACAGTCAGGGAGGTGAAACTCCCCCTGATCAGCCCTCCCACGCAGGAGCTCGCGCCACAGCCGGCCCCTGCCCCACCACAGGAGGAGGACACTCCAGGGGTCAGGCTCCCTCGCCTGCCCACGCCCTCGGTGGAACGGCCACCGCCTCAGAACTCCAGGGCGCGTCCGGAGGCGAGGCCTGTAAAGGAGAGGCCAGCGCCCAAAGCAGTCCGCACCTCCAGCAAGAAGGTTCCAGAGATGCAACCCTCACCCCCAAACCAAGAGCCGGTGCAGCAGGTGGGAGCTAGGAAAAAAAAACTTCCTGTGCAAAGGGAGACACCTAAAGGACCAGCACACCTGAGACAGGTGCCATCTGGAAGCCACCAGACGGCCTCACAGCCACAATCCCGGAGTAGAGCCACTCTCCCGAAGGGGGCCGCCCACCCGGGCCCCAGCCCCACTCAGGGGAACCAGAGAAGCCAAGGCCACACACCAGAAATTCCTGAGCCCCTGCACGTGGAACCACTGCCTAGGGGTCCCCAAAAACTGGAAGAGGAAAAGGAAAAAGCACAATATTCCAAAAAAGAGGCCCGTGCCAACCTCCCCCCAAATGGCCCAGTTCAGAAGGTGTCCAAAAAAGGACCATCTTTGAAAAGAGAGCGTTCTTCAGGATTATCTCGAGAAAGTAAAGCTACCCTCAGCAGGGACCAGCCGTCTCAAGAGGGTGAAGTTGCACATGGGAGAACGCTCCAGAATGCAAAGGCCTCTGCAGAGTGCACACCGGCTGGTCCCGCTCCCCCGGAGCGTCCGAGGAGAAAAGCAGAGGGTCAGGAAAGGGGACAACGGCCTCAGAAGGCAGGGCCTGCTGCAGACCGCCCAGGGCAGGATGGCGCAGCCGCCTCCCAGCAGCCTGTTGGGGAGACCCGTCAGGCCAGCGAGAGCTCTGTTCACGGACACAGTGCTTCCAAGCAGCAAACCAAAGAGAAACGCACCCGAAAACATGGGGGAGCCCCGCAGGGGGAGAGCCCCACTGCGCCCCAGGGTCGGCTGTCTGCGGAGGAGCAGGGTGGGCGGCAGGGACGGCTGCGGGCGAGGGGCAGTCAGAGCACCACGGTCTAGTGGCCCCTGAAGAAGTGCCGCCCAGGATGGAAAGCTGTGTCCTGGACGTTGCACGTTGGGACACAGACTCCCCCTGCACTTGGAGCCAGCCTAGAAACGGGCCACCAGCACTGTCCAGCCAGTGGGTTCCTGGAACCCACTGCAGTCTGTCTCTGCACCACGGGGCCTCTTTGGCAGCTTGTCATCACAGCCTGAGAGAGCAGCCCCCATAAGGAGGTACCCCAGCCAGGAGTGCCCCCACCCCCACCAACTGATAGCATCAGTCACAGGGATCTGGGTCGGCCAGGAGCCTGGTGTCAGACGCATGGGGACCCCAACAGCAGTGCCAGCTCTGTCTGGGGTGGCGCCGTGTGGCTGTTCACTCTGCTCATTAGAAAAAACTGCTTCTGGATTAGCAAATTCTCACGCCTCTTACATCACTGAGGGGTCCAGAGGCAAGAATGCTGAGAAAGGGAGCGTTTACATTTCTGGTTTTTAGTTCACTGCCACCCCCTCCTTCAACCCCAGAGATTCCAAATCCACAGATTTGTGGGAACCTTCTGAAGGGAAGAGGAAAAATTCTTGTCACGCATGACACCGTGATCCAAGGTTTTAGATGCTGTCGGCACATACAGCTTTAAACTTACCTCTGTTTGAAATGAATTTCAAAATGAGTAGCTTCCTCTCTCTCTGAACAGGAGCCCTATGTAAATTAGCTTCTGCCTTCATTATGTTGAACCATCTGGTAGAATCGGTTAAAAGAATTACTGGGGGAGAAGTTCAGGCAAATTTGCTTTCGTGTATTCCTACCATCAGGATTCTCTTGCTGGCCCGTGACAGGCGTCCAGCCCCAGCCAGCTTCTGCGAATGGCTCCTGGCTCCGAAGGGGGTGGAGCACCTCACTCAGCCAGACGGCGGGGAGGGCAGAGGGCAGGGAGATTGGGGAGCAGTTGCCGGAGGGAAGCTGCACCCTTGTCCTCTGCATTATTTTTGTCGTCTACTGGATCCTTATCTCCCGGACCCTTGTCATCTCCTGGGCTCTCATCAATTGTCATCACGCCCTTTTTTACTCCACACGAGCTTTCTTCCCTTTGGTGCAAATGACTGTGTAGCCGTTTCTGCACACTGACACCTCAAGTTTCACATTGTATGTAACAACTGGCGGCTCCCACTCCTAGAAAGCGATCAACTCAAGTGTTCGTTCCTAAAGCAGTCTACCCCGGCTGGGGACAGGGTCCTGTTTAGACATATCCGCTCTGCCCACGTGTGAGGTGTACGGAATCTGCCTTCCCAGAAGACAGAACAACTGGGAGTGAGGCAGCCAATGCAAGTTTCAACTCTTAGAAAGCTACAGTTGAAGGCTTATTATACTAAGTATACGATAGCATGCGAAGTTGTGTTGGGCAGTCTGTATTTGACAAATGTAATTGACGACTATGTAAATGCCTGTGTAAATGTGTCTTACCTTACACCAAAGGTACGTGTCCACAATATTGAATGTGTGTCATTGTTATTTCAAGGACAATAGAGGAAATTGATATTTCAAAATCCATGATGTGGCGGTCCTCTTGTAAAACTAAAAGCCTGTGTTATAACTACTCTCTGATTTATCTGGTTTGTCCAACGTGAAAGTAAGAAGGTGAACCTTAAGCGTATCGCTTATTTTGATTACGTTAGTTCATTCAGCAAGCACTGATTGAGGACCTCCTATGTGCCAGACGCCATGAGAGTCGCTACGTACAGTGAGGTGATGAGGGCGCTTCAAGGAGCTCACTCTTCAACGGAGGAGACAGCAGGGTTCACGCCAACACCATGGGATTTGGGCAGCCGGAGGCCCTGCAGCTAAGTTTAGCATCAAATGGGCAAGAAAGTGATGTATTAACTTTTCCAGACTGTCATAAGGATATCCGGGAAGAACACAGGATTCCGCATGGGATGTGGAAACTGAACCGGGAAATGGTTCCCAGAGGAAGGTGTCCTTCAACTGAGTCTTCGAGGTGGCAGTTTGTCAGCTGACTGATGGGACAGAGGGGACGGTTTCTGGAGAGCAAACAGCACAGGCCCAAGCATGAAGTCAGGCATAGCCTATTCTAATGGCCCAAAGCTCCAGGTATATGTACATTCAGTGGGCCTTCTGAGCTATGCCCCTGACCTGGGGGACGTGATCTCCCGATGATGGGGAGGTGTGGAGGGGTCAAATTTTTATCTTAGAGGTTTCCGTTTAAAGATGGCGTAGAGGACACATTTGAGAAAGGCAGTATAGGAGACAGGAAAAATGGCTGAGAAGCTTTGTGCAACAGTAGTCCTGACAAGACAGGAAGGGTCTGGAATAAGGCATTGTGGCAGGGATGGAAGATTCGAGAATTACGTGAGTGTATGCATGGGGAGGGCAGATTGTGAAAGAGGGGGGAAAAATGAGAACCACCTCTTTGGTTATGTGCAGTGTACGGGGTACTTGGGAGGTAGCAGTACCTCACTTAGGAAAAGGACTTTACGTTCCTCTTTGGACAATTGTTTCTGAGGCCTCTGAAGGCATTTGGTTGCATTCTCATTAGGGTACTGATGGGAAGTGAGAAGCCAAATTTCTCGTTCCTTGACTTGAAGGTCCCTTGCCTCCTTCACAGGGTAGTGTATGCGTGTTTGTGTTTTTATCTGGCGGCGCAAGGGTCTCAGGTGCAGGGCAACTGGGCGTCCTTTTGTTTGTGGTCCAAGGCAAGAAGCAGGAAAGATCACCAACTGCAGTCTGGGAGCGGTTTCTATTGCTATCATTGATTTTCTTGGTGTAAGGGAAACTGCTTCTTTTTAATGGCAGAATAAATATTTTTAAATGGTTAGTTCTCCACCTACATTGACAACGCTTGTGTCACTTCCATTTGCTGTTTCTCAGCAAAGTTACCTTTATGGGGAAAAAATTATGGACTTCAGCCATTCTATTAGTTAATATGATCATCAGCTTTTTCAGGGAACTCTGGCCCCTACTATTCACATCAGCAGAGATCACCGTTTCAATGGACTTGAAAGGGCCTTTTTCGAGTGTTCAAAGGGCTCAATCAGTTATTTTCAAGTTTCAAAAGATAATTGGGCAAAGGGCATGACTGGTTAATTTACAAAGGGAGAAATGAGAGCCAGTAAATATATCAAAATGTACTTAACCTCACTGTAAGTGAAATCCACATGGACACGTGGGGTCCCAAACTAGCAAAGATGGCAAACGAATCAGTCCTCGGTGAGTCTGAGGGAAAGTGCGGTTTCCATGTGGTCGGTGAAGGAAGCCGGCGTGGCTTCTCTGGGGACAGTTTTACAGTGTCTGTCAGAACCTTAGTAACCGTTCGTATCTTTAACCCAGTAATTCTAACCCAAGAATTGTCATAAGGAAGTAGTTTGTGTACAAGGATATTCAGATTAATGTCTTTATAATAAAACCTGGAAAAAGTCAAGCCATCTAATGGGATTTAAAAGTAACTCATGGGAAAACCTTACAGTACCATCCCATGCTAGGACGCTGTGTTGCCGTTAGAATCACACTGTGGCAGAATATGGAGACGGGGAAAATACTTGATCCCCCAAACTTCAGTTGAGATGATTGTACTATGTATGTAGTGTCTAGGGCGGAGCTGGTCAGTTCAATTGGAAAGACGTAATTCTAGAAGTCACGTCCCTTTATTGACCAAGCATTCAGAAAAAAGGATAAGAAGAGGCTCTTTCTTTGTGTCAACGATAGATAAATAAACTAGAAGACCAAATCTTTGATCTTAAAGGTGATGTTGAGAGTATACTCATGATTAGGAAAGCTAAAGACTATTTTCTTTTAGATTTATGATTTCAAATATCACTAAATATCAAAATGATCTTTGGAAATTTCAGTTTCAGTACGACCTGGCCGTGTGAACTTGGGCAAGTTATGAACTTCTCATGTATAACATGGCGATAATAATATCAGGCATCTCGAGGTGATTGTGAAGATTAAATGAGTTGCTATATTGAAAAACACCCAGAACAATGTTTGACACATAGTTAGTGCTGATGTGTTTGTTAGTATTAACGTGTAAGCAGCAAAAGCTAATTTTTTTAAGAACTTTACGTTTTATTTTTCAATTACAATTTACATTTAATATTATTCTGGACTCGTTTCAGGTGTACAGCATAGTGGTTAGATAATTATATACTTTACAAAGTGTTCCCCCCAATATTTCCAGTACCCGCCTGGCACTATGTATAATTATTACAATATTATTGACTATAATTCCCTGTGCTGTACTTTACATCCCTGTGACTATTTTATAACTACCAATCTGTACTTCCTCTTAATCCCTTCATCTTTTCCAACTGGTCCCTAAACCCCCTCCCCTCCGGCAACCATCAGTTTTTTCTTTGTGTCTATGCGTCTATTTCTGTTTTGTTTACTTATTCTGTTCTTTCAATTCCACACACAAGTGAGATCACATGGTATTTGTTTCTCTGACGTATTTCACTGAGCATAATACCCTCTAGGTCCATCCATGCTGTTGCAGATGGTAAGATTTCATTCTTTTTCATGGCTGAGTAATATTCCATTGTATGTATGCACCACGGCATTTTTATTCACTCATCTATTGCTTGACACTGGGTTGCTTTCATATGTGAAAAAAATTTCTTAAGTAGCATCATTAATTAAAATAGCAACAGCACTGGTCAGAGCAGGTGTAAGAGTTTGGCAAATGGGATGCTCTTCTCTGGAAATCCTTTTAAAAACATTGACGGCCTTCATTGAATTAAGGGGCGTACGCAGAATTAGAATAATATTGGCAAGAAATTGTGGTTCAGCAAAACATTCCTTGGATCAATAGATTTGTTCATGGGCATTCACAGGCAGCATTGAAATTTGGGGTGCACACTGGAAAGACTCATCAAACAGCACCTGCCACAGAGGACATCATACCCGTTACCTATTATTTGTACTATTATTGTCTGACTACTGATAAAATCCAAGGCCTTCATACTTTATGTGTCAGACTGCTTAAGTGGTGGGTGCCGGCAGGGCACTTGACTAGGGACTAACCCAGTAGATACTGAGCGTTTGTTTTCTGTCTGTGGTGGGTCGAGACCCAGACTGGCTTCTACGAGCTACCAGATCTCAAGGCCGCCAGTTTCCAAAGGCAAAAAGAGAAAAGCAAAGTGAAAAGAGGCACACACCGTCTCTGCTGGAGGAATCAGTCCACAAAACATCTTTGAAAGCTGTTGTCGAAGGGTGAGCCCTTGGTGGGCGCAGACCACACTCACCCCAGAGGCAGGCACGGGTGGGTGGGGATCACATCCGAACTCTGGTTATTGAACACACTGCTGGGGGAGAGGAAACCTTTTGTGGGTATTCAAGCTCCCTTAGGGGCTCCTGCCAGCCATTGCCACCCTTCCTTCTGTCTTCTCTCTCCCAAATTGTGTACACATCCAGATCTTAGGTCTCAAGTTTCTGCTCTTGAAATGTACCTGTCCTGTATAGTATCGCCTTCAAAGTGTCCATGAACTGCTTCATGATAAACTCATCCATGTTAAAGAACTGAAATTCGGGCTGCTTTCGTCATATGTTTTAATCAGCACATTCTGAATACAGTGCCCAGACATCGGGCCCTTAATTGAACTCTGCTGCAGACGTTCCAGGTACATGGTTTCTACTGCATTTGAAATAAGTTCAATGGCAAGAAACACTTCGAACCTCATTCTCTCTGAGTGAGAATGCACATTTGCACGCCTTTCTTTGTCCTGATGTGGAATCTTTTCTCTGTTTAAATAGCCGATTCTTCATTTGATGAATACTCCAGGATACAGTACTTTACTGTTAGAATAGTGTAATAATCATATTCATTTTGCCATGTAACATGAACATTACTTCTGTATTTCCTTGGACGGATATGGTAGCTTTCTACTGTAAAAGCTTATTTTGCTATGGAAAATTGTTATGGATATTATATAAAAATGGTTAGGTTTCAGGTTGCTATCATTACTATCTTATAAGCACAGACAGACAACACTTTTAAGATTTATTTCTGTCCTGAAAAACTAGGTTCTTTTGGCGCCTTTAGTTTTGTGATAACACTTCCTAGTGAGCAGAGCCTTTCCCTTTATTTTCCACTACAAATTGTGTCATTGTCCTATGAAAAATAAATATATTTCATTGTATAGCAGATCTTTGTGCTTTGTTTTTGGCCATGTTCATGATTGTATTTCAATATTAAGAGTCTTCTGCAGGGATTTTATAGGTATTTACAGTTTATATATATTGTATGTATATATATTTAATCATGGTAGGTATAAATTACTTTTGTTAAAAATCACATACAGCATTTTTGTTACCTATCACTATTACCTAAAGAAACATTTTTTAAGCTCCATTTGAGTGGGGCGGGGACTGAACAGTATTGAAATCATCCAACTCTCTGAGTACTTTCATCTGAAAATTAAAGGCTGTTGTCAGGTCACAACGTTCCACGTGTCTTCAGACAATCTCTACTGTTGATTGGTTTTGCACGGTTTTATTTAAATGTTTAAAACTTGTATTAAAAAGTGTTCTGTCTCATGTGTTTGAACAGGAGAGTGACTCGGTTACTTTGCCGCACATATAATCTCAATACAGAAAAATTGCTTATTAAAATAGTGATTGTTGGTTTTCAAGACCCAGCTGACCCCCCACAACACATGGGTGAGGGGTGCCAGCCTCCCATAGGGTCCAAAATCCATGCATAACCTCAGAGTCTCCCAAAGCTTAGCTACTAGTAGCCTGCTACATACTGGAAGCCTTACTGATAACAATGAACATATCTTGTATGTGATATGTAGCATACACTATAAACCTAGATTAAAAAAAGTGTGGTTATGAAAATCCTTAGGAAAGTTCAGTTACCATGTTTATGGAAGCAAACACACATATAAGTGGACCCGTGCACTTCCAGCCGTGTTTTGCAAGGGTCAGCTGCGTCCACAATCTGACTGCCAGGGTCTGACTTCCTTGGTAGGTATTGCCGGGGCTGTGGGCCAATGATAGGAGATCATGGACCTCTTTCATTGTCTCCTTTCTTTGATGCAGGAAGAGGCCCTGTTTAGTCTGTGTGATGATACAACATTAAATATGCATACAAATGTTTATTCTTAGCTACACGACTTCTACTGCACTTATTACTTAGGTTGGGCTCTCTGCTTATTCTTTTAAGATGGTTTATACCAATATTATTTTAATTCACTTGACTGCAAAAGGATATAATTTTAACTAAAAGGTCTGAGCTATTTAAAATTAATTTGAGATGTAGTGCTGGTTGTTCCAGATATTTCATTTATATTTTCCTGCATATGGTAATGATACTGATCCATAAAACAGCTTTAAAATCTGTCATGCATCATTAAATTCATTTATGCTTCATTGGAGGTATTTAAATAAATTTACCTAGTCTATAGACTGAAGAACTTGGTTTTTTGTGTGTGCCATAAAATAATTTTTATATATTTTTAATGTTGCCTCGAGGCTGACTTTAATTTAGGTACTTTGAATAAGATCGCATTAAACTTTGTAGTGGGGCATCCTACCGTACCGTGGGAATCGTGGTTTTTTATTAACTGAGAAGTAGAATCTCTTGCTCATGGAGGTACTAAGACACTAGAAACTACATTAAGAACTGTATGAGACTGTTTAGTATAGGAGTTCAAGTCACGGAAGTGGTGGCTTCACCACGCAGTGTAATAGTAATAATCTTCACCCAGAATGCTTTGTTGCCGAGAGACCATTAAGTCATTAAATTGTTGGAATTATAACTGCATTGTATCAGATTGACCCTGGCTTATTTGCAAATGCCTGTCCACAGCCATTTGTACCCTGGCATAGTACAAATGGCTGATGTCTCAGAAAGCCAAACCAAGAAATGCTTACATAAATGTTGTATTTTGTATTTACATATGTATATATATATATATATATATACACACACACACACACACACACACACACATATATGTATATACATTTCTTTTATATATATGTATATATGTACTTCTTACATATATGTATATATACTTATATATATATAAACGGGTATATATATACACCTTATATATAGGCAATATATATTACATATATATTTTTTATATATAATAAAGGAATAGTTTATGCTGTATTTTGAATAAGGTTTATATACATAAACTTTATATTTATATGTTATAAAATATATAATGTATATATAAATTTATAATATATAAAATATATAAGGTTTATGTATATAAACCTTATTCATTAATACACACATTAATATATAATACATGCATTATATGCATTGTATATACAATATAATTGTATATACAATATATACATTATTGTATGTGTAATACACATATGTATATGCAATATATACGTCAATATATAATACATATTTTATAGTGTGTAAATATATATAATATGTAATATATTATAAAATATATATACATGTCTTTATTATATATATCCTTTCCAAAGAAATGATTTCAATGAATGTAACTTCTATTTCTTTAAATTTTATCCTAACTTTTTTCAAATTAACCTGTTTTTTTTCACAATGCTTTATTCTTACAGTCCCATCAAAAGGACCAGGGATTTGGTTTGGATTTTGGTTTTGGTAGGGCCCAGGATCGAGCCTCTCCATCTTGTTCCCTTCCTCACCTGGGCGTCCCTGGAGTCTTTAATGTGGTTGTGTTACGCATGCTCCTGGGCCCCTCTATAGAGCTGCGCTCTCTGCCCCAGAAGCCTTCACCCCAGGCATCTGAATGCCTCTCTTCTTCGTGACTTTAGATCACTATCCAGACTCTAAACCTGCAGCTTGTAGTGTCTGGACAAATCCAGGTGCAAACATTTTTCTCACTGGAGAGAGTTCCTTTACCCTATGTTATGCCTTTTATTTTAAAGTTTGTGTTTTTCCCCTACCAGATACTAAGCCAACTCAGCCGAACTTTCAGAGGTCAGCTAAGAAGTATAGTTCCCTGGATTCTACAGACAGAAATTACTTGATGAAATTATGGACCAAACTGTCATCCAGAAAAACACCAGTGGTAAGGAGGGACAGATGGGCAAAGCCACAGGGAGGGCAGCACAAGGGCAGACAACAGTGGGGTTGCCGTTTGCAGGTAATACTTCCCACCAAAACCGTCTCTGACTGGCAACCTGTGAAGACGAGTCTTTTCGCCTCTTTCTACACCTCTAGGAAGAGGCGTGGGCTCTAAAAACAGAATATTAAGTTTACATTTCAAGACTACCTTTCCCCCAGCCTCCGGGTCGGTACCCTAACACTCGACTCTTCTGTTTAGCAAGAATAGAAAAAAATGCAACCGTAGAATTAATGCCGTAACACATGTACTTCCCGGGAAAACTTGCTTTGTTGTTGGGATATAACTCTTAGTGATCCCGTGCTGAGTCTCAGAGTGAGCCCGCTCAGAGTCCCTGTTTTCATAACATGGCACTATTGAATGAAACCAGTCACGTAGCCTAGTCCCAAGTCCGTTCTCTGAGAGCCCAGAGAAATCAGCGTGGGCAGAAGGACTGAGTGCGGTTGGCACCGCATTCAGATTAGGAGGTGTGCATTTGTCGTTTTAGCAGTTTGCATTTGATGATCTAGGAATACGAAGAGATCTCAGTTATCACAGCAGCAACAGAACTTTTGCTTGGGTCGTCAGTGCTTTGGACATGTTTCCTGCAGCCTCGCCCGTTCTAAGGAAATAATCACATCATCTTCTAGAGTCAGAGCCATGGGAGGTGGTCAAAAGAATCAGACAGGCTACCTCAGATGAAAAGCCTCGGGCTTTGTTATAGCCGGGGGTATACATGCCACTCCGATTGAGTCTTAAGAGTGAGATGTTTGAGGTGGAAGAAATGGATACCCATTCAGATTAGCTTCAGTGGAAGTAGTTCCATTATAAAAATACAGGGAGCGGGTTCCTAGTGCATCGTGAGCAGGGAAGACATGCAGACCTCACAGCGATGAACTAGGGTTAGAAATTAGGTGCTCTCTGCTCCCTTCACCTCTGCTTTCTCGTATGTCCCAGGAACTCTCTCCTGGCTGGCCTTCTCCACGTAATTCATGCTCATTCTCATGCACGGCAGCCTGAGCTCTCCTGACCTCTTGGCTCTGTGCCCGCTGCCTCTTTGGCTCAGACTGTGGAAGGCAAGAGAATCTCACTGGTGCAGCTGGGCGTTTCCGGCCTTCCCACGCAGCCCGCATTAGACTGCTTTTCCAGTTCCCTGTGGCAAGGCCAAAGGCAGGGCCACTTGGTATCAATTATGGCTCCTTAGAGGGAGCTGCGGTAGACTCTAAACTCCTATAAAAAATATGAATGCGTTCCCTGCTACTTGAGTGCTTATGTGTCCAAAATAAACCTGGAATTGTTCCCACCTACCTAGGATCTGTGGGAAATCAGGCAGCAGTCATTAGGAGGGGGGATCCATGCCCTTTCTTTGGATTAAGTTCAAGAACCCGGAGGCCCTCACCATCCTGGAACGTTGGGAGACAGCCCTGGGCCTCTAGGCCTCGCTCCACGGGTGCCCGGGGCTCCTCCTCCAGGACCCTGAGTTCCGTTCTGAGCCAGCCCCTCTGGTGGTCTCCACATGCCGTCCCGCCAGGCCTGTGCCCAGTACTGGCCTCTGAGACCCTGCCGTCCTCAGGGGTCCTCGGCAAGGGGGAAGCCATCAGCTTCTGTCCTGTGGTCCTGGGCAACCCAGCTCCTTCCAGGGCAGTCTACTGCGCCCTCTCTACTTGCTATCCTGTCCTTGGATGGCATGGCTTTATGCTTCTGGAGCTTAATAACTTGTTCCTTAATCTCCCCTCAGACATGGTGCATCCACAGCCTGCAGTCTGGAGCATGGGTCTTGGGCACCTTTATTTATTCCTGAATGAGAAGTCTGTGCCCTCACAGCCAGGGCCAGCTCACGGCCCCTTGAGGCTGCGCTCCAACACACTGATGCGCAGCACATGCCCTTGATGTGCCCCCTCTGCCAGTCGGGGGGGATTCACGATTTCTTAAAACCTGACCAGTCTGCATATGGCCTGTGAGAAAGCTCTCAGGCCAAGTTGAAGGTAGTTTCCCTGGGTGAGGGCACTCGGGTACCTAGGAGTGGGAACAGGAACAGAGATATTTTTATAGCAACATTACATATTGTTAGCAATAATTCACCTCCAGCACTTCAATAGAAAGTTAATGAACAGTATGGAGGAACGAGAGAGGAAGGGCTGTGATAAAAAGGCGACATGAGAGCAGTAGAGGCCACCTGGGCGGTGGCAGACGGGGGAGGGGCGCAGACATTACTAACCACCTGTTGTCAGAGAGGCTGATGGAGTTCCACACGCCCAGGGTCCCCTCCACCCAAACCCACCCCCAAACTCACCTTGTCCCCGAGGCCTTTCCGTCTACTCCCTTCATCCTAACACTCCACGCTTCCCCTGCGCTTTCCTGTGCCGCCTCGGGGGTGTCAAGGTGCAGTTGCCAAAATAGGGAGACTGCTCCTGTCTGCGTCCCAGGGAAGCGATTCTCTCCCACAGGGGTCACGCGTGTGCCCGTGCCATGACTGTTGGGTACGTGTGTATTTATGTGTGTCGCCGTGTCTGCCTGCATTTCGAGTCTAGCTTGCCTCTGTCTGCATTTTAACTGTTGGTTTCTTGAGAGGAAATGCAGCGACTTCCAGTTCATGTGACCGTCTTGCCACCTACTGGGTGATCTTATAAAAGTCACTTATCGGCTGCGAGATGTCATTTTCCTTTCTGTAAAGGGGAGCTGAGAATATCTGCCCTACAGGGTCATTGTATCAAACGCTTACAGAGCTTCTTTCTAAACTGTTGACCATAAAACGAGCGTTCATTGTTGTTATGGTGGCCGTGGCCAGCAGGCAGGGCGGAAGGGGTTCGGGCCCTCAGCTTTGCACATCTTTATCTCATACCATGTTCCCTGCCAGTTATATAAGGCAGTAATTGGTGTCAATTGAGGAAATAAGTGCACCTGCCAAGGTTATTCGATACAGTGCCAATATGCAAAAATGAATTAGATTTTAATTAACAGCAAGACTGCTTCCCTTTCCTCCCCCTCCCTCCCCTGCCCCTTTCCCTTCCTCTTTTATTCCTCTCATTCATCTGTCTCTACCCATCCTGAGTTTGTTCAGTCCCTGCCATGCATGCCAGAACTGGATTTGCTTTTCCATATAGAGCAGGTGTTGGCTTGACCAGGCCCCGTTCTAGACACCAGGACACGACGGACATGGTCCCGTCCTTCTGGAACATCTAGTGTTGCAGGCCAGCGTGTGTGTGTAGCTCTTCTCCCTCAGCCTTCTTTCCGTGAGCAGAAAACGGGCTGATGGAGCGTGGGGAGCCTCAGCATCACGGACTCCTGATATTCCCACAGCTGTTCTTGTAGCCAAGGTCACTGGGGGTTCGCTCTAGGACCCAACGAACTTGTCTTTCTTAGGAAGAAATGTCCAAGGATATCATTCCTTATCTTTAAGTCTGGAAAAAAACTCTGCTACCATCCCTTTTCTTGCTAGTTACTCCAGTAGGTTATCAATAGCCAATGCTTTCTGTAGGACCATAATTTAATATGGATTTGAATAACTTAATAAAATACTCACCGTCCTCAGTGCCTCATTCCCTGCTTATACAGTCACTCCTCTGCTGGTTCATCTCTCCTTTCGTCACAGCTTAAATCGTATTTACTTTTCTGAATGACTCCCAACGCACATTAATTTGAACATCTCTCAAAGATTCCAGGAGAACTAGAAATATAGTTTTAATCAGCCTTATTTCTTACACATAATTTTCTTGTTAGGTCTGAGTTTTTTAAAGACGCACAGCTCTTCTGTACCTGCTGCAACACGTACGTAGCAAAAGTACCCAGTGAAAAGTTGTTGTTGATGCGACTCCCTTACACGGTCGGCACGGGTCTACGTCCTCATGTTTTGCTCGTCAGATGTCACTGTGGTCCCTGTGCTTCCCGTCCCCTGCCTGCGAGCAGCCCAGCCCCTTCTGCACCTGTACATGAAGGCTGTGACAGTGTCGTGAAGATTTCTTGCCCTGGAATTACTTTGACTAGGTCTTCACCTTCTGCAAGTAGCTTTCTGAATTTCAATTATATCTGTTTCTTCCACAAGTTCCTCAGGCCTCCTTAGGGGACACTCTTGCTCCTGGAGCCGGCCAAGTTACTGGAAGCCAGTTCTTTAGAACAAATAGCCCAACCACCGGTTCATTCAAAGCCAACTTCGCAAGCGTGTGTGCGCGGCAGACAAGGTGAGACAGTTTTCAGAAAGGACCCAAATGTGCGAGGGCTGGTGAGCAGTGGCTCTGGTGATGCAGCCGTGGACACCGGCGTTAATGAAGCACAGTTCCCTTCGGGTGCTGGGACCGTCCACTCCGGGAGCTTGTCCTGGATTGCACAGCTCACAGTTTCTCTTTTGACTCCAGAAGAAAACGACTTTCTTCTGCTCAGGTGCGTTTTTCAGTGCACAGAGTTCAGCACCAGGTGCATTAGCTGGAATAATATGGAAGGAGATGCTTCTCCCACCTGCACAAGTGGCACAGTTCGCATCGGGAATTGGTGGCCTGTTAATGTGAAAGTATCATTTACGCTCCTGGTGGATGCACATCAGATGGAAGGATGTCCGCCCACTGCCCTTTTTTATCCTTGAAATGTGGTCTTCGGCCCGTGGGAGCCTTCAGGTCACACCCGCACCCTTTCGCCCTGACCCCTGCTGTCTTCGGTAGTCACCTTGCTCTCTAGTACAAGACATTCTCTGCTCTTTTGTCCCTTGCCTGACCCAGACCTGGAATCAGCCTTTTCTCCAAGAAGTTCTGCTTTCTGTAAGCAGGCGATGGCCGTACCCCCATGCTCACTGCTAGCAGGGAGGCCATCGTTTCCAGGTCTCCTCTGCACACGGATAACACATTTCAGGAGTTAACGTAGCCCATTCAGACTTCAAGACTTCAGGATTCTTACCTGACTCCCTCTCTCATACGCATTTTTCCCTTCCACACTGAGAATCCTGACCCTGAAAGACATAGGGAATGATGAAAGAATAGCTCATTAAATTTTTATTTGTTTTATCCACATTACACACAGAAGAGTCTCAGCATAACAATGCTAATGTTACCAGCACTCGTTATGAAAACTGAAAACAGTTATAAAAAGTGGGGGGCAAATGTTCTTCCTCCTCCCTCCTCCCGCCCCCCCGGTAGTGTTGGCTGTGTCAGAACCACCCTGTGAGAGCACGTGGTCGTCACGCACCCTCTCTCTCTGAACGTCCGTTTGTCTCGGTTCTCAGATCTGCGGGAACTTAACGCTCGTCCTCAGAACTTCAGTAAATGTCTCTTGAGCTGTTTTGTTTCCTGAGCTTATTCTCTAGTGAAGACAGAAAGGGCTATGGGAGGAAAACTTCCTGAATACTTCCCTGTTCTTAACAGTCTTCTACGCTGTTATGCTTGATAGTTTGCGGGTTTTTTAATCTGTCCTCTTTCCTTGTTTCAGTTTTCTTTGTCAAAGACTCTCTTGGTTTGTATGCTGGCCCGGCTTTGTCTGTCTTAAGTAGTTGTCATTTCTCTTGAATCCTTTTTACCACTTTTTTTTTTTAGTTTAAAATCTTTCCTCCGTTTACTTTCTCTTTCCCTTATGGCATTATTTATTGTGTTTATTCACTCTTGTATTCTTTCTAGTTCAGTTTTTCTTCCTAAGGTTGTTTTCCCCCCCTTATATTTCTAATTCTTCCCTGAGTTCTGTCATGTTTTTTCTGAGTTTGTAGAATCATAATTTATTCACTCCTTCACGTGGTGTGTCCTTTACTTAATGTCTTTGGTTTATTTTGAAGCAGTTGACTGTGGACTTTATCTGTTTTATGAGTAAGCTTTCATTGCGTGTAGAGGTGTTATTTTACTCCTTCCCCCTTTTTTCTTATAATGCCTTCGCATGGGGTTTGACCAGAGAATTCTCATATGTATGCGAAAGTAGGTTTCTCACGCTTTCAAGAAAGCGGCACGGTTTCTTCAAATAGGGATAAAATATAAAACCGCTTTCTTCCTGGGATTTCCTGGCTGTGTGTCCCTCCCCACTTAGCTCTAGACTTTCTCTTCCCTTTGTCTGTACTGACCCTGACCCAGTTAACTCGGATTCCACTCCCCCAGCTTCTTTTTGCTTCCGTGCGAGGAGGCCCCGCCCCGGAAGGGAGCCCCTCGGGGTCAGTCTCAGGAATTCCCAGGGGCTCCGGCTCCTTCCCAACCTGCTGTGGACCCGTAGCCTCGCCCGCAGCTGGAGCGGGAACAGCCGTCGCATGTTTCTGCTGTGGTCCCCTGCTGTCCTGCTGTGCCCTCCAGGCAGTGGTTTCGAGCTATTTTGGGAGCTCCCGTGCCGCTTCCTTCCTTCAGCACCCTCTTGCACAGAAACTGGTACCATGCTGGTTGGGTGGCTGGTATCACCTGTATTTGGGCTTGAGGGGACACCTCGTCACCATGTGTTCTTATAAATGCTTCAATATGCATTTATTTTGCTACTTTATTTTATTTATTTTATTTTACTACTTAGTTGCTATATCTGTTTCTATGTGGGGATTCTGGAAGATCCCAAAGCCATGCGTCCTTGACTGCCGTCGTCATCCCAGTCATGACGTAATTAAAGTCCAGCATCAGTATAGGACAATATAGAGACAATACAGAGTGAAATCACAACAGCCAATGATTACACAAGTACATTATACAATACAGTGTACAGGTACAATATACAAATACTTGAGTAATTTGAGGAAGAAGAATAAATTTCCCTGAGAGGAGGATGTGGTCAGTCTAGAGTAATTTTATAGTAACATGAAACATTATAGGCATATCCATGGAGTTAAATACACAGTTTTTAAATGGTGAAATTTGTTAGATTTTATTTATTTTTAGAGAGAGGGGAAGGGAGAGAGGAGAGGGAGAGAAACATCAGTGTGTGGTTACCTCTTGTACGCCCCAGCTGGAGCCCCTGCCCGCAACCCAGGCATGTGACCTGACTGGGAATCGAACAGGTGACCCTGTGGTTCTCAGGCTGGCACTCAACCCACTGAGCCACACCAGCCAGAGCCTAAAATATGAAATTTAAAGAGTGGATTCCTTTCTTCTCCCCTTGTCCCGCTCCAGAACTCCCCCCCCCCCCCCCCACACACAGATAGTTCTTCCTCTCCCTGCTCACACAGAAACACGGAGCTGACAGGCAGGGAGATGCTGGAATGGTCTGGCAGCCACATACCCACCTGAGGGCCCACATTCCGCAAGCCCACAGGTTCGCTGTCCTGTGTCATGGGTTTCTAAGGGGCAATTTCAAAAGCTTGACCACAATTTCTCAAGCTAGCCATAGTCGATAGCAAGTTCTAGTCCAGATTATAAAGAGCAGTCATCATCATTCATTGTTTATGTCACCCTCCCAATTTTCTGTTGTTTTACATTAAAAGTACGTATGGAGCTCCTGCTTTGTGCTAAGGTGTATGTGTGTGTGCAGTGCAGGGGACATGGGGGTTGAGCCTTCTGGTCTCCGGGTGTGAATACTCCTCAGAGATGCTCAGTGGCCATCAGTCCTGGCATCCCCAGAGCAGAGCCACCTCTGCACGTAAGTTTTGGTAATGCAAAAATGGTTTTAGAATCACACGAACTTAATCCTTGAAACTTGAGTCTTAAAACATTCCCCCAAGAGACATGCGCACTCTTGAAGCTCTGCTAGCCTGCAAGGCTGAGCAGGCGAGGAGCCCGGAGGTGTGGACTCAGCACTGTAGCTATGGCGTGAATCCTTTTTGTCATCAGTGGGAGTCAGGTTCTCTCAGTGTCCAAAGGAAAAGAGTTCCCTGAGACCCGCACGGGGGTAGGTGGCTCTGTGGTATGGTTGACCGATGATGTACAATTAAGGGGGTTCCCCTTCTGATTTTCCAGTGTCCCATCTCTGTCCATCTTGCCATAGAAGAAGTCTAATATTGACTTCAGTGGGGCCAGGATGAAGGGCACCGCCCAGGGTTTCTGCTCCGTGTTAAAGTCTAGTCCAGTCCAGCATCCCGCTGGCTCAGCCTGTGTTTCCAGTTGTAGTCCGTTGCTGTGCTTCGATATTCAGGATCTCCCCCGGAGACCATGGGCCATGTGGCCGTGGGGAGAACAGGTGCATGCGCCACACGAGTGCAGGTCACAAGCAAGAGAGAGATTCTTTGTTCCTCTGCAATTATAATAACCAGGAGCTTGGGTCTGGGAAGGACCCGGTGCTTTCTCCAAGTGACCAATCAGCTTCCCAGGTTTTCCCTGGCTTTGGGTAGGGCCCACCCCCTAGTTAGACTGCCAGCACCTCCCCTGCACCCCACCCCCAACATATTAGAGGCCAGAAGGGAAGAGTGTTAATCCCCTTGGCAGAGCACTGCTGTGGTCCCCTGGGATGCAAAGCTGTAGCTTCCTGGCTAGCAAGCAGCTCCTGCTCTTCCCAGTTTATGAAGTTCAATGTCTAATCTATTCACTACCCTTCTCAGGATCTAGCTAAACACTGACGGTAACACTTGCACTGGCACACTTCTTGTTGGTACTTCGCATGCGATATTAAGTGAATATCAACTTACGAAGAAGCCTGGTACTGGCATTAAAATCAAAACTGGTTTATTTCAGATTAAGGTACTGCAGGCAAAGGTAAATGTATTTTAAATGCATTGACTGTTTAAGTATTATTATAAGTCCCTTAAGAAGTGAATAGGCTTTTATTGAAAATAAGCACTTGCCAATTTATGTTTTCTATAAATTAAGAATTGTATACATTCGTTTGATCGAAGTGAAGAAACCCAGTATGTGGACAGTTGCCGAACAGGCCCACTCTCAGACGTTCGGTGTGTGTAGACACCTGTTGTACTATTTATAAAACAGCATGTGCTATCTTTTCTTTTTCTATCCATCTTTTTAAATAGCCTTTTACCACCAGATTATCAACCTTGTGAATGCTGAGACTGTATCTTTTGTATCTCTGTGTCCCCATCAAACGCCTACTAAGGATTTAGTGATGGTCATAGTAACGTTGGTGAAATACAGGAGAACCGCCCCCACCCCGGTTTGTCCTGTTTCCAGGTCTGGGCATCAACATTATCGGGCGTGTTCACTGAGTTAGGTGCTTATGTGTGTTTCCATCTGGGAAAACTAAAAAGACAAGAATAATCTGGACCCTTGAGAGAAAATCTCATTGGAAAAAGAAAAAATGTAAACATGAAATGTTAATAAAAATTTGCCACATTATTATTTAGATGCCTATAAAATTTATATATTCAATCACAATCTTCATAAAAGTACTTTGATTTTATTTATAAATGTTTCCCTGCCGAATACATAGCAATTTTTTTAGGCCTATGTGTTTTTCACTTTTCTCTTCACATATTTGGCAACCTCTAGTAAGAAGAGAATGACCACAGCTCTTTTAATCATCTGACATATTTTTAACATCAGTACAATCTTCTGATCATATCTCTTGCTTAGGAAAAGAAGTCTTTAGCGAGGCAGCGTGAGACAGCCCGGCAGGCCCTACTGGGAAAGACACCTCCTGATCACACGCTCCTGTTCCAAAGGTAGTGACTCATCACGTTTATTCACAGCCCGACACCTTTAGATTGATTGGCTAGTATCCAGATACAGCAGATGAATCCTAAACCATCAGTATAAACAGGGACCTGTATGCTAAAATGAATCCAATCATTCGGAATCAAAAGGCCATTAAAATTTGCTTTAAATTACAGTTCTTATTGCCTGTAATTTTCAGCTATGTGTTGACATTTTTCACTGATATAAGTAAGTTTTGTCCATTTGCTGCCTATGGAAAAAGCGACTGATTTCCTCCATGGGGGGGTGGGGTGGGGGGGAGGTGCCTTGGGGTGGTCCCGTTCAAGGGACCGGCTGTGTGCAGTATACAGGGCCCTGCTGGGGGGTTGGGAGGGTGGTGGCCAGATGATTGGCAGCCTGTGTGACCCCCGCCTGGCAGAGTTTAACAGGCCGTGCCTGTTAAAACACCAGACAGAGAAACGAAGGGGTTTTAAATAGGAGCTGCAAGTGGGTGGTGCTAGAACAGAGAGATGCTTCTAATTTGCATGCATTCCCGGGCAGGGGGGCTGCTGAGCACTCGGCCACTGTGTCGGGCAAGTCTGGGGTGCAGGGCCGCAGGATTGACTCCCTAAAAATGGGGAATGATTCTTTCAAGTTACTCTAGGGAAACAGGCTAGTATCGATGGGAAAAAAAGAATATTTTATACTAAATTTCAGTTGAGAATTTTTAGAATTATAGAATTTTTAGAACCATTTTATTCTGGTATTATTTCAAAGCATTAGATTGCATATTAATGATTTATAGGTAAGGAATTTTTAACAGCAATACAAATTTGCTTAATCCAAAAATTAGAATATAATAACGCCAGCTCTGAGGTGCGAGTTTGTGATTAGATACATTACATTATTTCAAGTGGACTTTATTGGCCATTTATGTGTAACGATCAGTGTTTACATATTACACGTGTGTTTGCGTGGTATCATTACAAAATTCTTTGGATTTTTTTTGATATTTCCAATTTCAGGGGTTCAGTACCAGCACCCACCAATGGTGTACATCACTTCACAGCTTTAGAAACACAGAGAAGTTTGGAGATGTGTGAAGAAGATTTTTTAAAAACTCTTATTCGGACACATTCTGAAAAGAGGTGAGCTGAGTTTTGTTGGACAGAATCAGTTTTCCTGCCGGTGAGTGAAGCCCGTGGCACTTGTCCTGAGGGTCCAGGGGACTCCCAAGTCTGGGGATCAGGGCCCCACCCCCCACCATGGAATTTGAGGGGCACAGATGCTGGCTTCGAGGGAGGGCCCAGGTATGTATAACCTAGGTTCATACAACCTAGCTTCTCTCTGGGACTCTGAATCTTGAGGGAGTGACAGAAAGATGCAGGTGTAGTTAGAAGTCATTTGAGTCCCCAGTTGGTGGAAGGATCAAAAACCCACCGTGCAGTACAAGCAATGATGCGTACCAGTCTCTTCCTGTATCACGACTCAGCTGTGTTTTGGTGCCTCATTGTTAAGCCTGGTTCTCTAGTTTTCAGTTAAGTCTACGAATGCCCCAATAGCTTTCCAATAGCTCCCCCTTTAATATTCAAAGTAGACAGACTTGGTGTCCGTGATTTGCAATCAACATCTCTCATTAGAACAGTGGCTCTGTTTCACAATGTTTACTAGCCAATGCCCAATGCACAAAATGCTATTTCAGGGTTCTAGCGCTTCATATGTCAAAGTGAGGTTCAAGACCTGGTGAAGTGCAAGTGGAAGACTCCCTGTGGACCACAGCAGGCCCGCCACTGCTGATTTAGTGCTCGGCTTTGGGACGCAGTCTGCTGCACTCTGTTCCCACTTCAGCTTCCGCTGGCTCTGCCTGGCTGGTGTGGTTCGGTGGACTGAGTGTCCGCCTACAAACCAAAAGGTGATTCCCTGTGGGCACATATCTGGGTTGTGGGCCAGGTCCCCAGATGGGGGCGTGTGAGAGGCATCCAGTCAGTGTCTCTCTCACACATGGATGTTTCTCTGCCTCTCTTTCTCCCTCCTGTCCCCTCTTTCTAAAAATAAGTAAAATCTTTAAAAAATCCTTTGGAATGTGATATTTAAACAATGGGAAAAAATTGATCCTTAAGATAGTTAAGTTTCTCATATCTCTGTATGTTAAAAAATTTAGATAAATTATAAAGAGTTAAATACAAATCAGTGCCTGTAACCTAATAAGTGTTAAAGGTCAGATGTGAACGTACACCCCACACCGTGCAGGCCCACGTATATCCATGTGTGTGTAGAGGAAAAAAACACTGAAAAGAAATACGCCAAAATTTTATCAGTTACTGTCTTTTAGTAATGAGGTCAGTTTTAATTTTCTTTGGTCTTCCCCATATTTTCAACCGTGAGCATTTTATAACTTCCAAATTATGACTATAACCTTAAACCGTTATTTTAAAAGTCTGCCACAGGAAAGGTGTATAGTCTATGAGAGTGACGTGTTATAATGAGAGTGGCAGTTTTAAAAATAAGTGGTGCACGCCTTCACTTCCGAGTGTTATTGTTAGTTAGGTCATGTTGGGTTTCCTTCGATAACCTGAGGGCGAAAACAGCTGCCGCTTCTACGTGGTCTGCTCGACCCTGCGCGCTCCACCAGCACTGGGGACCTGGCGGGCTGATTAGCTTCCTGTGACAGTGTGGAGACTGCGGTGCTCTCGCGGTTTATTTAGCTGGGAATTTTTAGCACAGGAAGGCAGGCTGGCAGGAATACGGTGAGGAAGGGAACGTCGTGGTTCAGGCTGCTGTCACAAATCGCTGTGGACGGCGGCCCAGCTCACAGACGGTCATTTCCCACGGCTCTGGAGGCGGGGCAGGGTGGGGCGGAGTCCGAGAGCAGGCAGACAGCAGGGTCGGGCTCCGGCAGCGAGGGTGCTGGCCCTGGCTGGCAGAGAGATGGCCGTCTTCTCACTGTGCCCTCACAGGGCGCAGAACAACGAGAGGGAGTGAGAGGTCTCGTGTCTCTTCTTTCAAGGGCACTAACCTGCTGACCTGGTCACCTCCCAAAGTCCCCACCTTCTTCTTCTGTCACATTGGGGGTGGGGATTCCGACATACACATTTCGAGAAGGGAGCATAACATTCAGTCTGTAACAAGAAAAAAAAAAAAGAAAAGAACAGACGCCTAATAGGCTGCAGTGGGCTGCGCATCCTCTGTCCCCACAGTGAAAAGGGACCAGTCTGACCCTTCCTACAAAGTAACACGTGACTTTCAATTCCACTGCTCTTCAATTTCCGACTTTCAAAGCATTTTCATTTCCTACTTTTCTTTGCTACAGAGGGGAAGTCGTTGTTCAAAGGCAGAACTTATTCTGTGATCCCTTTTTTGGTGTATGTTTTAAATGAAGAGGTTTTTTCTCTTTTTTTCCAAAAATAAGATAACCAAAACATACGTGCTGTAGGTTGAATGCCATCCCTCCACAATTCATATGTGGGGGCCCCAACCCCAGTACCCAAGAATGCGGCCTTATCAGAAATAGGGTCATTGCAGGTGTAATTAGTACGATGAGGTCAGACTGGATTAGGGTGGACCCCTAATTTAATGTGATTGGTGTTCATATAAAAAAGGGGAAATTTGGATACAGACACATATACACGGGGAGAGAGCCCGGGGGGGTGCAGACGCCAAGGAACAGTGAGGGCTTGCCGGCAAACCACCAGGCACAGGGGGAGGGACCCGGAACAGCTTCCCCTCGGGACCCCCGAGACAGCCAGCCCTGCGGACCCCTGGTCCCAGACTGCGAGACTCCAGAACTGCGAGGCAATGAATTTCCACTCTTAGCTCACAGAACTTTGTGATGGCGGCCCTAGAAAACCAATGTAATATCTAGTCATCAAAGTCCATTGCCATTTTTCTTTTTTCTTCTTTAATCCTCACCCAGGGATATGTTTACTAATTTGAGAAACAGAGAAACATCGCTTGGTTGCCTCCCTTAACGTACCCTGAGCAGGGTTTGTACCCGCAACCCAGACAAGTATATGATGAGTATGTGCCCTGACTGACCAGGAATCAAACCCACAACCTTTTGGTGTGAGAGTCAACACCCCAACGAGCTGAGCCATCTGGCCAGGGCATTCTTGCTATTTTCTGTTCTTTTCCACAGACTGTATTTATATCACTAGAGATTTGGCCATAAAATCTATGGGTTATTATGTTTCTCACTAGAAAGGGGAGAACATTTTTGTTTGTCTAGGTTGGAATAACAGATGTAGTCCATAAAATATAAATGCATCTGTGGCTGTATTTAGGGGGAAGACTTGGTCTAGTTAGTTGTACTTCCAGAGAGAAGGTCCCAGGCCTGGGGTCCTGGTGGCACTTTCCACTGCAGGGGACAGAGGGACAAGTTGGTCCATCCCTGGAAAGCCCAGGTGTCAGCAGTATCGCCTCAGCCTACACCTCTCCACGAAGTACTTCCTGGGCCAGCTCAGTAACTCTGCGTGGGAGCAACAGGTTGGGGGACAAAGTCTTGTGTGTGCTACCCAAAGGGGCCGGGATTCTCCGAGGAGGTTCCAAAAGCTGTCGTCTAGCAGAAAAAAAGACAAGAGAACTCAGCCCGAGGTCAATGTTCTACACCACGCAAGCACTTAGGCTTCTCTGTCTGTTGATAACAAGCAGTCAGAACTTGTAAGCAGCACCCATAGGTGCAGGGCGGTTGCCCCCTCCTGGAGCACGTCTGGATGGGAGTGTCGTTGCCACGCGGCCCTCGCTGCAGTTGCTGGGAGCTCGGGTCCAGCGGGAGGCAGGCGTTCCACGTTCAGCAGTGGGAGAGCTCTGCTCAAGCACTGACTCAGTTGCGGCCATGACCTCCCACCCCAAGGCTGCGGCCTGGGCTGGCCTCCCCAACCTAACGACGGTGTGCTTGCACCCACGGTGCATGGGTCGCCCTCAGTGTGCATGTGTCACCCACTACATTTCCTCCTGGGTCCAGGACAGGCCCAGAGAGCTAATTGGATTGTGTTTTCAGTGACAGGGCCCTGATCTCCTGAAGATGCCTCATTAAGACTGGCTTACCCTTTTCATCTCAGCTCCAGCCATCATCTCCTCCCAGTTAACACAGACACCCTCTCTTAAATGACAGCTGGTCTTGAACAGACGCAATTTCCGTTGGCCCTTGCTGCTGCCCCATGTGAACTGAAACCTGTCGTGCAAACAGGTGGCGGTCAGCTGGGACGTGATCCCTGAAATGCATTTTTCTTTGCAGAGCTAGGAATCATTACATGGATGGAACTATGGAGAAGAAAGAAAGTCACAGCCAACTGCTAGTCTCTGCAGCGAACAATTGTCTGTTAATTTCCAGTCAACCTTTGGCTAAATCACAGAAAGACATAACTCTGAGGTCAAAACTTGCTCTCATCAATGCTGACAGTGAAAAGGAGAGCAGATTCTCAGTACAGAGTTTAGAAGGTGGATGTAGAAAGTTGCCATGTCATCTGTTGCTGATGGAACAGGAAGTGGAGGTTTTAAACATGGCGCCCTGACAGACAGAGGAACTGAGGCAGTACGACCGCTGTTGGGGGGAGGAACGTCGGGGTGGTGGTCTCAGAGGAGCCGAATCCTTCCATGTCATGGAGGTCCGTATCCACCAAAGATGTGTCTGAGGCTGATAAATCAGGAAATGTCAGCAATGTATAATTTAGAAGTGAGAAGATTGTTGTCAAGACATCTACACCAGACCTGGTTAAAAGTGGCTGGCTGTCACGAGAGTGAAATGGGGGTGATTAGTGTTTTTTATTAGAAGCCCTTCTGTGTAACACGACTTAGTTTTAACTACATTCATGTGGCAGATTGATTGAAGTATTAATGAAATGTTTTGGGAGAAATGAGAAAAATCACAGAAGAAAAGATGAATATATTTCCATATAAACCTCGGAAGCTTCTCTAGGTTCAAAGTGAAATTGAAAACAGCAAGCTGTTTGTATTTTGTTTAAAACACAACAAAAGAGGCAACATTCAATATATAAAGAGTTCCTTCAAACGGATCAGGAAAACACGGAGGTCCTCAAAGGATAAATGAAGAAGAGATGAAACAGTTCACAAGTCTGGCAGACAAGCTAATTAGTAAATACGAGAAATACCATTCAGCCTGTTGCAGCTACTGCCAGTGCCCTGCGGGCTGAGCTGGCTGGGCAGGCGGAGCCACCTCCCCCCCCCCCGGGGGTGGGGGTCCCAGCCAGGAAGCAGGTGACTCCCACAGGCGAGCACCTGGGAGGGGGGAGTGCCACCACCTCTCAGGCATAGGCACATCAGCACCTGGGTCCCTCCCCAACCTCAACGGCAACCAGGGGAAATCTCGGTCCCCAAACTAGCATCAGACAGCCCCGCGTGTAGTCCAGGCCGGCCCCTCCAACGCGCTTTCATTTCCTCTCTCCTTGAAAGAGCAGGAAGCTCTGGATATAAAGCGCCCTTGATTCTGAACTGCCAGCAGTTGGGACATGTGCTCGTCTTGCCTCACACTCCGGCACCTACCGCAGTGCGCGCTCCTGGTAGGCCCCCAGTTACGGTTTTATACCCGGTGAGAAGCGTGTGCTAATGTGTGCAGTACCTTCATGCTGGCTGCTGTGTAGACCTCGCTGCACAGACCCTCGAAAACCTGAGCCCACCGGAGACCTGTCCGAAAACTCCTGACCGGACTCGACAGAGGTCACCCGAAGAAGCCGCAGGCTTCGATGGTGCGGCCACTGCATGTGTCCCATCTCACAGGTGTCATTTCTGTTTCAATTTTCAGCAAAAGGGGTTCCCGCTCTGCCAGGCCCACACTGTATCAGCCTTACCTGTGGTCGAAAGACCTGACTTGCGAGTCTTCGAAGAGCAGTGTCTACTCACACCCAGAGTCAGATACAAACGACAGTAGGAAGGACCAGGCCCTGAAAGGTAGGAGCCATTTCACATCCGGGTCTCACAGAAATCGTGTTGTTATCACTACAGGTATTTCTTACTCTTTTGCTGACTGTTACAGATTTTTTTTTTTTTTGATTCAGTGAGTGTATTAAGTCCGAAGCTCTCCTTGTAGGTAGGGTGGGTGATTAGTCTTCCACTGTTACGGAAGAGGAACTAAGTTCAGAAAGGCCAGGTGTGTGCCCACGGTCACTCAGCGACTAACAGTGGCCGCTGCTGCCCAGCCCACCTGCCCACATGCCCACGGGGGGTCTCCTCGGGCGGGGGGCTCACGCTCACTGGAGGGGAGACAACTTGGGCTCCTTCTTGGTCACAGTGGGTTCCTTTCAGTGAAGGTGAAAAGAAGTATGGAAAGTTCCAGATTGCTGGCCAGTCTTCTGCTCTGGGAGTCTGACAGAATCCTGATGGTCTTAGGTTTGAAGGATCCAGCCCAGTCCCCCTACGTCACCCCCCTTTCTGCCCATTGCTCCCCAACACTCACGTGAGTGCGTACCTTCAGGCACAGGCACATGGTTGTTACATTGCTGTCTCTGGGCGCAGTGGGCAAAGTTCACAGATGACAGTGAGTGAAGACCTTGACCAGTGTGGGGAGACCAAAGGGCTAGAGGTGAAAATAGGCCCAGGAGAAGGTAACCCAGTGTGAGGGCAGGAAAGAGATGGGACTCTGGGAGCAGCTGATGGAGGAATGAAGTGGGAATTCAGGCCCCGGGGGCCAGGAGGGCGCCACCATCCACCGCCTGAGGGGGGCGGGGCCCTTCTGCGGAGTCTAGAGGAGGCCTTGAGGAGGCCCAGCTTATTCACGTGACCGGGGGGTGGGGGGACCAGAAACAGGATAGAGACTTGCTGGACTGCCCTGCCTGGGGCAAGGGGACACAATGGGTGGCCCCTCCCTTGTGGGGGAAGGAAGAGGTTCCTGAAGCGGCCATCCCCTACCCCGTAGGAATGGAGACCCCTCCCCTGCAGTAGCTATAGTCCTCCTGGCTGGCCGGCCGGGACGTTTCAAGGATTGCGTACTCACTCAACAGGGAGGGCGTAGCAGTAATGATTTGAGGCCCAAGACCCAAGTGCCAGGAAACGATCCCAAATTCTCAAGTAGACACTTTGCGTCAGCTTACAGGAGTGGATGGTGTTAAAGGCTGGGACCTGCCATGCCAGCGCCAGAGGGGACCCAGGGGCCTTGAGCCAAACATGTCACCACTGTCCATCCGGCTTCCCAAGGGACAGTGCGCCTGGCCCTTTCCCATCTCGTGTCTCTCCTCTGGCTGCATCCTCCCTTAAGTGGAGTCCAAGGTCCGAACAGTGTGGGCAGGCAGAGCAAGCTGGGCTGTTCCCTGTGGGCGGTGCAGTGGCGAGAACATCGGGTTGGGAATCAGAGGACCTGGGTTCTAGTTCCACTGCTGCTCTTGTCTGCCTGTCTAGTGTTGGGGAATCCACAAATGTCTGAGCCTTGGGAGTGATGGTATCTGTTCTAGACTAATACAGTCATCTCCCACATTCCGTTTACTGCTGTAATACGTGTACAGGACCATGCAGTATCTAATGTACTAACAGAGGACCGGACAAGATGAGCATGGTGTGAGTGAGAAGCAAAGTGCCGGACACCCAGTAGGTGTTGTGGTTGTACATTTTTATACACATAGCAGAGATCGGTGATCCTTTTCCTCAGTGATGGTTTCTGGAGGCTTAATTCACTTCCACTGGATGGGCTGTGTTTCCCTGTTTCTTTATATGTGTTGTGATCTTTCGTTGAAAATTGGGCTCTTGAAAAGCAGCCACCTCTCCAAGTCTGCAGGCTGGCTCCAAGCAGGGAAGACCTGGACCCATCGATTTGCGGGGCCCGTACTGAGCCCAGGATCTGCCCGGAAGGAAAGGCTTAGGGTCTTTTCATCTCTTTCCTGGACATGCTCTTTCCCTGGGCCTTTTTCCAATTCCTCATTATGTGCAGGTGCTTTTAAAAAATGCCTTAATGTCCCTGAGCGACTCCTGCTGCTTCTTGGGGCCTTAGCTGTTCCTTTATATTGCTCGGTTAGTAATCTCTTGCCCCAGGCATCTGAGTGTCTGGGCCCCCTTGTGGATTTTCACAGCCCTGTCTGGGGCTGCCCGTGTGGCTGCCTCTGGGCTGAGAGTCTGTAGGCAGGAGTACAGAACTCAGCCAAGTCACGCCCACAGCTCTCAGGCAGCCCCAGACAGGTGAGGGCACCCCTCTCCTCTCTGGGTCACGGCAGGGAACTGGGCACCGGGCCGCCCTTCCTCTAAACTGTACTTCACTCCCCTGGAGGCTGGGGGTGCCCCAGGGGTAGTGAGGCAAAGGTGATTAAAACACCTTGATATCTGTTAGTTTTTTAATGTGACTTTTTCTTGACCGGTCATGCACTTGGTTGCTGTAGGCGTTCAGCTAGTTTTCGGAGCTCCTATGAAGTCATTTTGGCTAGTCTGTAGTTGTTTATTTACTGTTCCCCTGGGGGAATGAGGGCCTGGAGCTCTCTGGTCCGCCCCCCCCCCCGTTGACGCCCTTCGGTCGTGGTTTTCTGATCTATCACACCCCTTCACTGGCCCCGGGTCAGTTAAACGCTCCTATCTTTTTCATAGGAACTTACAGACCAGGCTTCTGGCCTGTGTGTACTTGATTTTTGCATAAATGCAACTTTTATCTTCATCATTTTATCATTTTGGTTTCAGCCCCGCATTCGAGCTTGATTAGATTGTTCTTCATCTTCAACATTTACTCCTCGATCTGTTTCTATAAGGCCAGCAGGCATGGCCCTTACGCCTCTGCCATGGGCACTGCCAACACTGGCATCCAGGCCTTGGCCGAGGGTTGTGTCCTGTGGCAAGTCTCTGGAGACTCATCCAGGGAGAGTCCGCCTGGTATGTGATTCTGTTACCGGTGCTGGGGGTTCTTGGCTTCCCCAAGATAGAAATCGAGGGGAAACCCCGGAGAAATTTTCAGGCGGATTTCATCAAGCTTGGGCTGGAGCTCAAGGGAGGCAGCCCAGAGGAAAGAGGGTCTCGTGACCTGACTCCAGGGCCGGCTCTGCCTGCCTGCTTTCCTAAGCTGAGGGCAAAGGGCTTGCACCAAGAGACGGGCTTTTTGAAAATGGCAGGCTTGTGGGATTCTCCCTGTCAGGGTAGGAAGAACAAGTGTTGAGAAGGGAGATAAAATTCTGCTCGCTTTTTTCCCCCCAAGTAGTGGTGCGGGGCTGACATTCCCGTGGTCTGCTCATCCTGCTGGCCACCACCTGGTCCGGATTTGGCTTCCTACCCACCGGGTGTTTTTCCACTACCAGGCCCCCAATCCCTCCACTGTCTCAATTCCCACTGGCATCCCTCTGTTGTATTGATATGAGAAACTTTAATACGTGCATTGCAGAAAGCAAGACACACTGTATGAGGGGTATTTTCCAACTCAGACGTCAGCACACTTTCTGTAAAGGGTCAGACAGTAAATGCTTTTGGATTTATGAGTCACATGGACTCTTCTGCAGCTGCCACTGTGGTGTGAGAGCAGCCTGCACCACGGAGAGACGAACAGGCGTGGGCTGGGTTCCCCTAAACGTAATTCACAGCAACGGGCTGCAGACCAGTAGCCTGTGGGCTGCAGTTTCTTGACCTTTGCCTTAGTAAGAAGAGGGCAATTAAATCAATCTGAAATAATTTTGCTTCACAAATCCTTTTCAGCACTTATTACTCACTCCAGTATTTTCTAAATACACAAACCATTTAATAAATTCAAATTTGCTAAGGTTTAAAGTCAGGTATCCTGGTTTGTGAATCTTTATTTCCCTTTTTAAAATGGCAATATGATTTGTCTCCAGTACTTTTCTCACTGCCAGTGCATTCTCACAGACCAGACACTCTGAAATTGCTCCAAAAGTTATTTCCGCTGCCCGGGATATAACCCCCCAGGGTGTGGAGACTAAAGTGGTTGAGAAAGAAGGCCCAGTCTTCTACCTGCATCTTTGCCTCCAAGGCCTCAAGATGCTTTTGTTACTCTTTCTAGTTTAAAACATATCTCAGTGGTGGAAAAAAAGGAAGCAATCAAGGAAGAGCCTTTTCTTTTCCCCTCCCCTCCCCTCCCCTGTTGTCCGCTAACATGATATTATCTCGAGGAATGTGCCATTTGGTCTGAATAGAGCCGTTAAGTGCCCATGTTTGCCTTTAACATTTTGGATCGCTTCTGTTTGCCCCATAGATTGAGTCTCCCCAGTCCTGTGATACAGGTCACTCCATTTTTCTTACTGCCGTTAGAATCCTCGGCCTCACTTTCTTAGTCCCTATGGCACTGCTTTCTCCCGGGTGAGAATTCCACTTCTGTGGCCACAATGCATCTACCCTCAGGCTCCGTCGTCCAAACTGTTGTTGCTTTATAACACTCCTCAGCGGAGCCCAGCTTCGTGGTTCATCCTGGACGTCTTCTTGCTGATGGTGAACAGAGCGACCTTAGGGAGGGGCGGCGTGGGTGTGCACGCACGCGCTAAGCGTACTTATGCGTGATTGTGAAAGAACGTGGTGCAGGGCGCGGTTACAGTGGCTGTGAGTGGGGCGGAAGAGCCCAGGCGCTGCCTGCTGCAGCCCACCTTCAGCTCCTTGTGCAAGTCCACACGACCCAGGGCTTGTCCAGCCACACACGTGACGTCCAGAACCTCTTCCTCCATCTTTCCTGTCTGAATGTCATGTATTCCTCAAAGATCGTTCTGAAATAATTCCCAATATTATTCTGGTGCTGACATCACACAGTGCTTATTTTCTTTGTTTAGTGTAGCAAGGGGTTAACTGTATGTACTGTATCTGTTTTCTCTTCATGTTTTATAGCACTACATAAATCGCCACTTCATTGCGAAAAAGGGTCTCTCCAACACAGACAACACACGTCCACAGTCATCAGTCGCCCTGGTTCCAACGTCAAACCCATCCTCCCTCCAATCCCTCAGGGCCGCAAGTACACCAGTGCTTGACGTCTGACCTTCACCCGGAAAACTTGCTCCGATCATGCACAGCACCTCTGCCTCCCCGGGCCAGGGATCCCGGCTGTTTCTCACGCAGCCAACTACCTACAAAAGAACATCCTTCGTGCCTTAATTCTCTCCATCGCTTTCTTTTGTGGTTCTCTGAATAGCGTCTATTTTTTAACGTAAGTTATTCTTAGCTCGTAGAAAAGCAATTTCAGTTCTTCCCGGTTGCCGTTAATGATTTTTCCAGCTGCTTCCTGCTCTGAAATACCAGATGGCAAAATCTCCCAGGATTCCTGCACTGTGCCGTGTGTAGTGATTTTTGGATATACCCAACCGGGACTGTGCTCTTGAAATTTCAGTGTGTCCGTTTATAACATTAGTGTATACTCTACGGAATTGGAATCGTTTATGCTGATTACGAAAGGACCGTAGAGTTCCATTTAACTGTGACCAACACGATATCAACTGCACCTCTCAAAGGGAATTAATTAATGTAAATTTTCATGGTCCTTGACTAGCCTTAGCAATACGAAGGAATAAAAAAATCAGGCAGGTTTTTTTTTTTTATTTCACCCTCTCCTGACTCTGATTATGTACTGCCTATCTCAAGAAACGTTTTAAACAACTTTCACTACTTGTTGTTTGCAGGAAAAAAACTTACGTAGCTATAGGTAAGGATGCCATTCAGCTGATGTGTGTCAGTAAGATTAACCTGGGTTTGGAAACATTGGAATATAATGTAGGTGGAGCGGTGAATGGTCTCTCCTCTGAACCAGCTGTGCAAGGCGACTCGCGGGGACAGGAGCCTCCACCTAGGACTGGACTGTTACGTATGTTAAATACCAAAACCCTCTCAGGACTTCCCCTTTTAAAATATCAAAACCCTTTCATAACTTCTTTTCCCATGACTCAGATTTGCATGTAAGCTGATTCGCAGTGGTGTCTGTCTTCCACCGCACCCTGTGCTCCGCGGGAGCTGGCTAACAGCCTTTCCTTGGCTTTGGTGAGGGGGGACAGGAGTGGGGCTGAGCAGAAAGAGGGATGTGATCCTCTCCAGAAAAGCGGGAAGGCTGAGAGTATGCCCCCCAAATCTTAAAGAATAGTTTAACTTTCACCAGCATCATCTAGTCTTTTAAAAAGTTATTATGAAATCTTTTGGACACACTAGAAGATTTGAAAATAGCAGTTTTGCCCTGGCTGGTGTGGCTCAGTGGACTGAGCGCCAGCTTGCGAACTGAAAGGTTGCCAGTTCGGTTCCCAGTCACGGCACATACCCGGGTGCAGGCCAGGTCCCCAGGTGGGGGCATGCAAGAAGCAACAAATTGATGTTTCTCTCATATGTGGATATTCCTCTTCCTCCCTTCCCCTCTCTCTAAAAATAAATGCATTAAGATCTTTAAAAAGAAGGAAAATAGCAGTTACAGTCTCAGGTAACACGGAGGAGATGCACTTGTCCCTCTTTCTCTAAGTACAGCTGAAATCCTCATCACTACACAGAAAACTAGCCCAGGGAGGCCGAGAGGACAAAGGGAGAAGAGACCAGCTGGGCACCTTGCAACCCGAGTGCCGTGGAGGTGAGTTCCCTGCTTCTCCTCTTCGTCTCGAGTATCCTGAACTGGGTGCTGAAGAAGCTCCAGCCCCAAACCCTAACAGTACAGCCAACAAAGACTCCAACCAAAAGTCTGCTCTCCAGCCAAAGGATGGGGGAGGGGGAAGCCTCACAGGACAGAAAACTCTTATACAATAACCGGCCCACTTCAGCTGAGTACCGTGACGCAGCTGTGGCTGTAGCAATGCCCTCCGTTCCTCCCTGCTGGGACACTGCCAGAAGTTCTCTGTGGGGAGCAGGACTTTGTTCCCACTCACTATCAACGAGAACTCTCCCCCAGTGTCACCACAGGCCACTTAGGGGCCTGGGCTTACACTCCGCAGCTGGTAGTAATGAGGCTCCTCTTTCCCTTCCCATCAGTGGTATCAGAGACAGTCTGTGGAGGTCCGGGACTCTCCCACGTCCCTGCGGTGGCAGAGGGGGACAGGTAGGGAGCACCACAGCATGCCCCTTCCCCTCCAGGCCCACATGCTCTCTGTGCAGGCCTAGTGGGGACTGGTAACTTCCACGCGCTCCCAGCACTAGTAAGGCATCTTTTCTACCTTTTCCACTGTAAGTGTCAAAATCTGCCAGGATGTAGAAGAATTCTCATCACCGTCAACCAACAGGATTGAATTTGTATCTATAGAGCATTCTATCCAGTGACTGCCAACATGCGTTCTTTTCCAGTTCTCATGGAACATTAGTCAACGTAGACCATGTCCTGGTCCTTAAAAAAAATCATGGAAATCATACCGTTTGCTCTCTGACCACAGTGAAATCAAACTAGCAGTTAATAACAGAAAGATAGCAGGCATATTTGCAAACATCTCTAAACCAGTCAGCACTCAATGAGGAAGTCTCAAGGTAATTTCAAAAATATAGCAAACTGGAGAAAATGAAATACACTGTATAAGAATCTGTGGGATGCGGCTAAAATAGCTGAAAGGGAAATGTGTAGCATGTACTGGGAGAGGGGAATTCTAAATCAGTAAGATCCTACCTCAAGCACCTAGAAAAAGAGTAAAATAAGCCCCAAACAGAAGGAAATAATAAAGAGCAGAAATCAATAAAAATGAAAACAGTAAAACAATAAGCCAGTTCTTTGAAAAGATCAATAAAATTGACAACTTCTTGATGGTAAAAATTAACTAAGAAGACAGAATTGTCAATATTAGAAATGAAACCCATCCACTCTGGGATCGGCAGCCGGTCAGTAGCTAGAAGGGCACCAGATTCTTACAGGAAGTGAAGGAAGTGACTGGAACAGGGTCTGAACAAGCTGAGTAAGCAGCATTGGTCCCTCTCCAACCACCCCCCAATATATAGCACCACAAAGCAGGAAGTGGGCTGCCCCACCCTTGTGAATACCTAAGGCCCTGCCCCTTACAATGTAACAGGTGCACCAAGCTTGGGAATCAAAGCAGCTTACCTAATAAACAGAAACACAGGAAAGCTGCCAAAATGGAGAGAGAGGAAGATAAGGACAAGAAAGAACTAAATGACACGGAGATAGCCAACATGTCAGATGCAGAGCTCAAGGCACTGGTGATCAGGATGCTCAGAGAAATGACTGAGTGCAGACACAAAATAAAGGAAGAAGTGAAGGCTATGCAAAGTGAGAGAAAAGTATATATACATACAGGGAACAAACAAGGAAGGGAAGGAAGCTGAGATTCAAATCAATGATTTGGAGTGAAAGGAAGCAATAAACAACCAGAACAGGAGGAAACAAAAATTCAAAAAAAACAAGACTTAGGAACCACTGGGACAACTGTAAATGTGCCAACCTCCCACTCATAGGGATGTCAGAAGGAGAACAGGAAGGGCAAGACATCAGAAACTTATTTGAGATAATAATGAAAGAAAACTTCCCCAGTTTGGTGAAGGAAATAGACATACAAGTTGAGGAAGTTCAGAGAGTCCCAAACAAGTTGGACCCAAAGAGGGCCACACCAAGACACATCACAATTACATTACCCAAGATTAAAGATAAGGAGAGAATCTTAAAAACAATAAGAGAAAAGAAGAAAGTTATCTACAAAGCAGTTCCCATAAGACTTATCAGCCGATTTCTCAAAAGAAACCTTGAAGGCAAGAAGGGACTGGAAAGAAATATTCAAAGAGATGAAAAGCAAGGACCTACAATCAAGATGACTCTAACCAGCAAAGCTATTGTTTAGAATGGAAAGGCAGATAAAGTGCTTCCCAGATAAGGTCAAGTTAAAGAAGTTGACCACCACCAAGCCCTTGTTGTAGGAAATGTTGAAGGGACTCATCTGAGAAAAAGAAGGTCAAAACTATGAACAGTGAAATGACAACAACTCACAACTCTCAATGATAGAATCTAAAAAATAAAACCCAAAAATAAAAACAAACTGGACAAACAACTAGAACAGGAGAGCCATAGAGATGAAGATCACATGGAGGGCTATCAGTGGACGAGGGAGAATGTGGGATGAGGTCCAGGGAATAAGAAGCATAGTTGGTGGTACGGGGGGTTGTTAGGAATGGCATGGGAAGTGGAAAAGCCAAAGAACTCATATGTATGGCCCATGGACATGAACTAAGGGAGGATTGCTGGTGGGAATAGGGATACCTGACAGAAGGGGGCAAAGAGGAAAAAAGGACAATTGTAGTAGCATAACCGATAAAATATACTTAATTAAAGAATTCAGGAATACATGAAAAGAATCCTATAACATGACCAGGTATGGAGTTTAACCCTGAGATGCAAGGTTCGTTCAAATGTTTAAATCAATCAATGTTACCCACCACAGAAAAATCTATGATCACATCAGTTGATGCAGAAAAAGCATTTGACAAATTCCAACATCCATTCATGATAAAAATTCAGGAATAGAGGATACCTTTCTCAGCCTGATGAAGACTTTGATGTATATGTCTCTATTCCTAAACTATACATAGTTTTTTGTTCACCATGATTTTAAACTTTCTATTATACAGATGCTTCTTGACTTATAATGGAGTTACATCCTGATAAACCCATTTGAAGTTGAAAATATCTTAAGTGGAAAATGCTTTTAATACCCACAACCTACTGTGTATCATAGCTTGGCCAGTTTCTACTGAATGGGTCTCACTATGGCAACCATCATAAAGTGGAAAAATTATAAGTTCAACCATCATAAGTCGGGGACTTCTTCTGGTGTGTATATTTACCAATTAACTTTTTTCTCAACATTTTATTTATGGGATTAGTCCGTGCAGATTGTGTGGTTTTCGTTTTAATGGGTCTTTTTTTGGTGCATAATATTTCACTGTGGCAATATACCAGAATCTATTCACTTTCCTGTTGATGACAGCTAAATTTGTTTCCCCTTTTTTGTTGTTGTTACTACAGAGGATACAGCTAACAGTATTCTTGTCTCGGAGTTAAATTGCTATATTATAGGTAAATCTGGTACAGATCTCAACTTTACCAAGTATTTCTACACGGGTTACTCTAAGGTGCTCTCACCAACACATATTCGGTTGGCTAAAAAGTTTATTTAGTTTTTCCATCAATGGCTCTAGTAGCATTTAGTTGTCTTTACTTCATTTGAAACAAT